AGCCAGGGTGCCCCTCCCCGTGTCTTATGCAGACCATGTGAGTCATGCAGTGTCCCGCCGATCAAAAGCTAATGATGGACAGGAAACCGTGATACTGTAACACTCCAACTTGACTCCGAAGTAGCACTCCGTCAGTGCTCCACGAAGGGTCATTACTTACGCAAAATTCTGGCTCTCTCACTACAAACTATGCAGTGTGTCCTGCATGAGATACCGCCAACCAAGGTCGCACGCGAAGAACATGATGCATAAATTCTAGACGTTCGTCGTCCACGATGAGGTGAGTGGAATATTGCGCCGCTTGCCGTGTCAAGTCTGATGTGTTGTGCCACAGACACGAAAATTACTGACATTATCATGACATTGTAGCAGCCCATCATCAACTGCGGAAGCTCTTGTCGCGAGAAAAGCTATTCCCGCCAAGTCGGATAAAACTGTGGGCCGACGCACTCCATCGCGTCTCCACCCACCACCTCGCACACGACGCAGTGTCTCGACAAGGAGTCCTCCAATACGATTGTACAATCATAACACAGATAGGTTCGTCGCCCGCGGTTTCTGTCTTGCGAACTTACCCTGCGCACCTGGTGTGGCTTCCTCGAACAACTGGAGGGTGAGGAACCTGGATACAACATGGCATATTGATGACAGTGTTGCAAAAGTGACATGGTGGTCTCGCTGGTAGGCTGATATGACTACGATCCTAATTGTCAGACTGTCGCATACCATCGATGATCGGGGAAGTATTCATCAACAACGTAAAGGACATTGCCTTGTCCAATCGAAGTAACACTTGCTGACTCTGATCTCATGACAGGCAACCCTCGGATTCCCATGACTCGAATTCGAAGCGAGCAAATTGCCTTTCTTTTCGGCCTTGCTGGTACCCTACCATGGGTTTTTTTATACAAGACTATTGCTGGCACCTACGAGTCGCCACCTCGACCTTTGAGTCGATTGATCCATCAGATCACTTGGTATGCCTATCTGATCTAGACCCGAAGGAGTCCATAGCAGTCTGTCTCTCGGAATTTGAAGACCTACGGGGAATAGCCGATAGCCTTGTGGCGTGGGTATTTGTTCCGCCTGATGGTATGGATATCTACTACTGTAGATGCTGTCTCCATACCCCGACTGAACTCCGTGATCGAGACGAGGCGATACCAAGACCTGAAGATTATGCAGGACAAATACTTGCACATCCAGCGAGGCATACGGTGGTCACCTCAACCTTGATGGGCCCTACAAATCGTTCGTGAAGCCGCTCGTCCTGAATGCGCCCGCTGAGAATTCAAGGCATACGAGGGTGGAGCCTAAATGCGGGTTCAGTCGAGCTCCGTCAACGCATGGAATTCGACATCCAACTCTCAAGTTCGGGAGGTAGAGCATATGACTGCTCATCCCGTTCGAAAAGCTCACATTTTGCTCTATGGAGCGGCCATGAAATTCTCAAGGCTGTGGGGACAGACCCCGTTCTTTGTGAGAGGCGTTGCAGCGAATATTCTGGTTCAGCTTTAATGCGCCCTCGAGCCGGGGGGCGGGGTCCCCCAGAGACCCCCTTTATGGGGGTCGGCGAGGCAATTTCCAATTGCCGGGGGTACCCCCCAGGCGACGGGCAAGACTTCTATTCCAGCCCTTTGATTGCGACAGTTCTGAAATCGCTCCCCTTATGATGAATCTTATCCTTTTATCATTGAAATTCGCGTCTCGTCCCATTTCCTCCATTTCCATGGAGCACATGTTCGCCCGCCCGTCATGCACCTTTTCCTGTTTGTCGAGATCCCGTCGTTCACTTTATCACGCGATCCTGGTGCGCGTAAGCTTTGGACGCCTTTCCATGTCATGTATGACACACGAAAAGTACTAATGCCTTCCTTCCTCAGTACGACGAGCTGTCGTTTACGCTGGACGCTTTGACCCACTTCAAGGCTCTCCTCCGTGGCAACCACTCCGGGATACTCAGATCGTTCATGACAATGGTGTCTGCTCCATGATACTGAAGAACCAGGCGTGAAATGGCGGTAGACCTAGGCCGTCCCAAGAAACCATCATGCCACTACAATGGTTTGTGATATCTCATTCTGTGGATTACTCTGCACTGGGTGTGCTGCCTTGAGCAAAGCATCGAGCATGACGTGCAGCGTATGGCGCCTTGAATCTGGTTTGTGCTAGGATCTTAGGGCCACCTTTTCTCTGATAAGTTATGTCCTTTAATACTGGTTCAGTAGGCCTTACAACGGGACTTGTCGGCAATAGAAGCAAATGTGAGGAGTGTCTCGTACTAGAAACGAGGCCGTCGGTGTGTTGATCGTGCTCAGTGCACTCAATGGGCACAATACGGCCTCCCATTGTTGATAAAACAGAAAATTCTGCTGGTGCTGGAATTGAAATTGAGTCCACTATTCTAAAGCAGTGTCATGCAAATGTGAACGGTCGGTGCGACAAACTAGTCCATGGATCAACGCATCTTGCCCGTCGCCTTGGGGGGCACCCCCGGCAATTGGAAATTGCCTCGCCGACCCCCATAAAGGGGGTCTCTGGGGGACCCCGCCCCCCGGCTCGAGGGCGCTCTGGAACGGAATCAGAACATGCGCTTCTGCCTTTCTGGTAAGACAACGCCTTTCTGTACATCAAAACCAAACCTACGTGACATACAGATGTGGTTCGTAGACATTCAACAGCTAGGGACCCGCATCCTGGCAGCGGCGTGGAGACTAGAACGCAAATCAATACCCTTGGCCCCACGTGTTACAGTCCGACTACGAGCTCAACTGGCATGGCCAAGTGCGTGCTAGGCAGATCATGTAGGCCGTCTACAAAGGCTGGTTGACTACGTTCATGTCATACATGCGTAGTCTCAGCAAGACATGAATGAATCAATGATATATATCCGCAACTGCCCTTGGCTCCTTGCTAGTAGCCCATACATCATAGAAAGACACCCAAAAAATAGATATGAGAGCTGAGAATTGCATATGTAAAGCGAATGCACAGTACAAAAGTTTCGCTTCGAATACTGGCAGTAAATAGTAAAGATGGGTTTCACTAGGCATCAATTAAGATGTACGACTAATAAACTGTTCCTTCATGAGAAACTTCACCACCTTCGCACACTGAACGACGGAGTCCTCCAATACGATTGTACAATCCTAACACGGATGGGTTCGTCGCCCGCGTTTTCCGTCTTGCGAACTTGCCCTGCGCACCAGTGCGGCTTTCTCAAACAAGCGGAGGGTGACGAACCTGCATTTGCGTTGATCACCAGTCCCTTCACCGCCCGATTACTGCACATTTCACCACACCGACATCAACATCAACATCAACACGTCAACACGTCAACACACAAGCTCGAAATGTCTACTTTCACTTCACTGGCATAACAAACATCCTACCGAAACAGCATCACAACACAACATCGCTATGTGTGCTACACCCAAATCATGCGATTTTACTTTGCAGCAAACGGATCATCGACTGCGGAAAAGACATACAGAGTGGGAATACGGGTCGCTAACGAGGAATCCCAGCTTAGATTGAGTTGGTGATTGATTGTCTATGCTATGGTGCTTTGCAGCACGATACAGATTATGAAGATGTTGGGCAGGTCTTGGCTTCATCGAATGCTGTTGCACATTCGAATACTAGTCTCTGACACCACGAAGAGGTGCCTGCACATCGTCAGAGGAGCAGGAGTGGCACCGCGGCGCCACGGGGCGCCTAAACAAGCACAAATTTGATAACGCAGGGCTCAAGGCTGCATGGAAGCTCAAGATTATACAGTCACAGGGCTCAAGGCTGTGAGGGAGAACTTGCTATCGCAGCGGTCTCCTGCGGAGACTCTTGGTGTCGCAGATGTCCCTACGGAGACTCTTGGTGTCGCAGATGTCCCTGCGGAGGTCCTTGTTCACGCAGCGCTCCCCTGCGAGGATTGTTGTTGACGCAGACCTATCCTGCGAGCTAGTCTTGTTTTCGCAGCACCCCCTTGCGAGGATTGTTGTTGACGCAGACCTATCCTGCGAAGCACATTTTTACAGTCACAGGGCTCATTGGCTGTGAGGGAGCACATTTTTACAGTCACAGGGCTCATTGGCTGTGAGGGAGCACATTTCTACAGTCACAGGGCTCAAGGCGTGAGGGAGCACAAGTCTTACATCGCTGGGCTCGTGGCAGCGAAAGCCGTGGCCATGGAGACTCTCAAGCCTGTAGGCAAGAGGGACACCATGACACATGGGAGTGTGAGGACCGAAGTTCTGATTTTTTTGGGCTGGGAATTGGGCCTCATTTATACCTTTTGGGCTACGTCTCTTCCAAGGAACCAGATGCGCAAATGGTAGCGAGAATTGCGTATTTGATGGGCGTTGACGCAATGTGAACGACGTTGAAACGGGTTCTGTAGACTTTGTGGCCTACAGTGTCAAGTTCTGTCCTGGAACATCCTCAAAAATTCTGCGTTGAGTGTGGTAACAACGTTCATCAACTGTTGAGAAGAGTCATGCCGCAAGAATGTGATTCTTACGCATTGTTGAATTTGCAATTAAATCGCTCAACAGGGTGGCACGTAGTCCGGCTATGAGTCACAGTCTCGTTGAAGATACTTGAAATCTTTCTCCCTCGCTGAAAAACTTTCCGAAATTTTTGGCCGATAGTCACGCTTGATCGTACCCGTGGTGGGCTTGTTTCGCCATGAAGTAACACCGTCGGTTCCCATGGACGCACATATGTGGAAGTTCAACATCTTTTGTGTTCAAACCCTGTCCGCAATTGTTTGGCTAACAGTGCCACAGAGGCAACGTTTCTTTCGCCTAGCAATCCTTTCAATGAACTCCCTAGCGCGCTTGAAATACAAAATAAAGTTGGTTTTCTGTCAAAGTTCATTCACTCATGAAAAAGGGTTGTTTTTCTTGCCAATTCTGACAGACTCCTAGAACTATTGACGTGTTGCATGCGGATCATCGAAGTCGGTAGCACCAGCCTCGAAAATCTACTGCACAAGTTCTGAAATGCTGGAAGAACACAATCTTCGCTATCGGACTGGGAATGAATGCCAATCCGAATCCGCTGCCTCCATGCAGATCAAAACTGAGGGAGTAGCAGCCGGCAGAGAGAATCAACTTCGGACCGAGCGCCGCTTCGGAGAGTCAATCAAAAATAGTCAAGAATCACTGACAGTCGATCATCCATCGGGCAGCCAGCCCAGCCGCGCATATTCCATCACGCAGTAAGTGACCACCTCCATTATCGTGTGCTTCATCGACTGCAATGTTCTAACCAACCATTTTCAGACCTTCCAGGTGAATGAAGTTAGTACACCGTCCTCGCATGCTTTTTGCCTACCCTGCCTCATTTACTTCGATTTCAGATTCTACAATCTGTTCATTCGGTCTTCAGCATCTATAAGGAGCTCTTTAACCATCTTGATGATGTTGCGGAGTTACTAGAACGCAAGACTGTCCCTTGGAAAAAGAGAATGCTTCAGGCACTACAGGCAGCGAAACAGAAACTCTCAAAGTACCACAGAGCGACCGGCAGTGAATCGTTTGGCACAGATTATGCAATTGCAACTATTCTGTGTCCATCGAAGAAGCTTCGGTTTTTTGAAGGCGATGACTGGAAAGAGAAAAACGAGAAGGGAGAAGATATCAATTGGATGGAGATCTATCGGGATAAACTACAGAAGGAATTTGACCAATATCAACAACGCATAACCCGCCGCAAGGAGCCCTCTCAAGCCCAAGTCTCTCAAGAAGTGGACGAAGAGGAGCTTGATCTGATGATGGATTTGCACGCTTCACACAGTGAAATTGACCGACCGGAGGATGAGATCACACGATATCTTGCACAGGGTCTGTATACTTCCCTGCTTTATTATACGGCTTTCCAGCTAAGTTATACTATAGGTCTTACCAAAGGAAAGCCAAGGGTGTTCTGGAAGGAGCATGAGCATGAATATCCAGTGCTTGCAGCGATGGCGCGGGATAATCTGGCAACACCTGCTAGTGGCGCTGGTGTTGAGCGGCTCTTCAATTGTGCTCGTGATGTCTGTCACTATCGCCGGGGGCAGCTTAAACCAGAAACCATCAGGTCTCTAATGCTTCATCTGTTCGCATCGAAGTTCGAGCTTCAACAAACCGAGCTCGAGATGATCAAGGAGTATCTCTCTAGCGGAGAGGTTGCCATACTCGATCAGACATGGAAGCCAACTCCGTCGCTTCACGATATCGAGCCGATCAGTGAAAACGAAGAAGATGGTAACCAAGCGGAGAATGGATCGGATGACTCAGAAAATGATTTGGGATATAGTTATACAGTTGAGCAGGCGACTCCTACACCGATTCCAATCCGGGGCAAGCAACCACGGCGCAAGCGGCTTCATAGTGCCGTTGAGCCTCAGGATGATGGTGATAAGGATCTCCCGCTTCCTGAAATGCCAACTGAGAAGCCCACGCAGGGGAGATCGGGGAGGATTCGGAAGAAGCCAAAGCAGCCAGATGGATTTGAGTTTGATAACCTGTGATATGATCTTGAATAATTGAATGCTGTTGCAATAAAGCTAGACAAAGTAGATTAATTTGGAGAAAAGATCGTAGGCCAGTCATTCCCGTGACAAATATACAATCAATTACACATTGAATACCCCAAAAAATACAGGGGAGAATGCATAATTTATGCAAACTCGCTCAGGTCACGAGTCTTAGCATGTTTGCAATATTTGTTATCGTACGATAATCTGCGGATATCCGCAAATGAAAATATAATTATCGTATCGTATCGTTGCGGATAATTCGATAATGAATTTATATCGTTATCCGCGATTTACGGATACGATAATCGATTATCTGCCGATAATTTGGATAGTGCTGCAGCCTAGTCGTGGTGTACTTCATTACCCGATCAAACATCTGATTAATTCCATCGATTCCATGGTCTTTCAAAATGAAAAAGCCCCATAACTGGCTGGCATTGAAGATTTTCTTGGAGATCTTGTCAAATTCAGACGAAAAGTCTTTCAGGGAGATGATAGGAAACTCCATTCTGGGAAGAAAATCCCGTGTAACCTGATGCTGTAGACAAGAGAAGGGTAATTCGTGGTGTTGTAATTCGTAGTGTTAGATGCGGTCTGCTACTTTAAGTCCAAAAACAAGACTGGTACTAAGCTTATATCTTTGTGGGATATAAGCGTCGGTCATTCAAGTTTACACCTCTTGAAAATATCGCTCCGCTGCCATGATAACCCCTTATCGGAAGATCCACCCCGCATTTCCATTTTACCCGCGGCCGAGATATGTGATAATGGTTTCGTGGAGTTCATGAACCTTGTTTAACATCGACCCTATACACATCCCCTCTGTACGATGTCACTGGGCTAAACTATGCACAATCTTCATACCTGGTATCTAACAGAGATAGAGGGTGACTCCGGAGATATCCTATCGCAATATCCATGTATTCATGATTTGACTGGGAGTTTAGTTTTGATGCGGTATAAAAGTTTCTAGAGGACCATGATAGTCGGTCCTGATACAGAGAAGGAAAGGAGCGCAGAAAAACATTTTGAATTGAATAATTACCTCGCTACCTAAGATGAAAACACTGATTAAATTGCATATCGCTGAAGTAGAAGCTCGACTTTCTTCTATTCAAGCATGGAAGATCCCGAAAGAACCTAGCAGCCTAGCTCCTGCAGGAGTGCCGAGCAACAAAGGTAAGAAATTCTTTCTCGCTTTGATAAATTTGAGATAGAAATCTAATAAAGTAGCCCAGATTCCGATCCAATTGGCCCCGAGCTACAGACCTGGAAGGGCCTTGATTTCGTGAACTATTGGTTTTCAGACCTTGTTAACATCACCAGCTGGACTATTGGAACCACCCCTCTTCTCGTGGGGCTGAGTACTGTGGATGCAATTTTCATCGTCTTGCTTTCGGGAATTTGCAACGGTCTGCCGACGGTTTTGAATGGATATATCGGATCTGATTATCACATTCCCTTCCCTATAGCCATTCGGTCAAGCTTTGGGTATTACTTCGGAAATTTCGCGGTCTTTTCTCGCGCCGTTCTCTCGGCCGTTTGGCTAGGTGTGAACTGTTATTACGGACTTTTTGGCATGACCGAGGCAAGCTGTTTCTTCCTGCATCACTTTTTAGGTAACTAACTTTGAAACGCAGGCAGTTGCTGCAATATGGCCCAGCTATCGAAACATAAACAACCATCTACCCAAATCAGCCGGAATATCAACACAGCAAATGATTTCATTTTTTCTATTTGTCGGCTTACACATTCCATTTATGATGATTCCAGTTCGACGACTCAAGTATGTCATATCTTCTTTCTGCCACTGTTTTCGATGACGTTGACATCCTAGAAGGCGACTGTTTCTCGTAAAAACCATACTTATTATTCCAGTAAATAGTCTTTCAGTGGACCATTTCCAGAGACTGACTCTAAACAGGTCTCTATCGCGATGGTTGTCTGGATCTGCGTCAAAGCTGGTGACCTCCAAAAAATTTTCAACCAACCAGCAAAAGTATCAGGACGAGCGCACATTTGGCTTTGGCTTGGCACTTTCTCATCAACCACCAATTCCTGGCTCACCGGTACAATGAATATGTCGGATTATTCACGGTTCGCCAAGACAGGGTATGTTAATATGGTTGCTCTTAGTTAGCTCAGAGCATGCTACTAATACGACCTAGGAGCCGTGGACAATGGTCCCAAGCATTAGCTATACCCGTTATCAAGACCATTTATGCTGTTCTTGGTCTAGCTGTCGTTGGTTCTGGGCGGGTACTTTACGAGACAGACATATCCAGTCCAGTCGATATGCTTCCGTACTGGGGCAACACGGGAGGCGGTCGCTTCCTTGCCTTCGTCTGTGCTATTCTCTGGATGCTTGCTCAAATATCTTGTGACATTTCTGCGAATTCTATCCCCTTTGGTCATGATATTATGTCATTTGTACCGGCGTGGGTGACTGTCAGACGCGGTTCCCTTCTCTGTTTGCTCCTTGGTGCATGGGGTATGGTGCCATGGTTAATTGTCAACAGTGCTGACAAGTTTTTAAGTTTCATGTCGGCCTATGGGGTGTGCATTAGCCCCATTTGCAGTATAATGATCGCGGACTATTTCCTAATCCGACGAAGAAAGTTGAACTTGTCTGACCTATACCACCCTCACGGCTGCTACCGGTATAGAGCTGGTATAAATTGGCGTTCGTTTGTGACTGAGATCAGTTTCGTCGGAATCAATTTGCCAGAAGTCATCAACAACGTTAACCCGAGCGTTCTCATTCCTAGCGGACTAGCCCACCTGTATCAGATAAACTGGATTGTCAATACCCTGGGCTCCATTCTTGTTTATTGGTGTCTTTGTACCTTATGGCCACCTGTTGAGTCTCTTGATCCGAAAGTTCTGCGTGAGTAGGACTCAAAATAGGGCGGATCTGGAACTTCACTGCGGTTTTATCATGTACACAGATTGATTGGAATTGATCAGATTCGATCCTGATCTTCGAAATCCTGAGAACTTGGTATAATATGAATATCAGTGCCGCGATGCCCCCCACCCCTGGTGCAGAATTGGGAAACCTTCTATAACAAATGCCTCAATTTATCATACCAGCAGAGGTCTTCTTAAGATGTTGCCGTTTTCCGCGAGAAAAGCAAGATTATGGGACATTTTTCAGTTGACGTTTAAGAGCTTGAGTATATGTGGAAGAATCAGGATCGCAGCGACTGAAAGACGTATCTTGTAGGGTGTATATTTAGCTTGTTGGCCATGTGTCCGTTATGAATAATGACGGATGGGATTGAGAACCGCGGTAGTGACAGTTGTGCCTCCCCTTGTCTCCAGGTCTCGGTCTGTAATCAACCTTGGCGTTGGGTAATAGGAGCCCTAACAAGCCAGCTTTCTTTGCATAGAAAAAGACTCTGCCATATACTAATTGTGAAGTAAGAAAAGTCCAAACCCCGGAAGCATGTGCGGACAAAAGATGTAGCTGACCCGTTTCCCGGAAATGAATGCCCACGCATACATCCGCGTCACACATCTTACTATATTCGCATGCCTTCTTCATCAAACTTGTTTTGCGACGGCATTGTTTTTGGCGCATCAATTTTCTCTTTGATCAGGTTATGTTTATAGCAGCCATTGCGAATGAAAGTGAAAAGCATCCGAAACACAAGTTCTTGTAAGGGAAGTTCGTTAACAGGAAAGAGCGAAAGAGCGCAAAGGGCAGTTTTCAATTTTTTGAACATACAAAATATCACGATTTTGCCCGTTTAATTTTATACGAACCACGTCTGTATGCCATCTATGTTTGATTTTGATGTACAGAAAGGCCTTATTTTACCAGGATGGCAGAACCGCGTGCTCTGATTCCGTTCCAAACCGCCCTCGACCCGGGGGCGGGGTCCCCCAGTTGCTGGGGGTGCTCCTAAGGCGACGGGCAAGATGCGCTGACGCACTCGGTGGTCTGTCTCACGGATCATTTAGATTTTACTTGATATAGCCGTAGAACAATGGACTAAATCTCACTTTTAGCACTAGGAAATCTTCTCCTTATCAACCATCGGAGGCCGTATTGTGCCTATGGAGTGCACTTAGCATGATAAACGCACCGACGGCCTTCTTCCAAGTCTCAGAAACTCCTTGTCTTAGGTTTTATTGCCGAAAAATCCGGCTGAAAGGCCTACTGAACAAATATTATAGGATATAACTCGTCAGAAAGAAGGTGCCCCTAACACTCGAGCATAAAAGAGATTCGGGGCCCTATACGCTGCACGTCATGCTCGATGCTTTTATCTCAACAACATACCCAGTCTAGAGTAATCGATAAATTGAGATACCGCAGACAATAGAGTGTTCGGACAGTTTCTTGGGATGGGCTGGGAGCTATGTCTAAGATCATCAGCTTCTTTAATAGACTAGGTCTACCGACATTTTACGCTTATTCGTTCACTATGATGGCGTAGAGGGCATTGGCATTGACATTAAGAATCTGAGCATCCCGTAGTGGTTGCCAGGAAGGAGAGCTTTGAAGTGAGTCAAAGCGTCCAGCATCAACAACATCTCGTCGTACCGAGAGAGCAAGACGATAGAACTTATCGTGGAAGGCATCAAAGGCTTCCCCGCATCAGGATCACATGTACAGTGAACGACGGCATCTCGACGGACACGAAGAAGTTTATCACGGACGGCATCCTTACAATCGACGACATTGGATAAGACCAAATACAAATAAGAACATTGTGAGATAAGCCGATGGGAAAGCGGTTTGAGAGATGTGACAATCAAAGGGCTGGGATAGGAGTCTTGCCCGTCGCCTTGGGGGGCACACCCGGCAATTGGAAATTGCCTCGCCGACCCCCATAAAAGGGGGTCTCTGGGTTACCCCGCCCCCCGGCTTGAGGGCGCGTGAAGGCTGAACCGGAATATTCGCTACAACGCCTCTCACAAAGGACGGGTCTGTCCCCACAGCCTTGAGAATTTCATGGCCGCTTTATAGAGCAAAATGTGAGCTTTCCAAACGGGATGAGCAGTCATATGCTCTACCTCTCGAACTTGAGGGTTCGTGTCTCAACTTTTAAAGCTGTGAGATCGTCAAGTCAACGCTGGACCGTGGATCGATCACACTACGAAAACGTGAAACTGCGGAACTCTGAAAACTCTTGTTGACGGTAATTTTTGCTGAGGTGAATATTTCCGCAAATGTTCTCTCTGTTAATGACGATGGATATGTCATTTGCCCGATGTACCTCGCTCTATATATATGCTGCTATGCTGGAGTGCTGTCAGTCTATTGAGAATTATCCTTATTCTATTCTCTTGGACACTAAATTCCCGAAGTGCATCGCTAAAACCCACAATTCTGGTCTGGTTGTTGTCCCACATGGGTGAACCAATAGGAATCGATATACGTGTCGATTACCCCTGAACGACAGAGGTTTCTATGCTGTCAACAAAAGAGGGTCGCAATGTTACTAGTGCGCCCGAGGAATATTTAGCACCCCCTCAGCCTGATGATCGTGAGGCTCTTAACGACCTTGCCAAGCTCATTCCCTATTCATTCTGCACTTTCTGTATTATTAAAAGATCACTCTTAAGTACTCAATTGGTTATGTCCGTACTAATCCGTACTGCAACGACCACGTTCCGACAGAATGAGTGTTGTAGTTAGTGTCAGTGGTAATTTACCACTAAAGCCCGTTTCAGACAGGATCCACATGAGAAGCTCACAAAGAAGCAAGCCCCTGAGTCTAAGTATGTATGTAACAGGCGGATGGATTTACTTGGAAAGAGACAACTGTTTAATCATAATTCAATGCTATATACGAGACCTTACCGATTCAGCGATCGCCGACAATATTTAACCACAGAGAAACACATACTTCCTAGCACAGAATCTATATTTCAGCAGGTATTGGCCTACATACATAGAAAATTTACAACCACTAGATCTATATGGTTGTGTTATAATAGGGCCACAGAATCATCTAACTTTGCCATCGTCGAATATTCATAGCTCTACTGTTACAAATTGCAATTAATGTTGCGCTATTGCGGAATGTCTTGCTGTAGATATGTGGAGAAAAGTCAGACTGGGCAGAGGCTGGATTGGCCTAAATATGCATTCGTACAGTGGATAAGATCGGTATGATACATAGATGTTTACGAGGGGCTTCCACACACAAGTAAGATTAATTCTTTTGAATCGATCGGATTGAAGAGGGCAGAAAACATGTTTGCCAGTTGGGAAAAGGTGGATCAAAAATATAATTCTAAACTGGACAATCCTAGGAATGCCATCAAAATTGACGATAAGCCCATTCAGAACTCTTGCTCGAATCCATCAGCGGAGACCATAGCGTCACCGGCAATCTCCTCATAATCCCTCTCCAGAGCTGCTAAGTTCTCACGAGCCTCGGAGAACTCGCCCTCCTCCATACCCTCACCCACGTACCAATGGACGAAGGCACGTTTGGTGTACATGAGGTCGAATTTGTGATCGAGACGGCCCCAGGCCTCAGCGATAGAGGTGGAGTTAGAAAGCATAGTGACCGAACGGTCGACAGCTGCAAGTTGGCTATCAGGCACACTTACAGGCTTCTGGTAATTGATTCCAACCTTAAACCCGGTGGGACACCACTCGACTAGGTTGAACGACGCCTTGGATTTGACATGAGCAATAGCTTGGCTGCATTCGTAAGGCACAACGTCTCCTCGGTACAGAAGAGCCACAGCCATATACTTGCCCTTATAAGGATCGCAGACAACCATCTGATGTTTGGGTTCAAAGCCTGCCTGATAATCAGTATGAAACAACATTTAATAACAAAACACGTGCAAGCACATACACTGCATAGTAAGTTCTCTAACTTTGTGGCCTTCGTGGCTGCTGCGGTTACTAGATATGATCGGAGCATATGAAATAAGAGGGTAATGAATACGCGGGAACGGCACGAGATTGGTCTGGAACTCATTCAGGTCGACATTGAGGGCGCCTTCGAAGCGCAAGCTAGCGGTGACAGAGCTAACCACCTGAGCGATGAGCCGGTTGAGATGATCAAAGCCAGGTCGAGGGATGTCTAGGTTGCGTTTACAGATATCGTAAACTGCTTCGTTGTCGACAAGGAATGTACATTCAGAGTTTTCAATGGTGCTATGGGTGGATAGCACAGCATTATATGGTTCTACCACGGCAGTCGCCACGGTGGGAGATGGGTAGACTGCGAACTCCAGCTTCGATTTCTTGCCGTACTCGGCAGCAAGGCGCTCTAGCAACAAAGCACCGAAGCCAGAGCCAGTACCACCACCGATAGAGCGGAAGATCAAGAAACCCTGAAGGGAGGAGCAGTTATCTGTTATGAGGTGAGATGAGAGGCTAGTAATCAAGGGAACTTAAAAAATACATACCAGCCACACGTCGGATTCGATCAATAACATTATCCAAGAGCCCCTTGCCAACAGTATAGTGACCACGAGCATCTATTACGTATTAGCTTTCACGAACGCACGTATTCCAGATATGAGGGGCTCATGCAGTTATTGGCGGCATCTTCTTTCCCACTTATCAATTGTTCTGGGTGGAACAGATTGCGGTAGGTACCGGTGCGGATCTCGTCAACAGGCTGAATCGGCCCCAAAAATCAGTTATTCACACTAGCCTTCAAGCAAGCAGCTGGTTGGTTGTCACATACCGAAGGGTCGAGGTCGACAAAGATCGAACGGGGGACGTATTTGCCATTTTCGGCCTCGGCGAAGAAGGTCTCATATGAGCTGCTTTTGCGAATACCCTCGCTAATATCCGAATTTATATGTCCATCTGGCATCAAGCTGTGTTCGAGTAGATAACTGTATTATCACCGAACGGTTAGTCATTGCCGAATAAGTATGGATCTCAAAGCAGTAAGACTTACAGCTCCCATGCCGCGTTACCCAGCTGGACACCAGCCTGGCCGACGTGAATATGACAAATCTAACAAGCCAGCACATCAGTGTCAGATATATGGTGGGTTAGGTTTGGTTTGGAATACAAAAGTATTGAGTGCCAAACCGCGAGGCCGGATTGTGTTTCGCGCTCCGAGCCTAAGAAACTAGGCCGGGCAAGGCTGAATAATCAACACGGCCAGCGTTGAACAGTAAAAGGAAAGCACGTACTTCGCCGCGCATAGTAGATAGACGAAACCTCAGAAATTGTTTTGCGTAATATCAGGTAGAGAGACGTGATATGGGTCATAGGTGTGGTCATGTTTGAGAATTTCCATATTGGGCAGGATGTGGGGCAGAATTATAGAGCGGTCTACTAGCGCGCTAATGTAGGGCCTGTGCTGCCAAGATCTTGTCCGAGGGCTCCGGGCGCGGATTCTCATTTCACAGTTGTACAGTAAGCTACCTCTCTGTTGCTTAATCTTGGTGAATTATCCTAAGACACCATTTCGAATTTTTGACAAGAACGCAAATTTAAATTTGCCTTCTTCTGCTTTCGTTCGTCGCTGCGGGTTCACTGCCACATCACGCGGTACTCCGATTCCGCCAGAAATTAATACCGCTCCACGCGAATTGAATAGAACCGAACTTTTGGCAGATTCGATTCGATTCGAATGAATATTCAAAATGACGATTCGAGTTCGATTTGAAGTTCGTAAACTTTTTGTAGTAATGCTTCATCGGGAAGGCGTGTCAATGACGTATGTGGACTACAGATGATGACCGTGGCAGATATTCATCTACCGTGGTTTTCCGTGGTTTTAATCACTGAAACAATGTCGAAAAGTTCAGAGAGTCGCAAAGCAACTTCCTTGGGACTTCTGTCGGTAGTCGGTAGTCGTTGACCACATGTGTGTGGTATTAGCAGTTGCATCTGGCCCTGAGTGCAGCTCGCTTCCTGGTAGGTCCAATTTCGACGAAACCACCTGTCAGCCGAAATGTTGGATAATAAATGGTTTACTTCTGAGAGACTCTGAGGGTCAACAGGGTCGTACCAAGAAGTCTGCCAGGAATGATCTGAATGTTTTGACCTGTCCCTGACAAGGGAGAGTATTCGCGTGAATGTTTGCAAAGTCGACTCGGAATGAATTGTTGTGCTTAACAGCCCGATAGAGTTGGTAGCAGATCGATAGACTTGGTCCATACATTGAACGCCTTGCTCCAAGTCAAGGATATCATCCTGGTCAATACACTCCTGGTCAACCCAGATGAAGCGGATACCCTGTGCAATCGCATAAGATACCGATCTCTCTATTACTCTTCTGGGTGCCCTGCTCGGTCGAACGCTTCCGTTTGTCTGAATGTTGTAAGGCGGACAAGCCGGTATTCTATCACGATTTTTGGACGAATCCCAACAATACGAGACTGCGAGATAGTTCATCTCTCCTGGAAACTCGGTCTTTTCTGTCAGATTCAGAGTTCTCGTTCGGTTGAGGGATTCGTCCAGCTCAATTATATCGATTCTGGGAACTTCAATGAAGCGGAGGTGATTGGCCCAATGTGAAAAATTAGCCCGCGGTATGACATTTCCCTGGATCTGTAGCATCTTCTCTATGAGACCATCGAGAGAGCCAAAGACTACGCCAAGCTTTGTGTCTATGTCAAGCTCCATGTCGATCGGCATTTGCAAAAGATACAATGCCACGTTGCTTTGTAAGGAGTGTAAATGATGCGTTGCACTGGAATCCTAGCTGTCGATGAGCTTTTTGACTAAGGCTCAATCTTGTCCAGCAGGGACTATGGTTCTTTATATAACTTGGCAGAACAGAGCGAGCCACAAACTCATCCATCAGGTAACGGTCCAGCCGCGGATGGTCTGCCCTCGGGTCACGTGAAAATCATGAGATTAGCGTGACTCGGGCAGTCTCGCACATCCAATTAGGCTTTAACGTTCGCTGATCTACTTATCTCTGCTTATAAAAATGCCAAAGGCTTAGCTCCAGTTTTACTAGGGAGAACTGAAACAATGTTGCACGAATGGACCCGAGTATGTTCTTTTACGGTCTCCCTAATGTACATGCATTCCATTGCGTGGGACGCATTTTGCTGTAGCGACCGCGCCAAGTTGTCATAATACTGTGTGCATGCTCCAAGAGAATGCGAGGTCTAGAATAATGATTACAAGAGGGGAGCGGAACGGAAAAGAGATTCACATGACGAATATGCTCCTGATTGGTTCCTGGTCTTCGGTCTGTTCTCACAGAACTAATTTCCTCTCAAGAGGATTCTCTCAAGAGCCAATTTATCTCGGAAGAAAGCTTCTGGTTCCTGCGTCCCAAGCGTCATACCATTTTGAGACGCTCGATCTGGAATGACCTTATCGTCGATAGCTTCTTGGCACCTTATCTACGAGAAGCTCTACATAGGCCAACGATAGACACAGATAATCTTTTCCATTCCATCCAAACTCTTCGAAGGTTTCGTTTGGGTCTACATCGCTCCTATCTGTCAATTACTCTTAGTTTGGGTGACTCGTGTCCATATCAGACCTGAGAGGGTATTCTTAATCGCCTTTTATGATGACGTGTAATTCTCTGACTAATGAATTCTGAATTGGACTGCTCAGCGGCCAAGTTGACGATAGTAGGATCCGTGGCCGGGCGAGCTTTTTTCCCCTGGAAACTGAGATCGCTCTAGGAGCAGCGCTGGAGCTCCCAGGAGCAGGCAAACCTGGGAGCTCTCCGCCTTTTTGTCAGGCTTCAATATGTGGCATACATGATAAGCGGAGGACATGGACCTGCATAGCGTATCTCGGTTCCTCTGAATGTGAGGAGGTTACTGTTTACTACGTCCTTGTGCAAGTTATTCATAGAAATAGTACAGTAACCAAAGCTTCTAGGGTGGTGACTTCTCGTTCCCCGGAGCTATACAGTTCGCTCCCGGAAGCTGTATGTCCTCCGGGAACTATTATTCCTACTACTGGAAGCAAGTAATAGCGTGCCTGGGAACCACGCCATAGATCCTGGGGTTGAAGATGATCCTAGGAACGTGAGGTCTCACTCGCGAGATTGAAAATGGATCTAGCATGGGCCATCAAAATTGAAAATGCAAATAAAAATGCCGGGAGTAACAGCTGGAAAGGGTCAGGTAAATGCGCAAAAAATGGTGCAAAGACACTGATCGGAGAGGGACATAATGTATTCTCATTCCCTCAACATGAATAGAAACATGCTAATCAGGACAGGAAGGTGAGGCCTTGAGAACATGGCATAAGAGTGGATGCCTCACGAACACTTGGGTAGCAGGGGAAATATATTCTTGCACCACACTGAGGGGGGGGGGGGGGGATTGGCTGGGTATGAGGAAATGCGCGTCATTTGGAGTGGAGACTGTTGTCTGGCCAGTAATATTCAATGAACACCCTACTTCTTTCCCTGTGTCTAGCGAGAATTAAATCCGTTCATTTATTGTCTTCGACCATAGACAACCGTATAATCACCGACTACCAATTTCTCGCCCGTTGACCCTCATACTTCCTTTAATCATTCTAGTCGATACTGTAATGATCCGTTCATTCTGTTGATATTTGGCGTGGAAAACATGTTATCATCCATCACGCTGTACAAATGACCGAACTTCCCCAAGCAGCCATTTACTATTTAATTATTGTTGACCCTCAAGATCATAATTCTCTGTTATATAGTAAACAGGCCTCGACTTGATGCGTCCCTCGGCATCAGGCGTCGAAATAGACGTAATAATGAATCGCCTGGCGCACTTTACGTTGATCACCTGCTGGAATGACCATTTCGGATTTTTGCTAGTCATGAACTCTCAAGACCGCAGTTTCTTGAGCACGAATTCCTCGACCACCTTTGGTCGTGGTTTTGAACGCAAGATCCTTTGCCTGCTGTGAACTCCTCAGCTGCCGGGGGACAGTTTCACGTCCTAGTTGACCACGAACTCTAAAGACCACGGTTCTGGAGCGCAGCACTCCTTTTCAACGAGAAAATTCATGAACATGAGAGAGCCCTTGTTTCTGTACAAATACCTGTCTGTAGCCTTCAGAATCCTTAAGTGTTACTTGGTCTAAACCTGCGATTATTTACTGCCCCGGTTTCATTTAGTCTTTTCTCACAGGAACGAGTCTCTTCACATGGCTTCCACACCTGCTTCCCCGCCCACTGGATCTATATCTGTCAGAAAGTCCAAGCGCCAAAAGCAAGGCCGTCGAAAATCAAGCCTTATGAGAAAGCGGCCGAATATAGCAAGATGTGCGATGCTGATGTCTGTGTGGGTATATGCCTTCGGGAAACCGGCGAAGTCTTCATCTTATCAGCGGATTCTTCTGGATTTTGGGCTTTCCTTGGCTCGCAATTGGTATGATTCCAACTATGCCTCTCACGAAAAGTCGACTAACCTATCAGGACTCCTACTACCCAGCCCCAAAACTAGTGACTGATCAGGATCTGAAGTTTGTTGGTTAAGACACACCGGAATAAAATACATGAAACTTGGGACGAAGGCGGTACTGTACTTCCACTAGCACCTTTGCATTTCATGATTTGTTCGGCCTATTCGGTCAGCGACATGAAGCAACCATTCATTGTTCTTATTTCCCCCTTTTCTTGATAGTTCAAGTAATTGAGCGTAAAGCCCGATGAGCTGCGGTTCCAGAGTGGACTGATCCTTCACACGCAAGGATTATCTACACGCAGTAGGGTCTAAATTCAGTAACGGCTACTTATCGTTCCGATGATCCCGAGAATGGAGGTAGCAGATGTGACCGGTTTATCACCTGCGTAATTTACCGTCGTGAAAATGCGGTTTCTATAAATCTAAATAAGCCCGTATCTACATCGATGAGAAGCTCTCGTGAAGTTTGGGGAGATGAACAATCCGTTGTGAGATTCAATATAATGCGTCTATTAGTCAGTACGGAAAATATGATTGGTTAACTACGTGACAGACCAAGGTTGGAGACCTGAGGAATATGGCTTCAAATTGGACAGGGCACGGACTTGACTAGGTTGAAGTAAATTCTTGCAATGGACTACTGGGACTACTGGGGGGCGCCTAGGTATTAGGGGAAGCGCGTGACTTAGGGTGGAGTCTGTAGTCTGGCTAATCACATTTCAATAAACACCCTACTTCTTTTTCATTACTCTGGCCTCAGATTTATGAGACAACCGGTTGTTCACCGGTTGCAAGTTTGCTTGCCCGTTTACCGTCATGTTTATGCTTCCAACGGTATCTTTGCACCGCTATGTCCGCCCTATGTTGCCCAATTAACCACCTCTTCTCTTCTGTTACCCACACTTATTGCCCTCATCTCATGTTTATTGCTCTTGTTGAATACTCGGTTCAAGTTTCACATTCTACATCGCGAGATCCTCACTTCCTAGGATCATCTTCAACCCCAGGATCTATGGCATGGTTCCCAGGCACGCCATTACTTACTCCCAGGAGTAGGAATAATAGTTCCCAGGGACATACAGCTCCCGGAAGTGAACTGTGTAGCTCCGGGGAACGAGAGGTTATCACCCTAGGAGCATCGGTTACTGCCGCACTATGTCAAATCGTTTCAGAGCCCACCTTAAGAGCGGTAGGCCTATGTTGGGCCACTTTTCCGACCGTACCGCGCTGACTAATAAATACATGCTGAGTCATATAGAAATTCCCAGTAACGGTAACAAGGGATAATCCGTAGCGGTAGCTGCCTATGAGTGTCATCGTATAGGTATGCTGTCACCTTCACTCTTCAATACGCCTTATTACCTCTTGTTCCTCTAGCTCTACCCCATCCCAAACCAAAGAAATAGAATCGAAGCAATGCCTAATCTATATGAAGCAAGGGCTAAGCAATTTTCAGCAACGTAAGTAGCACTTTAAACTGTCTTCGAGAATGGTGGTTTCTAAAACCAGTATCACTTAGCCTTCTTCCACTGTTTCATCGTCCTACTGTCATAATTCGGATAAGCTCTAGCGACCATCAATATGAAATTTCAAAATACCTGCTTTGCAAAGACTCTACCTATTTTACAGCAATGTTTGAAGGTAACTTTGCAGAGGCAAGTCAGCAGGTAGCGACCCTGGAGGAAGTGGAAGGGGTGGTCTCGGTGCGGAGCTTGGAAGCACTCATACAGTGGATGTACCTGCACAGAATCCAGTTCGATTGCGAAGGCCCAGAAGATCAAATATCGGCTACGATAGAGCTTGCCAGACTTGCAGATATGTGCAATATTACGGGGATGGAATCACAAATGGCTCAGTTTATCAAGGCTATACTTGTTGCCAATCCTGATCCTCGAGGCAGCGACTTCCTTGAACGACACATCGATACTAATACCTATTGCCTCACACATCAACATATCATCTGGGCTACCTTTTTGCCTCCAGGACATTTAGTGCATCGTATCATTGCGGCAGCGTCGGTTGAAGGTTATCTTCGAAGCAAAAACTACAAATTTGTGCAGGAAACCCTGGAATACCCCATCTTCGGAGCTGACCTACTTCAAGAAGTAAGGTCAACACTAGATGGGCGCAAGGTCACTAAGGGGGAGGCCAAACTTGACGACCCTATCAGCGGAACGGAAATAAGTATCAACTCTGCTTCGGATTCCTAGTATAATCGATGTACCCGGAGCTCTGTTTGCTGTAACTGCGTCAGCGATCATTGCCGACTGATGGACAGCTGTAATCGAAGTGATGGCTTATCAGTACTGTACCACCATCAACCTATGCCGGGCGGATCGCTTGCCTAATCTGTGACTAGTGTTTGTAAATTAGGGGGGATCTTCGGACATAACGCGGGAGAGTTTTGAGGAAAAAGTGATTTCGAACATGACTCTAGTATTTCAAGTGAACAATTTATATTAAGAACAGCCAAATTCGACTCTAGAGGTCGACTATCGTTTCCTGCTGTGCTAACAAATCCACACCATATATGCCATTGACCTGACATGTTTGAGGATGGTATCGCAATTTACAAGGGCCCATGTACTCCAAGGTGGAGAAAGGAGTACCGGCAAGACCAATCATACCGACCCGCAGTAAGTCCCTACTTCCGTCACTAACCATGCTAGCGAATGTTGGACTGGGAGCCACGGACTGGAAGTCTACAAAGTATTGACGTAGGAAAGGGGATGTTAGACAAACAAAGGGAAATGTAATTAAATTGGTCTTCCAGATCAACCTGGGCGCGCCCATTCGTCACCTGTCCAGTATGTCGTAAATCGACATATTCTTCACCATGCCGTTTGATTGCGAACTATATTCAAGCCTTGCTGCACCCACATGCGGCATGGAGCAGCCAACACCCTGGATACCACCAGGAGACTCTAGGTCAGAGAGCTCTGGTTGTGAGATGGTCTCGATAGGGTCGGAGCTAACCGCACTTTCTCGAACTCCGTTATAATCTTGGCAATTGAGGATATTCGTAGAGCTCTGTGAAAATTGCTTTGTATGCAAATACATGGCATCAATACTTTCGACTTCATGCGGCCGGTTGTTCGACTTCCAATAAGAGGGCGTTGCTGTTGAACAATTGTGATCCACAGGAGGCTGATTTGGCGCGGCCGAAAGCTTTGAATTCGTTGGTACCAGGGCAACCAGTGATGGAAGTTGAGATATAGTAGGTTCTGTTCGCTGTCTTTGCAATTTCAGGTATTCTTCGATTTGTGTTTCGGTAACACCATGGTGCATTAGCAAGGACCGGAGTAAAACATTCTCTGATTTGACTTTTTCCCCGCCTTCTGCGTTTCCTGTGTCGCCGCAATGCCGAGTTGTTCGAATGTCCTCAATCGTTGCTCAAGGTGCTGGATATACTCCTTGCGCCGTGTGCGAGAGCGCCGTTGGTTTTCGCGGACTCGAGCTGATGATGCTTCATGACCGGCACTCATATTTTCAGGCTGCATAGATTTATACTTCGGCTACTAACCAAGAATAAGGTGCGAGGTTATGAGCTGGAAGTGTACGATTCATGCGTTGGTCCAAAGAGAGTCGAGATTTGGTTTTTACTTCGATTACTAAGCGCAGGTCCAATCCTAGGCCCAACTTCGGTGGCGATAACCAACCAAACCTTTTGGTCTTCTAATATTGTCACATGGCGCGAGTACTCTTTGAGGAATTACTTGCCTGCTCAACTGTTCAGTTGCTGATAGGTCCCCGACTAATATGAAGCCCATGCGAAGGTTTTCCTCGGCCTAGTGCAAACACGGGAAACAGAAAGAGCACCTTTTCACCGAGTCCAAGGGCGGAGCGACGCTCCCAGACCGTACAAACTCAGCTGTCTTTAATGGGAGTGCGCTTCCTCGTTAATTATTGCAATCAGTTTCTGCAGCATAGTCCGAATTTCTCTTCGGAAGACACGAGAATCCGAAGACCTCGCACTGACCTTCCACTGAGCACGTGATCAATGACGTCTTCGGTTTCACTACCTCGCAGTCCGCTTTCGGCTTCCTCACAGCTGATCGGCATTTCTTCTTCCTCAAGGCCGCTCAGCCTGTGATGAGAGCATTCGCAGCTTCGAGTGGGCAGAAACGTCTGCAGGCGATGCAAATAAGCTGTTCTCTCTCAAGGCTTTACTGCAATATACTTATGGCCAGAACACAGTATGAATCAACACCAATATCATTGCCGAATCTGCACTATTTGCCCCCAGTTCTTCTCAAACAGTGACTGCGTCAACCTCGATGTCCACTTGCAGCTCAGTATCTAGCAACTGTAATGATCAAGGCGACATCGGACTACCAAATGATGCCTTGGCCCTTCGGCTATTCGTGGATTTGAATCGTTCAAAGTCTGCGAAACAGACTTCCACCAAATCTGATGCCAATTGGAGAGGGTGAGGAGAGCCGGCTTGCAGCGACGGTTGCGGGTGCGGGTGTGGCTGAGGTTGCGGTTGAGGTTGCGGTTGAGGTAGCGGGGTTGGTGGGGGTCTGGTAAGAGTGGTAGGACCGGCTACCGGAGATTCCTCGTACTGTATGCTGAGGTTCGAAATGGTTGCCTTCGGGGGTAATCTGTTGGAGGGAAGGTGGTGGTGCGTAGGTGGTGATTTGGTCGAAGTAGTTGTTGACTGGGACACTGAGTCGGGGTTCTCGAAATGTGATTTTAGATCGCGATAGATGATCTGCTACATGCAATTCTCTGTGTGAAGTCGCGGTATTTCTTCGATGGGGGCTCGCAAGAATGTGGTTAAAGGGGTCGTCGTTCCACAGGCAAAGCAGCATGTAGCTCGGCTGTTCGGCCCTAGTGGCTTGTAATACAGGCCATTCTGTGCTAGTTGGAGAGGGGTGACGCCGCTTAGGAGCTGTCCATGAAATGAGACAGCCCTGGCAGCGATGGTGCCGTGGGTGGTCGAGATACGGTCATAAGGCTGATCGGCGTGATGCGGGGCGGTTTGTGCGGGTAGAGTAGTGGGGTAGGCGGGTTTGAGGAGAGATGATGGGGGACGAAGAACAGGAAAAGGTCTCCTGCCCTTTTTACCCTTTTCCATGGCGGAGTCCGACAGGCTCGATCCGTTCCAGAATTTGTCCGAATTACAGGATGGATCGAAATCAGTTTCACTTCGTACACAGAGTTTCTTTCTCGAACCCTCTTTCGAAACACGCCATTACCTATTACAAGTTGATCTTATGCTGAACCCCTCTCTTGGCGGTAATCTGATACAGCCGTAGATAATAGCTCAAAATAGCTTCTGTATCAGACTCGTAAGGCCTCTGTAATTTTCAGCGCCTATCACGTGCCAAACAGTGATTTTTGTGGCGGGGCTTTCGAGCTTATTGGGCGATCGAGAGAGCCCCGTACAAATCATTGGCACATCTATTTGCCCTATGTGAGATTGTATTCGTGGCTCATTCATCCGTACCCTAGGATAATTCTTACTTTGCACACCGCCACATTTGAGAGCGCCTATAGAGCAGGATGAATAAAAGGGTAAGCAGAAAATGGAAGAATAGTCTTTCATCACAGAGACAGTGAATCCGTATTTTCCTAGGTTTGAGCAGCAAAATATTATCTCCGTTGTCTACAGCTAAAATATCTGGTACGTGATACGCACAGGACTTGAAAGACAACGCTAAAAACAAAACTTGAATACAGTAATGAGTCTGCAACAAAATTATTGCACACGCTGCGGATTTAACCTCGAGTCCTTTTCCGCCAAACTACAGCATATCCAAAATTCTCATTTTCACCATTTTTGTCATGTTTGTGTTCCACCATTGGAGTTCGAGAAGCTGGTTGAGCTTGACGAACATTTGGGAGCTGAGCACAATATCTGTTTCTCCTGCGACATTCATTTTGACAGGCCCGATGAACTTGTTCAGCACGATATAAAAGATCATTATATGTGTGTCGCTTGTCGGAAATATTTTGATTCCCTATCGAGTTTGACTGATGTAAGCTCTGTATTATGTTACCCAAAGTAGTGGACATTCTAACACATCGCTCTAGCACATGACTATCCATGCTAATCCAATTATTGCTCTGGATGACAAGGTTGGGATTCCAACTGCATAGTTTCAATATCCCATCGGGGATATGAGTATATGTGGGGTGGGATCTTTCATTACGATTGATTATTGGGTACAATTTTGGGTGAGCTGCGAGATGTTAGTATTCTTGGCAAGAAACGTTACAAATACTTCGATACGATTTCGTCACCTGATTGTATCTTTCACCACCATCCAATACCTGACGTCGCACCAAATCCAAAATAAATAAGCGTGTTTCGAAAGAGGGTTCGAGAAAGAATCTCTGTGTAGGTGGTGAAACTGATTTCGATCCATCCTGTACACTTGACATCCTGTAGTAGGCCACCATAAGACAACCTCACGACCCTTTGACGAAAGGTAGACGGGGATTTCGATCCATCCTGTACTTGCAGAAAGGATCCTGTACCGGAGAAAGTGTTATGTACCGAACTGAAGGGATGGCGGACCCACATGCGGGAGGGCCCGAGCCCCCTCGCACGCCTAGAATGACAACGACTAACGCGTTGGACAACTTTAATCCAACCGCTGCGCCTCGGACCAGAAGATAGGCTCGGCCGAGCGATGGCCACACCACTGTAACGTGACCCGAGACCACGAGCTCCGGAGACAACAATGGACGCGTCACGACCCGGGAAATCTGCCGACTGATCGAAGGCCTAAAAGAAACGATCGCCTACTAAACCGAGCTTATCCAATCCACTAAGAACGAACTGCTAGAAGTGAAGCGCGACTAGATCGTCCTCCACACGTAGAACGAGAAACTTTACGAGGAAGTTCGAGCCTTGCGGGCGTATATTGACGCCCTCCCTTCACCACAGGCCGTAAACTCATGGACTATAGTAGCAGCGAGCCACCCACCTTCTTAACTAAACCACTAGCGCCTAGACAAGGACTAAGACTGCGTCCGAATCAGCACTTAGCGCTCTTTTGTGGACCCTAGAGACAATGAAATTAACGTACCAAACACCTTTGGGCGATATCTCCTAACGGAGACCGTAAACCTCTAAATCCGCACGGCGCTGGCGAACGCACCGCCTATATAAGACGCCTAAGTAGCCGGGGTGGGCACCACCAAAACTAGATATGTTATCCGTTTTAAAGACACAGAGTCTGCGGAAGCGGCCCGTAATAGCATAGAATGGCTGAACGAGCTAGGAAATAACATAAAAATGGTTAAGACGCGGTTCGGCGTCGTGGTATACCGGACCCCGACTAAGGACTTTGACCTCGAAAATGCAAATATATAGGCAATTAAGAAAATCATGAAAGACAACGACCTCACCGAACGAGGACTCCGGATCGAGGAGATTGCGTGGCTGAAGAAGAAAGATAAGGCTTTGGGGCATCACGCGTCCCTCGGTATCTGGTTCGACTCCGCGGAAGGGGTTAACCATATTCTAGGCAAAGGCTTTCTAGCCGGCCGGAGATTCATAGATAGCGTGGAACGCTGTGAACTGAAAAGAAAGAGATGCTTCCGGTGCTAACGATTTGGACACCTCATATATTTTAGGTTATTAGGGTAGGGATCATTTAAAGAAATGATAAAAACAAAGTGAGATTAAGATTGAAGATAGATGAATCAGAGAAATAGATGATTGAGATTGATAATTCTTTTTTTCTAGGTAATCCTGCTCAATTTAAGTTAAATTTCTCTGTTCTTCCTTTTTGATGCTTTCGGCTTATTTGCTGCATTCGTAGGAATCCTAGGGTTATATTCTTATTGTTGTATTTTGAGGTTTCCTCGGATTTCCGGATACAGTTTTCCTGAAAGCGGTTTATCATGCATTTTTCTGTGTTCGTAATTCTTCCATGTTTTTCTATAGTTCTTTGCTCTTCTTTGGAATTCTTAGATGTTCCATATTTTCTATTGTCTTGTTCCTTTTTGTATGCTTGCTTGTTTTAGAGTCTTCATGGAATTCTTGAGTATGGTGTTTGCATGTATTGTTTTTCTGTTCGAACTTGTGTTCAAGTTCTTGTGTCATATTGTACTTATGTTTGTAACTTCTGTTACGTCTCTTTTTTCTTATGTTAAGTTTTCTTTATGTGTTTCTTCATGTTCTTCTTCTTTTGTTAAATCTTGTTTTATTATATATTGATAGTATAGTTATATAAAGAAACGCCTCGATGCGGGTATTGCGCTAGCTAACACGAGCGAGAAGGCTGTCCCCCGGGCGTGAGAGCCCGATGCCTCGACTACGGTGGCGAATACCTAACCAGCGATCGCTAGTGCCGAACGCCGGCAACCTCTAACTCCCAATATTAGAGACAAACCTACGCATTTTATAGTTAAATATTATAAAATCGGGGCCGAGTAGGCCTCTGCACAGGACCGAAAAGACCGCAACCAAGATCGCACCAGACCCGCACCGCGCGGTCTTTGGTCCTATACCTTGAGACCGCTGGGCGGTCCTACCTTTTTTAGGACCGCACCACTGCGGTTTGGTGCGGTCCTGCGGTCCTGTAAAGAAGCAAAAATTCTAAACACCCGTGGCATACATAATTTATGTAGAAGCCGCCGGTATTTTTGAGTATTTTGCTTTCAACTCATACTTGTTTTTATACCATTCAAAGGTAGGAGGAAAGACTAATTCTTTGTTTAGCTGCTATAAATCTCTGCCAAAAAAGCGAGGATTGACTGATTCTTTCAGGAATGGCTAATTTGATTCTTGTTTCTATTAAAGATATACAAAATCCTCATCCTGTCTCAAGCGCTTTGGAACACGCCCAGAGGAACGCCTCTAAGTAGTCCTTTCTTCTTCCAAGTGGCTATTATTAGGCAGGGGAACCTTATCATCCTCGAGTTCAATTAGCTGATCCGATATAGCCCTTCTCTTTCCAAGGGCTCGCGCATTAGGATTTTGGATAGTTTCGGCAGAAGCTTCAGAATTAGATAGGTCCTCTTCATCATCACTGATTGGATCAAATTCTTCCTCTTTCTTCTAGGCATCCTTCTGCTCTTTCTTTGCTTGCTTCTCTTACGTAGAAAGATACTCATCAATTAGGGCAAGCTGCTCTGACTCCACGTCGAACTTTGTTGTATATATAAACAACATCAATTCCTTAATTGTCTGCGGTTTTAATGAGCCCCGGCGATAATAACAGATATCACGGGTAGAGTTAAACAGCCGCTCAACGCCAGAACCACTAGCGGGTGTTATAAGGACGTCTCGGGCAAGGCTTGCCAGAATAGGGTATTGATTTCGGTATTCTTTCCAGAAAACGAGAGGCGTTGCTTCAACAGTACCTAGTAAGGTTAGTATGGGAGAAGGAGTATATAAGAAGGGATTAAATTACTACTTCCAAGATACCGTGTAAGCTTATCTGGAGCCGTCGCTTTTGACTGAAGAGATACAGTAGATCTTAGAAGGATGTCAATATTAGAGACGTCTTGACTTATAGCCTGGAGAGTTGATGTAGACTGTGTCTCTTCGTGGCGCTGCCGGTAAGGCTGAATATAAGCCTCTAGCGACTTCTTATAGCGTGGCCCCCAGTGAGGTTCCCATTCTAATGTTATAAAGAACTCTAGCTTGTTCCGTGGCGCCAGGATAGTCGCAATTGTATAGAGATCACCAGGGATATCATCAGTCTTTCCATAATACTCGGTAAGCTTATCTCGCGTACGATTGAGCGCGGACTTTATCACCCTCTTCTAACCAACCTTCTTCCGCGCGAGCTACGCTTTCGCCTTATCAATGTAGGTGAACAGGGCGTTATAGATACTAAAGACGTTGTGAATGGTCACATCTATAGTTGCTAAAAGAGACGAGGTGAATTTGAAGAAGGGATAGGTGATTGATAGAAGATAGTCAACTTATCGCCATTCATCTCCGTCCATCCTCATATCAGTAAGGTTGAACTGGACATAGAAATCATCAAAGGCGGACTGTAACCGCTTAGCACGCCGGAGCATAAGGAACGTTGAATTCTACCGTGTCCGAACATCTTGTATAGGTATAAGCTTTGGCTCTTTTGTCTGAAGCCTTATGAAGCTCTTACGGCGCCGAGGACTTTTGTTGATGTAGACTGCTACCTTCCGAACCTAGAAGATAGTACAAGTTAGTGAAGAAAGAGAGATAAGAGTAGGAGATTAGATAGATCCAGACCCTATTTAGAGTACCCACGATCGTTCTATTCTCTTACCGAGCTATATGCCCTCTCTCGGTCCATTCGATCTCTTCCCTCTCGTTTCGCGGGTTCGCGTCTATCTAACCAAGAAGCTCCTTCAAACTAAGCTGTATAACATGCGCAATACATGGTATACGAATAACTGGTATACTACGAGGTAGCTCTAGGGAGTCGATAGCCTCCTAAAGGCTACCCAGCAATGTACCGTTATTAGATGCGTTGTTAGTGGTAATAGTCAACACTCTCTCAGTAATCTGGTGCTTCTCTAGAAGATCAAGCAGAACAGTGCTTAGATAGGCCCCTGTATGCGACCCATATAGAGGTTCAAACCTAAGTAAGAGCTCACGGTAGTTCCACTTTTGGTCAATGAAATAGCCCGTTATTGCCATAAAAGCTTGGCGAAAGGGTGAGTTCCAGCAATCTAATGCAATAGAGAGCTTAACACCATCAGGGAGCTTCTGTAGAAGAGTGTATTGGCGTTCTTCCACGATTTCTTGAAGATGACGGCGGATAGTAGTTGCAGTAGGGATTTTGGGGAAGCAAGGAGCAAGCCGGACCATCTCAAGAAGGGCGCGAAATTCAGGATGCTCAATGAGCTAGAAGGGTAGCCGCGAGGCAGCAATAAAGGTAATTAACTTTTCCATCCAAGCTTACGGCGTAAACGATGCTTTACGAGATGCCAGATATGCCTAGAAGGAAGAGCTTGTAAGATTTAGTAATATTTAGATTAAAGGTAGACTGATCCATACCCCGTTCTTCATAGCCTCTCTGATATCTTGCGATTGAGTCGGTCTTCTCCGACAGGCACCTACTTGCGAACAATGCCTATTTATGGTAGATGTTCCCCGGCGTTTATCGGCAGGATGGGCAAGGATATGGTCGCAATACTTACATATTACCTTAGGGGACCTATCCTGGATAGTAGCGACCTAGTAGAAGTGGTCCCAATATTCTGCATTACGTTTACCCTCGAAGATATTCCGTTTTATCTTACTTCCATACTCTGTCTTCAACCACCAGACGATAAAATCCTTATTCGCCATTTCAGTCCAGAGGATATAGTCCTTTCTTTTAGGAGGACCAACGCGTTCGAGTGTTTCTGGGAAAGTAGAAGGAATCACCAGTCGGAGTAGGCTCACGTTAGGGGTAGAAATTAGCGTTTCGCGCCCGTCGACGTTGAAGAGCCTATCAGATGTAAAGAAGGAGAGGGTATCTCGCGGATTATCCTCAAAAGCCGATAAGGGATAGTGCTCGGAGAACTAAGAGGAGGCCTGACTCTGGAACATTTTGACGAAATGAGTATAGGATAGGATACGGGGTAGGGGTAGAGGAGATACCTTCTAAAATATTTTCGGCTAAGTATAAATAGACGATTTTCTCTAGGATAGAGCGAGAAGCACAATTTAGATAGATCAAATTCAATTCTAATCGTGATTAGGCAGTAGGCCCCACTTTACTACGGTCCGATAGGATTAGGGCCGCAAAGACCGCAGAAGACCGCGTAGGACCGCAGTAGACCACAAAGAGGACCGCACAGGACCGAAAAGGACCATTTGAAGCCCTATATATCACTATATTCCGCCTTTTCTTTCCTAAGTCTACCCTCTATATAGGCGAAAACCAATTTCCTGCAGAGATTATTAGGATATATTAGTAGTAGAATGTAGAATTTCGAGATAAACTGTGATCTACGGTATCTAAGCACTCTAATGATACCCTTAATACCTATTTTAGCTATACACAAGGGGTTATATATATCTAGTGAAGAAATCTAGGGTGAAGATGGGATAAGGTACTGACATGGATATATATGTTTCTTACCTCACATATCTAGCCAGCAACAAATACTATTACACCTCCTTATGAGAACAAAAAGCATATACTTGTGTTAGCAGGGCTAAACATCTTAAATAGTAAATTTTCTACATACGAGTATATTTCATCTATTTTCATAGTAGTTGATACTGAAATACCGCAAATGTTGAAGTAGGGACCAAAACAGTGTTTAATAACAGTAATTAAAAGGGATGAATGATCAATTTATACAGCTGAAAAGGGAAGGTCTTGGCAGAATTATGCAATTGCGGTTCACCGTGGTGAAGACCGCAAGGGACCGCGGTTCACTATGGTGCGGTCTTAACCTCCAAGTTTGAAACCGCAAGACCGTGCGGTCCGGTCCGCGGTCCTCGACCTGAGGACCAAGACCGCACCATGCAGAGGCCTAATTGTGAGGGTCTCACGTATACATCGAGGTAGACAGTGTCTTTTCGACGAACTATCTATATTATGAACAACTATAGTTGACTCTAGATGCAAATGAAACGAACTTCCTCGCAAACAAGGGAACCCATATGTACCATGTGGGTCCCGTAGATCATTCTCCAAACATCCTATATACTTCATTTCATGTATGTCTGACAAACCTGCCGATTGTTCCTAGGTCGAAAAATCCCCTTCCTAGGAGCTTATCCAGAATCAAAAAACGGACTGTAATCATCAAACCTAGCTATATCCTCTATGTAACTATATTCTTTGAAACTAAAAGATACTATAAGTACTGGTTTCCTTCTAAGTCGAAAAGTTCCCTTCTACCCGAGTATAGCTTAAATATATCTTGAACTTGTTAAGCTATAACGATCGCTTCTGTATACCCACTTCTTCTACGTTGCAGTACCACTCTCCCCGAATATAAGCTGCCTATCAATACACTTTCTAATTCTGAGTCTACTGAGAATTGCGTGGCATATCCTATTGCCGTGTATCTAGAGTGACAGTCTGTCATTAGTTTTCGCGAGTATGCGCTTATACCTATCACATATCTTGCTAAACAGGTTAAAAACAGCGGTACGTGGCTTTCATTATTGACCGATTCAATCAGAATACCTCTTTCTTCCTACTAACCATGCCGTAATTCAAAAATCCGATGCGATTGTGAGGTTTCCTATTATAAAGCTTATGTGAGGCGCGGTGGATTGTGTGTCTATGGAATGAAAGCGTCAGAACGGAGACCTTTTGTCCTTGAGCCACAACTCAATCAGCAAAGGCAAGTGTAGGAGGGTCAATTTTGTGAATATCAAAGTACATGGAAAGTGCAAGAAGCGCCAACCGGGCAGCCTTCGCAACACGGAACGAGTACAGCTAAAGCAATGCAACACGTCGGAGGGTATGAAGGTGATAAAGATATCCAGCACTTAGAGAAGGATAATTCTGATCTAGACCAAAACTCGCCTGATGAAGTGTCACCAAAAATTGTTGCAGCTACCGTGGTAAAGGAAGCCTCAGGCTCTAATAGAAATGGCTATACAGCTGCTGAGGGGCATAGAGAGCTGCCCAGAAGCCTGTCGACCTCTTAACCGACAACACGTTTTGCGGAAATGACCCCTCCGGTACAATGAGCGACTTTTGGACCGATTGAGACCCATGACTGACTGGGAAGCAGACCTCTTTGCCTCCACTGCCGAACGAGCGTTGTGGAAGGTTTTATATGTCGTCGCGACCGTGACTGGGAAGAAAGCTCTGCCTTGCTGCACAGTCATCTTTAAGGGGTGGCTGATCCGTACTCGCGAAGCTTTGACTAAGTGCGATGGGTTGCACACAGTTAGTCTGGAGGATATTCAGCTCTAAACAAGATATATACTTTGTTTCTCATCGGCCAAAATGCATCCCCTCACTCAAGCCCACAGCCGTCAGTACTTGGCCTTACGTCAACTGTGCTGGATCACGGAATCTGGGACCCACATATCCAGGGCTAGTCTCTGTCGGGTCACTTTTTCTGTTTTTCCTTTCCATTTTCACTCTTACACGTGTGATCGTCATACACCTCCCCCCTCCTTAACCCCTCGTCTTCTCCAGTTATATACTCCCTCCGAATCGTCAGCCACCGGAATCTTCAATTAATCTTGGCACGACTTGATTAAAATCTACTCTCCTACCTCTTCCAACGAGGACTAGACCCGCGACCCTCCGTCTCTAGCCTCCGCGCTTAACATTCACCCCATTCGAATAAACTCGATCCACGCCTTTTCCCTCTTTGCGCAACCCAAGTTGCTTTATCTTGGAGACTCGATATCGGTTTCCTTTTTTACAACCCCTTCCACAAATTCGATCCAGCCGAATTTCCGATTATTCGGTCACCGCAAACACCTTGGGGGAAGCTAACAATAACAGTTCAAGGATCCTGGTGCATGATTTGGAAGGATTAAGAGCCTACAATTTGTAGGGTACTCCCGGCTGTGAATAATATACTTAGGCCGCATTAGATGTCACATATACTGTACATCTGCGGCCTTGTCTTCTCCTGTCCGAAGCCTCTCCAGTTCCGCGTGTTTGCATTGCCTAATGAAATAAAACCTCACCAAATCGCTGCCAATGTTCCGCAACCGGTAGGTTCTGATCGTTTTTTCTTATGTTCAAGTTCATGATTTTCAAATTCTCTTTGCTTCAGCAAAAACACCCGGAAGAAGCCTGATGGCGACTTCATCAGTCGCTTCCAACAAGCCTTCTCCGACATTGTTCCTCGCAGGGACAGCGAGGAATCCTCGAAGTCCCAACTAAATGTTGACGAAAATGGCGATACTATGATGGCTTCAAGGTAGGCAACTTTCGAAATTACCTGAAATGCGAACTATATCTGACTATCATTTCGCAAATAGGAGCATAGAACACGATATCAAATTTCCCACCCACGACCGCACTCCTCGGAATATGCAAGAACTAGGTTTGACCCCGTCATGGATGGAGCCCGGTTCTTTTTCCATGATGCCGTACGGCGATCACTCTGGTCTCTACACACCAAACTCTGGTGGACTGGGTGCTGTCTACCACAACCAGGCTGGAGATTTGCATACACCAATAGGAATGCATATGATGAATCCGCTCTCCCTCGTCAATCCCCTACATGACTCCCACCATCATCGTAACAATGGCTCTGAACCCTTCAACCCACACTTCCTTGCTAGCATGCCAGAAATCAAACCATATGCACAGCAGGCGTCATACGCCCCAAGCGCATTTATGCACCGCAATTCACACTACAATGCTATGGATGAAGCAGTTGATGATTCCTCTGTCATTGATATGAACATGGATTCAGCATCTAATGTAACGGCCTCTACAGATTTTTCAGCCCCAGCAATTCAAAATGACGATACATCTTACGCCAAGGGCGAACAGTATGTCAAACGCCCCGTGCGCCTTTTTTCCAAAGCTAACCCCTTGTTCATGTCTGGATTCCGTTTTAATGTCTCCCTCCGAGCACCAACCGCAATGGTTAAGAATTTGAGAGAAATTCCAGTCACCTATCTTAATAAAGGACAAGTATACAATCTATCCGTCACGGACTCGAATCTACCCACTGGCAGCTCTCGTTCCATTCGATACAGAACCTATGTTCGCATTTCTTTTGAGGAGCAAGAGCAAAGGGCGAGACCCTCAGCGTGTTGGCAGTTGTGGAAGGAAGGCCGAGGTTCCAGCGAAGCTCACCATCGTGGCGGAAAGTTGTTGGCTGTCGAATATGTGGATCCTCTCCAAGGCGGCGGCGATTCCCGCAAGCACCGTCAGGTACAAGTTGAGAAATTATCAGTCGATGGGTTTTGCGTCACATGGACCGCCAACCAAATGGCTGGCTCCCCGGATTGCAACATTCCCGTGCGGTTCAACTTCCTCTCTACCGATTTTAGTCACTCCAAGGGCGTCAAAGGCATTCCTATCCGACTCTGCGCGAAGACTGAGATTGTTTCTCCGGATGAAGCATCTGGTGCAACACGCGTCGTGGAGCTATCTTATTGCAAGGTGAAGCTTTTCCGGGACCATGGCGCTGAGCGCAAAATGTCCAATGACATTGCCCACGTGAAGAAGACTATCGACAAACTTAAGCAGCAGATTTCACAGGCCGAAATGGGTGGTGGTTTTGCTCAACGGAAGCGCGGTAACATCACAACTGCAACTTCAAAAGGAAATGACCGTTCTAAGCGCAAACGTACCTGGTCGCAGAGCTCAAACAACTCAAAGAAACTATGTCTGGAAGATGATCTCCAATCAAAATTGAGCGTCATGCAAGATATGTTCTTATCAACTCGTTCAGTGAGCCTGCTAGGTTTGCGCGGCGACCAACAAGATGACCCTGACCTATACCCGATTCGATTGCCAGGTGATGGGGACTCCGTCAAATTTGAGACTGTCAGCCGGCCTGGCACTGGTGATTTCTCGTCCACGGAAGCCTCAATGCCTTCACCAGAAAGCAGCAACCCTTCCGAAAATTCACCGCACCACTACTTGCGTCCGATGACGATCAGAAAGAACCCATCTACTGATCAGATCCCTAGGGGCTTCCTCGAGGCTGTGGGTATCGACTCAACATACCGACCTCCGTTGGAGCGCCCGCCCAAGCCAATTGCCTGCTTCTATGTTTGTTTCTCTGGAAACGGGGAGAACCAGCAGGACTTTTATCGCGCTATCTATCTGACTGAACGTACTGTCCGTGACTTTATGCAGCAGATCTCTAGCAAGCAACAGATCGATCCGGTGCGCATTGTCAGCATAAAGCACGTCACCGAAAATGGAATGCACATCATGGTGGATGATGATGTGGTTCGTGAGCTTCCTGAGGGGCAAGATATGCTCGTGGACATCTCAACAATTTCGGGTTCCCTCGATGCGCCCGAGTCTCCAATTGAGATCAAATTGACCTTCTAAGTGTGAATCGACTCTCATCATCGACTACCTGACCTTCAGACTCTTCTTGCATTCTGCTTCCCTCTTCTTTTTTCTTCAATTTGTTCTATTCCCTTTGTCAATTTGAATACGGAGATGAAATACGAGTCCCCGAACAATGATACCACGTCAGTTGCTTTGATCTTTATTTCTTTTATTGTTCCCTTGTGTACCGGGCGTTTCCTAACTCCCTATGGCGATATATGAGTCAAAGGGCCACGGGTTTGTAAATATACACTTTTTGTGTTGGTTCTGGACGAGCGCCGGAGCATACGTCGCTGATGCCCTGTTCCCAGTTGAACTTAGGCCTCTTCTGTTTGCTGTTGTCCGTGATGTTTTTTATTTGAGCGTTTGCAGTTATCCCTGTGCGGATTCCATTTACAACATATTTCTTTGGATATGTACAGTAATGTTCGAAATTAGCTATAACTCCACACTCTTCCAACTTGATTGCCGGAAAATAAACCCGATATACGCTAGTCCTTTTTGAATCACCGCTCTGTACTAATGGCAAAACCGTAAGTGTATTTGCTTGGCTAGGTCATCGTCTCAGCACGGCATTGTCTATGTCTCATGATGTCTCATAGTTGTACTGTAACTTACAAACACTATTCGGGCAAGCGGTCTGGAACGCGGAGGTCGATAGTGACATCCAATCAGAACTTACAGATCTCGGAATTAATTTCCGACAACCAAGTAATATGAGTAGGGAGGTATAACTGATAATCAACCTGATGCATAGCTTAGAATACGATGGCCTTCTTATTTATTCAGTTTCTTCGTATTGGCTAAATGTAGCACCTGGTTGGAAGAAAGAACTTTACAGTAGGCCCAACGTTGAAATTCGACGCGTCAATCTTCGACTGATTGATGATCGAGATTTCCAGATCGGGCCAGTCGCGGCGAGCATGCAGATAAGAAGATGTCTAGGAGATTGAACAATGTTGTATAGTGGAATATGATTCGAAATTTACTCAAGCACAATGAGCAAAAATAACCATCTCCGAGGCTACATTTCACTGAGCTCGTAATCGCCTTGATCGACGTGGCTGATGTTTGATAGTAGACGCCTTGATTTTGCCTGGTTGTTCTGACTCTCTGCTGCCTCCCAGGCTGCTTTTCTGGGCGCCCCTTTGTTCGAGATGAGCGCGTCGCATGCTGTGATGAAGATTCCAGACTGGGAACAGGTTCTAGATTTACGGCCTGTGCTCTCCTCGTCACTCGCCGTGTAGTTATATCCGCCAACTTTGAATCGGTACTTGTCCCTGGAGATCCAGAAGAGGCATAATTGTCAGTTCTTGACGGGAGGGTTGATGGTTTCACGGCGGTGATAGGGCTGGGTCTCATCAATCGAGGATCGATATTTGTCATATCAAAATCGACAGAGGAAGCGGGAGTTTCAGTGCCTTGCCGATTCTCTGATTCCACAGATGTTTCTCCTGAAGAACCGTCACCGTAGCTGGCCTGTAGTCTTTCGGTGAGATGACACAGTTTAATATTGATATCATATTTGTGTTCTTTGTAAGCATGTGCTAAAAACTCGGTGATTTTGGCAAACTTCAGAAGATTTTTATATGCTTCCCAGTTGCAGCTGATCCCGTCGTGTGCATGAAGCAGGTGAGAGTCGATGAGATGACGACGAAGTGAGTCCGGCCGCTTGGAAGGAAATTTATGCGGAGGAGGGTTCGACGCCGAGCGACGGGATTCACCGAAGCAGATGATGCAAACATCTGTTAGACATATTTGCGCATCATCATCAGACTCCAGTTGCTCCGGCTGTTCAACAGTTATGTCTTCATCTGCATCAAGATCCCAATTAACACGGTTGCCTCGCTTGCTCGGCTCGCAAAGCAGTAAATGTGCATCCATGTCCTTGGTAACCTGGATGCGCCGAGTAAGTAATTTGTCCTCGTCAAAATCTTCTGCCTCAGGACCGTAAAAGTTCTCCACAAGCCGAGCTCGTTCAGGAAATACGTAGTCCGGGATAGGGAGCTCCCAGTCTTTTTCAGCGGAACTATCAGCATCGCGTTCCTCAACATCAGATTCGCCGAGAAGCATTTGCTTGATCTGTCGGTCAACTTCAAGCACGGGAGCATTATTAAAATAGGCCTTTCTGGCTGTCTCGCGAGTTTCGATCGCCAACGTTTTCCGAAGTTTGGCTAGGTCTTTTTTGACAGTCTCATGCCTTTGGAAGAGGTGTGGAAAGGTGTCACGGGCGTTCTTGATTGTGCCAGCCACGGACCGCATCTCCGCCATAAGCTCTCTTTTCTCGCGTCTTAGTTGCAGAATTTCAGGGTTTTGGCAAATAGCACGTTTATGAGCTTCGGTAAGATCAGATGGTGCCGATAAATCTCTCTTCCTAAGCATGCTCCCAGCGAAGCTTACCAGACCTTCTTGGGAGGGCCGAAGAAGAACGACATGCTAAAGGTCGCGCGCAATAAATTGTGATTGGTAATTCTTTTCAAACACCGCGTCACCAGACTGCCCAAGCACCCTTTGTCGCTCCTGGCTAGTAAAAAGTTTCTACGAGTAGATAGTCAGCTCCGTTGCCAGTGATCCCATCTATCATGGCGAAATGAATCCATCATATCGCGTTCAGCAAGTGACATACTGTTTACTTCATTTGCCGTCCAGCGGCGGTAATTGTAATGCCCAATATCGTCTTCAAATCTAGCATCTCGACCCAACTCCTTGAGCGCCTGCCGACTAGAATCGTAGGTCATTAACAAAGACCTATCGAGTCTGTAGCCGTATGGAGTACGTCCAAGACGTCGAAGGAGAGGCACATTAAGAACCTCGGGCTTCCACCGGAGGGGAAGAGATAAACTGCGTCTTGGAACTCGTAGCCGCCAAATAAGCTCTGGTGTGAGGTCGTCATTGGCAAAAGCTCCATCGCGGAAAGCGAACGCAATGATCTGAGCTATCGGGCAATATGCCAGTTAATAATCGCCGTGCATGAAGAATTTAGTTCTGTTGGCAAGAATCAGTATCGAGGTTGGTTCATGAGAAGTTCGTATCAATATTTCAGCTTACCCATCAGCGCCTTCCGGTCGACCTTTGAGGTTGCGAAACTCGATGATGGCACAGAGGACATCACGTTTACTTTGAAGGTCTTTCAGGTAGAAAAGCTCGATATCGCGATGGCAGACCGAGTCCGGAAAATCTTTCAAGGAAATGTGCTTTGGAAGATCACTCTAGAAGGTGTCATCCCGTTTGCGTTTGCCCAAAACTGGATTGCCAGGCGACGAGGTGTCTTGAGGAGCAAGACGCCAGGTCGCGTGCCTGTAATAGCGGACCAGAGCTAGACTGTAGCAAATTGAACAATCATGCTCCCGTGACGAAAGAATCTCGAATGGACCCAGTGATGCCGGTAAATCACACCAAAAGCATCCACATCTAGAGTATTTTTGTCCTTTGTTCGTCGGGGAATTTTGCGCTCGGCTGGGAATACACCTTCGAGAAACTTTTCCAAGGTAAGCATACTCTGTTTAGGAACAGACAGGATAACTTACTCGTCGCATCTGTTAACGGGCATTCTCACCGACGCGGCGACGTGCAAATAGCTCGAAGTATTGACAAAGGCGTCGCCAGTATTCATCATATGACTGAAGCAGTTTCTTTCGTGATGTTTTGAACATCCAATCAAAAAAGTTCATATAGATCGTCTGATCCTCGAAAAGAAGAAAGTCCACATAATCCTCGTTCGATTGAATGCAATATCTATTCCCGTGTTAATCTCAGTCGCAAGATTTTTCCCGGCCAAGTGAGCACTCACTTTCGCCAATAACGTTCGACGACAGCGATGCCTTCTAAGGTCTTTAGCTTAAAGTTTGGAGGGAGCCATCCAAGACTGCGAAAATGTTCCAGTCTGGCTCGAGTTTCCTCACAAAGAATGGGATCGGTCCAGTATTGGTGCTCATCAGTTTGAGCCGGATGTATAGGCGTAGGTGCCATAGAAGAGGTCAGATACAAAGACCAGGGTGGAAAATTCGTGGTATGGGAAACGACAACGTCAAGGTCGGCTTGAGGCGTGGGCAACGAGGATGAGAGAATGGGAGGTACAAGTACACCAGAAGGGAGGGAAGGCGAAGCATCTTATAGGCGCGCAAATGAACTGGGCGAACAGAGAGGGGACTTAGATTCAGCTGTAGGGAAGCCATTTTCGGCGTCGTCTTGGTCGCCAGTGGAAACGAGGGGAACAACTGTGCAAGTCAAGCGTCAACATCAGGACCGGAGGATGACTAAAAGTGTTAGGTGGGTGCAGAATAGTTGTGTTACGGGGCAGTGGGCGGTCAAAGGGGCGGCTGGACATCGAAAGTTACGGGTGGAAAGGAAGCCGTTTCTGGCGTCAAAAGTGGTCATTTTCGGCGTCATTTTCACAGGTCCTCATATTCTATATGTAATTATTTCGAACTTGTGTCTTGGCTTTACTGTTCACATGGTGATTGGCCACGAGGCTCGTGTTGCCCGGTGCGACCAGCAAAGGCGCCGCTGCCTCGTAGTACGTGGGACTGCTGGAAATTGCATTATATGACTTGATGAAATGATTCTAACATACATGGATCTGGAACTTTACTAAGTACAGCAATGAAACTACATTGTAAGGGTTTCAGAATTTAAGTCTTTGCCGTTCAAATCACGCTATTAAAATCCCTTTTTGGGGGCTGATATAGCCAACTCTGTGAGCTCAAATAGTAATGCTAGACAAGAAATGATCAACTTCTGAAATTTTGCTGTTCAAGCAGCCGAGCCAAGTTTCAACCCTTGATGTGAAATGATATCCGAAGAAATAAGCCAGGCTTTCTGGGCGGAAATATTCACTTTTGACAATGTTTTGAGCCACGCTAAAGCTTTTTCCAACTTCATAGAGATTGCAATGTTTTCATTTGTGCCAGCTTTGGTACGGAGAAATAATTCAGTCAAATTGATAGTGATGGTCTGCATCAGATAATGGAGAGCGCACCACCATGGAACGACCCCATGCAGCCAGGTCAAGTTTGGTTCATCTGGCAGCAAGTCCAGTAATTGACCTGCGGCCCTAATGCAGGTTTCCGTCATTGGATCGGAAACCTCCTCAGATGCGTCAGAAGCCGTTGTGATGCTATGAAGAATTCGTTGAAGGCACGGCTGTGTGATGACAAGCTTGACGGAGTAGAACTGGAGAGCAACCCTAGACAGCTGATGCCTCAGTGGCCTGTTCTCAGAGATCTTTTGAAATTGGTAAGATGCCGGAAGCGAGGCGAGCCAAGTGTTGGCTTTGGTATTGAATGAAGCAATCATTCTTTCCACTTCCACCCATTGTTTATGGGTTGTACCAGGAGCGTAAATTTTGTCAATTGCTTCACGCATGAGTATTGTCAATTCCACCCCATATGAAAAAGACAAAGAATCGCTTGGCTGGGGCGATTCTGGGATGGAAAGGACGATAGTTTCGGTGCTAAGCAGTTGACATCTTGAAACTGAGCGTCCCAGTAGTCCATCTTTGTCCTGATCATTTTTCAAGGAACTCCTCCCTACGTCGTTAAAGAAGTTTAACGCCGACTGAGTTAAATCCTTGTTTTCGTTGAAGTCCTTCTGGGCAAGCCGGACATTCAAATCCCCCTCCTCAAAGGGAACTGGGGGTGGTGTTGTGCAAAATGCCTCGTTAATCCTCGAGGGACGGCCAGTAATCCCTGCAAGCGAAGTATCAAGTACATACAGTGACCACCACACCCGATATCTAATCTCTTTCGATAAAGGGGCCACAATCTGGCTTTCATTACGGAGGTTGAGCCCCATAGCTAGAGCAGAACAGATTGCAATGCCGCAGCACTTCCAAGACCTGTGAGACAAATTTGTTAGCAAGGAAGTTCGTGGGAAGATTGAGTCTGAAGGTGGGATATCAGGACCTATTGACTTGCCCACTAACAAGGAGGTAGAACGCTGCTAAGCATTCCACTTGTACTTGCTGCAAGCTTGAATGATCTCGCAATGATGCCTTGTCCATACTAAGTATCCATCCCCGTGAAAAAAAAACCCGATGTGAAAATTCGTCACACTCGGTAATATTCTGCGTGGGTGATAAGTGCATTCCGGCAATGGCGAACATGAAGTTCAAAATAGCTAGCCATTGCTTCCTAGGTCGGGCAGTTGTATCGGCGTAAAACAATTTGTATTGACCAAGGAAGGTCATTTTGCCAACGACAGGGAATGATGGGTGGATGATTCGAAAATAGGTGTCGATGAGCTGGTCCGCCTCGGACTTCTCTGGCCTCTCAAACACACTAACTTCATCTTGCACCTCCATCCTCCAGTCAGCTATGTAATAATTTATGGAAGCGATGGACGGTCGACTCGTAGTTTCCTGCGACGTAGATGGTGTGGTGGAGGCTTGTTCCAGTGCAGACTTGATTCTGTACAGCCATGCCATCTCTGAGTGCTCACCGACAAATCCTAGTGCCTGTAATTCCCCGCTACGATTGAAATCTTCATCTGTGTGACCGAAAGTAGTCGGTGGAGCCTTTGGTGTATTGGAGCGCTCTGCTGCTGGGGGACGCAAATTCAGCCTAGCCCGATCGTGGCTCAAACCCTGTACATCGTCAGAGAGAAAATCAGAAAATCCTGCGGAGATGAGCTGGTCTAAACTGAGGATATAGACGAAGTCAAACCGAGGAAAGGTTAAGCTCACGTTGTTCAGTGTTCGGTCAACATGCTGGGCAGAGGTGCTGTCAAGCTTGGGGTAGACATCACGCAACAGATTTTCTAACTTATCAATATGTGCGCTCAAGTCTTCCATTTTCCTGATAGTTGAAGTCAGCTTCAAATATTCAATACTGATTTTTCTGTGCTTCATACTTGTTGACCACCTCCCGCTTTCGCTCACTATAGTTGCAGTCAAGCCCGAGGTCTTCACATCTTTGACACACCGGTCGCTGGCCGCTGCATTTGGTTTTAAGCTGGCGGCAAGCTTTGCATGCTTGACTAACACGGGCTCTGTTGTTCCAGCTTATCGGGGTACTCATGCGAGATATTGGAACCTTAGGATTCGGGTTGTGATGGTTTGTAGTAAGAACGATTCTCCTGGACGGCACCTCGGTATTGCTTGGAAAATCATCGAAGAAATAGTCGACGGGAAAATCAAAGAGATGTGGACTCTCAGCAAGTTCGTGATCACCTAGAGCGAGCATATTTGATGCTGAACTGCTTCCAAGGAACGGCACTAGATGGGAGTTTGGGTACTCAGTCATTGTATTGCCTGCTGCCTGACAGCTTCGATTAATCGATTTAAGGTGTTAAAGAACATAGAGTGACCCCGCTGAATTATATTCATAGGGAATCGAGGATCTGCAGATCTTTGGTTAACATTCCCGACTTCGAGCATCTCCCTGCATGCAGTCAATTTCACTACACGAATTTGGCGAAAAAATGCGACAATTCAAAGTGTCAAAAAGCATGCATCTTTCATCCCTTCCACAATCCAAAGCGATCGATCAGCCATTTCAGCTAGTGAAATCACAATCCTTACGTTTCGACGCTCAGACCAGTAAGCTAAAAACAAAGTACCATCGGTCGCCAAGTTGATAGAAAACTGCCGAACAAAGAGACATAACATGCAAGCACTATCATCTTGTATATCTATCTGTCGATTACCAGCTTACGAGGTTTTATTGTTGCGCTCTCGTTCTTGGTACCCCCTCACTAGGATGTAGTGGATTTTAAAGGTATTGTTGCAGCATTACAAGACATACCCGTGGTAAAATTATGTAGGGTGTAATTACTAGATGTGGTTGAAAAAAATCACTAGGGGATACGAAGACTACTGATACAGGGCCATATCTTCCAGAAACAAGCCATACAAGGGCTTAAGTAGATGAATGAAACAAACCCTTTCGCTAGAACCAGCCCACTTGAATGAAGCAATTCGGTTTTTATTGAAATGTCAAATTTTGGGAGATAAGGCAAGCTGCCGGCGCTCATGTCTTACTTTTGACTCGAGCGTTACTATCTCCTGCCTTATGTGTATTATTGTATCATTATTGAGCATTGATTGAGAACGTACCCATTGTTATTGGTCGCAGCAGGTTACCAGTGTATAGGTTTGCGTCTCAGCCAATGATTTGTCGTTTAGCGTTCGCTGCCCTGTTCCCTGCGAGGGACGGAAAAATAAGCCGGCGCTCGAACGGAATGGTCGACGTGATCTCACCAATCGTGGGCGAATCAACATTTCAAACCCCTGTGTCTAAATGGCAGGGAGGTAAAATGCTAAAATTAATCCTGGAACTCTCCATTGGAATCCAAAGACATGATCAGTATGGGCCTCAGCAATTTCTTTTCCCCTGCACCCCTGGTTGTCGGCACAGTAAAAAGGACCGGGCCTATGTAGCATCTTACGTGGGAAAGGCCAAATATTCATGAATCTACCTGCCAGTCAGAGCTTATGGCCGTTATTTTTTCATGTTTTGAAGTTTCTCTCTGCGCCTTTGTGATTATAGCCACTGGCGCCTGGCAAAGCGGTCAAGCTCTACAAGGCACCCCTTCGCGCTTTTACCTTTGAGGGATAAAATAGCCGTCAAATGACAATGATGTGGCTGAGTTCCACAGTGCTAGGATGCAAGAGCTAATTTGAATCATTCGCTCGGCCTCTAATGTAATGCATTAAAAATACAGTAATCATTCCGCGGAGATGTGCTCCAAAACACAGGAACAGACATACAGTCACCGTTTGTAAGCTTTGGACATTTTCTAGCCGCATATCTACTTAATGATATGACACTCTATCATCTAAAATCCTCACGCAGTTCAAGTAATATGTTTGTATGCCAATCAGTGATCAACAGTTGCAGGTACGCGACCCAGGAACAAAGGGGTTGCCACGCGGATGGCAGATAACTGATCCCACTGAAGTGAGCCGCACGCCAAGACCTTTTCCGAGAATCATTTTAAGGGGAAAAATCAGCCGACCAATAAGAAGCATGTGGCTTGTGTACACATTGCCAGGGCGCAGCTTCAATGCGCAACTATCGTTACATTTTTACCCCCCTTCAGACCCAACTAGCTACCGCCTTCTCTTATGGCCTACACCGCCTAGTAAAAGCATTAAGATATTAGTTGACCATAGACATATTAGCATGGAAAGCCGGTCTACGATGTACGCTGCTGAGCTTAGCGGTATAGATATGCAATTTGCCAGCATTGGAGCTTAGAAAAGAGGCAATAATAAAGAGAACCCAATATATGAAATGGTTCAATGGTGATCAGTCTCTCTGGTAGCTAAGCCACTATTCAGGCGGTCCAGAACCCACAGAGACCGTCAGGTTTGTACGTTCGCAGTCTTCATGACCATGTAGGGACACTTCCACATCGATACTGGATATTGGCTACCATACGTTGGATCCCAACTCATTCTGGCGTGCCTGGGAATGAAACCGTAGGTAGCAGTGCGAAATGCGCGGCACTCGAAGATTTTTTGGGAGGTGGGACTAGCAATGGAACTGGAGTGGATAAATCGACTGTCCACCTTGTCGCAACTGCCGAGCAAATAGTGCAATATCGTATTTAGGACAGACGGAAAAAGTAGTCAGACTGTGAGAGAACTGCACAGTCTACCAAAGGCTTGGTGAAGTGATCAAATAAGAAGATTTTACGTCGCTATGAGTATTCTTCGAAACCATTTGTTGAGACATCTGGCGATATCGTGTGATATATAGACCTGAGCTCGTTTAGCATAAAAGAGAGTTTCAACCTGAGGCTGAGTAAGTCTTTTAGCTGCAAATGAGGCTTAAGTGAGAACGGAGAACGAGATCTGATCTTGCGATGAAAAAGTTCGCAGCGCAGTTCTAATTGCTTTGCACTGTCCACTTCTGCTAGGAAATCCTTGCACTTTCCGGTTCACCCTAGTGTGCGTGCCCCCGTAGTCAGCACACCTCCGTTCACTAATAGTCGCGCCGTCAGTGCCTGGATGCTTTGGAGAGATATCGCCATTCGTGTAATGACCGCATCGTGGACCTCTGGAGCAGGCTTTTCCTATGTGTCCAAATTTCTAGCAACGATAGAATTGATGGATTTTTGTAGCTCTGTCGTATATGACTCCGTTATGCTCGCTGCTGTCCTATACAATGGAACCGCAAGAATCCGTTAAATGTTACTGTTGCCAGGAATACCACCACATAGGAAGGACCTTCTCCAGAGCTTCACGATACGTTCACTGCGTGGATGTTCGTCTCTCTCCAAACTGTCCGGGAAAAGACGGCGCAGCCATTGCTGAACGGAAGGTTGCCAACTGCGGGGGTCAGCAGCGCAGGCTCAGGCTTAGGGTCGGGCTCCGGCCCACGCCAGCCGAGCAGGGAGCCAGTGAGCTTGGATCCAACACCGAAGAGACAACATCCATGGGTAGCAGCCGTGGACCTGACAAACAAGCCAACGTGGCCAAAAGGGCCAAACCAACCAACAGCACCATAGGTAAAGCCTGAAAAAAACGGCCCAGCCAGTACGTTCTCACGCGAATTCATGAGAACATACAGGTTCTTCATTCCCAAGATTCAACAAACATCAGCCTCTGCTGTATCCTGACCCACGACCGGATACCGGGCAACAAAGCTGGAGAAAGTAGCGCAAAACTCGCAAGGAACGGGATATGCGACAGAACGGCCAATCAATCAATCAATCAATCAATCAAAGTTCAATTAACCTGATGCAGCCCAACTAGTATCGTAATGGCTATGCAGGCGGTTCTATCCAGTTGAAGCAAGAACTTGCCCGTACACCTGATAATGTAATACAGAAAAAGAACTGGTCCTCAAAAGAGAGACTAGGTACCAGCTCGACATAAATACCAATCCCACAATCCAAAACATAGGAAAAACCTGTTGCCGTAGGCATCCAGGTACAAAGAGCGCGCGCAGATGCACCATCTACTTTCCCACTATACCCATCTCTTCCCCTGCGACGGAACGGATATATTTAATATCCTTTCAGTAGCTACTAAGCGCGGGCACTAGCTCATCGGGGGTTGCTCATATATTCAGGGCTTCAGGGCTAAGCATGGATTGACTAATATGCATTAGCCTCTCTCCGGTAGAACTGGGCAAAGGTCGCAGGCTTTTACGCCAGCTGTCTCGCTGTTGTGCATTTTGTGCATTTTTTATGGCTGGACGCCAATGCTGTCACATGAGCACACTTTCTTTTTATAGAGATCCAACTCCTTGGGGTTCTATACCAATCTATAGCGTACCACACCTTTGCTAAATAAGCTATTTCCAGAGAAAGAAAAAACAAAATAATAAAAAATAAAAATGTTATCTGATTATTTGGCTAATCTCCGCAGCGCGAGGATTTAAGAAGACCGGTCCCCGCTAATGCAAAACTTATCTGTGTATGGGTCAGCGACTTGCATACCTGGCTCCACCAGAGCAGGGTAACGCCGCAAACCCCGAGTAGGTCTGGTCTAGTTTCACTGACTAGATACTAAGTGTATGACGACATAACTTGATTCATGTAATTGATATAATACATGCCGAGTATAAAGGGCTTGACCTGCCACAAAGGCTGTATACTTCTGTCTGCTCTACTCAATCTATCCTTTTTTTTCACTGTATCCCAGTACCTATCATGAGTGAAGTTTTCAAGGCAGGTCCCGTGCCAAAGACGTGGCTTGGTCGTCACCGAGTGCTCTCACCAATTGCCGCCGTGAGAGTTTCACCCATTTGCCTTGGGACCATGAGCTTGACGAACACATGGTGGGCTTGTTAACGGAACAAAATTCTAAGCATGAATCTGTTTCTAACGTAATGCTATAGGGAAGGTTTCATGGGCAAATCAGACGATCCCTACAAGATTCTTGACGCATTCTTCGAACAAGGCGGCAATTTCATTGATACAGCGAACGTGTATCAATCGGAAGAGTCAGAAAAGGTCATTGGATCTTGGATGGAACAACGTGGCACTCGAGATCAAATGGTCATTGCGACGAAGTACTCAGCAGGATAACGCAGTTACAAACGTGATGAAGAGCCTATACAGTCCAACTACACTGGAAATTCAGTGAAGGCCATGCATGTCAGCGTCCGTGATTCAATGAAAAAACTGAAGACTGAATACATTGAGATCCTCTATGTTCACTGGTGGGATTCTGTCACCTCCGTTGAAGAAATCATGCGCGGACTTCACTCTCTTGTCATGGCAGGCAAGATCCTGTATCTCGGTGCCTCTGATTTCCCTGCCTGGGTGGTGATGAAGGCAAATTCTTATGCTCGCCAGCACGGTCTGACGCCATTTTCATTATACCAAGGAAAATGGAACGCGGGATATCGCGACATGGAGGCCGAAGTGATTCCAATGTGCCGCGATCAGGGTATGGCCATCGTACCCTGGGAAGCATTGAGTGCAGGGAAGTTTTTGTCTAAGGAGCAACGAGAAGCCAAAAAAGGGGGCCGCATTTATGGACCGCCAGCGGAAGAGGCGCTCAAGGTTTCCGAGAAGCTGGAAACAATCTCTCAGCGCGAGAATACAACCGTGCAAGCGGTGGTAAGTTTTCATGCAGTCCCTGATCATCACTGTATCCTAACATCCACATCCACTACAGGTTCTTGCATACCTCCTCCAAAAGACGCCTTATGTTTTTCCAATGGTGGGCACCCGTACGGTGGAGCATGTCAAGGCACTGGAAGACGGATTGAAGATTGCTTTGTCGAAGGAAGATCTTGAATTCATCGAAGACGCGATTCCGTTCAATTCCCTGTTTCCCATGACATTTCTGTACACATTTGGCGGCGACAGGAAATACAGCGTTGGTCTAACACCAGCGGACAATTTCCAATATCGAATGGCAAGCTTCATGGATAGCCCTGACTAGGCTGCGGCATATCGTACGATAACGATAATGACCCGTTATCGTTATCCGCAAATTGCGGATCCCGGATAATGGATCATTATCATCATCGTCGTTGCAGATATCCGCGGATATCTGAACGATAGTTTGGATATCAGCAAACTATCCGCACTAGCATAAAATTCGCTAATATATCCTATTGTGGACGAACAGGTGATACTAATGAAGCTGACAAAACACTATTTTACATGTGAATCTTTACAAGTTTGGTCATGACAAGACTCATCCCCTATTTCCTTCACTTCTCCTGGTAAAAAATAAGAAACAGTATTTTATTCTTAAAAAACTGTCTTCTGCATAATATATTGGGTTTAAGTATATAGCGAGCGAGTTGTGGTCACCTGTAAGTTTAAAATATTAACTAAGGGGTGGTGGTTAGGCAGAGATATATGTTTGACGCTGAGGGAACGTAGTATATTTTCCTCAGATGCACCAACAGTATAGTTTTGACATTGAGAATAGTATGGATAGATCTGCTAGCTCGAATTTCAATTATACGTTTACTTATCTCAGCATATTTACACTAAAATGTAAGGCGCAATTTAGATTTAAAGTTTGGAAATGGGGGACTTCGTTTTTTTTTGGTTTGGTGACGCGGATAATTATTGGATAATCCGAAGATAGTCGGCGGATTGTCGGCAGATTATCGTCAATTATCGTCTGAATCTCCACATCCGCTTAATACATACTGAAATGGGAGATGCTCGATGGCAGTCTGGTCAAAACAGACGGGTCGACAAATGGTGGCAAGAAAACCGAACAACAAGTCAGGTCTGTGAGCTCTAGACAGATGATGCCTATCAGGGATAATCAGATGCTATATCAAGGAGCATAATGATCATAAATCTTGAATCAGGAAATGAGTGGCATTGTTGTAACTGTCTATCCTTCTCTACAGTCGTAGGTTGCCCATAACCCGTCCTCGAGGATATCACTGCCTGAGGCAGTAATCATACAAGTGTCGTGATTTCCCCACTACATACCACCCCCCTTCATGAATTGACCGTCCCCTGGTCAATAAGCCATCATGATAACTCAAGCAATGTCCTCGCGGTCAAGCGGTAGGGGAGGATCAACTGACAGACCCAGTTCTTTTCTCCTGAAGAAGGAGTCTTTGCCGAAGGCGCGTTTCTCACTGTCTACCATTGTCTGGTATAGACGGACATACTCGTGCTGTGCCTTGGATCTCCATGACTTTACGTATTCAATGGCAGCATCCTCATTCTCTCCGAACAAGGTATCGAGCTCGTCGGCAACACCAGCTTCGGTCCAGCGAGAACCTCCTACCAAGCAGCGAGAGATCAGGTTGCCTGGGCAGAAACGTACTGCAGCAGGGAATGGGTACGGGATACGCCCATACTTCTGACTAGTAAACCCCGAGGGAGTTCTTGATGCAGGAATGAGGTCTCTATGGGCGGCGGCAAGCTCTTCCCATGTGTTTGACTCAGGAACGTCGAGAGTTGAGTGATCCTCTCTGATGCGGACAAACCATGGCAGTATCGTGCGGCGTATCTTAGTGGCAGGTCCTGTAGAACCGTGGGGTAACGTAGGCAGGCTGACCCTAACATCTCCGGCGCGACAGATCTCTTTCGTCCAATCCGTATGGTACTTGGCAACATCGTCACGCGTCCACATCCATGGTTCGATACGGCTGACAGGACCATCAGCAGTTTGCTGCCTCTGCCTAACATCAGACCACCATTCTTGTACGTGAGGGTGCATGCCGCAGAGTAACTCGGTGCAGTTATTCTCATCTTCATCGGTAAGCGAAAGGCTGCCTTGCAAAATGGCGCGCCCACGTCCAGAGTGAGACAAGTCATTCAGGTTCACATCGATGTGCCGAAAGAAGGTCTGTTCTCCTGGCAGAGTGCTTTTGGCGTAGTAAGGGTAAGAAATCAGACGCCATGCGTGATCAGGTCGTAGGAAAACGTAGCATGCGTAGTAGGCAGGGTCTTGTCTCACGACCTGTTGAATGATACTGTACCACATATCGCGTAACCACCCCAGGCGTGGTCGGTGAGGGCGTGGCTGATAGTGGTAGTCATACATGTCTATCTCCTCATTTGCCATAGCAAGAATGCCACCTGGGTGCTGGCCGTCGAAGTCCTCTTTGAGCCATCCGAAGAGCTGCGGGATAACGACGGTGCCTTGTTGGTTCATGCGGTCAAACAAGTCGGTAGGGAGTTGTCCATTGTCGGTAAGGGACGGCTGCATACGTCGGTAAAGACTCTCAAATGATAGCCAAGGAACATCCTTATCAAAGTTCGCGATCAGTGGCTGTCTAGTCTTATGATGAAAGCGGTAAAAGCTCAAAGTGTCAGTGCTAGGGACCTGGTTTTTCGGCTGAATAAACCAGGCGCCGTGTTCTGCTATCACAGTATCCCAGTCGTTAAGGTTCTTGATCATGAAGTCAACACGCCATGCTAATGCCGCATGATTCTTGCTAGCGCTTCTCATTCCAAAGAGGTCAAACACTCTCTTTGCATGGTCCTCACATATCTCAATCTCCGTGACAATAGTGACAGTTTCGGGCAAGATGCCTCGGCCTAGCTTCCTTAGCGCTATCAGCTTTTGCCGCTCAGTAGCGTCCTTAGGCAGCGCTAGTATTCTGTTCATAGCAGCTCTCTCAATAGCGCAGCCGCAGTCCACAACGCGGGTACGGCGTGTAGCCAGCGAATCATTATCACCAGTGTCAGCGTCGGCGTCAAAATCGGGATCTTCAAGATAAGAGGGTGCGTCTGAGAGCGCTGAAGAGACGTCACTCCCATGCTCTATCTCAACATCTTCCTGAGGGTAGTCGGATTCTTCGTCCATGTCCATCTCCTCACTGACTTCTTGTAGTACGGCTGCCCCCGTGTCTGTAACTGGCAACGGGTTTCCCATGCCATGGGCACAGCAGTATCCATCTTGGTCAAGCTGCAGTCCCAGTCTTCTTAAATCCTCGATGATCAGTGGCCGGGTGTTCTTGCGGGTAAGTGCCTTTGATAAGTCTCCTTGGATCACTTCTTTGGTGGTGCGAATGCCACGTCCTGAAGATGACAGACGTAGCACGACCTCGTTATTGACAGACAATCTGAGGTCTTCGTAGCTGAGAGAGGATCGCACGAACTTGCTGGCAAGTTCGACCATGGTTCTGGACCCAAGGTGTTCGAAGAAGGCATTCGCGTTCTGTTCTCCCCATGCAGTGATGGCCTTCATCTTGATGCTTGCAGTGTAGGACTCTGTGGATGCCTGTCGTTCCTGGACCCTCTTTGCTTCTTTCCATCTGCGCCTGAACTCTGCGTGGTCCTCTTGTCCTTTCCATAGCTCTTGCTCGTCAACATATCCGTAAAGGCGGCTAATCGCGTCCTCGACGCGTTCGTGGTAGTTCTCTAGCTTCTCGAGTAGCTGGCTAGCAAGCTGGTAGGCTGCAGGTTTGTCACAGCCGCGTAGGATCTCGAGAGCGTCCTCGATAGACTCGATCTGCTGTCCTTGCAGCTGCAGTTCTTGGGGAAACCGTTCTTCGCTCATCGTTGCGGCTCGTGGGTTTTGGGAAGAGGGTAAGAACAGTGGGAGGTAGGGAGATAGGTGGTAAGGAGAGATGACTTTTCGGCTGAAAAACAGATGACTCGTAGAAATGAAATGAATGAAGGACTTCGAATGAAAGACTCGCAAACGCATGAGAGAAACTGAGTACGGCGGTTACAACTTGGAGACAAAGAAAACCCGAAATAGCATCAAAAGACATCAAAACGTAAAGAAAATTTACCATATCACTACCTCTTCTTCCTTGGTCTTCCAACAGGCCTACGCGTACGTAGCTGATGGGGTTGCTGTATAGCTTCTCCGTGAGCTGTGCCATCACCATCATCATTATCACGATCCCCGATTCCCCGAGGGTAGAACCTCTTCAGCCTATCACCATTGATAGCATCTGCTCCTTTGTCACCGATATGGCTTAGCACTGTGCCATCGAGTTCCCTAATCGAGTAAGACCCATTCCCTTTCACTGAGTCAATGAGATAAGGTCCGAGCCACCTGAAGCGGAGTTTCTGTACAGATGTCATGTCCGTAGACCTCTGGCTATCATGTAAGAGCACGTAGTCATCCTTCTTCAGAGGGGTTTGTCTTGTTCGGCGGTGATCGTCGAAGTAACTTGCATTGTTCTCCTTAAGGCGATTCATGCGTAGCACGGCTTCTTCGATATCCTTCTCGCGGCGCTCGATCTGTCTTGTCCGCATGGCAATAAGGTCAGAGCGGTCACGGACAGTTTCCCATGGCAGTGTGCTCCACGTGGGCATCTCCAGCTCTATTGGTAGGACTGCATGAATGCCGTATAGGAAATAATATGGAGAGAGCCCTGTTGTGGCATTGACTGTAACCCTATCCGCCATCAACGCGGCATGAAAGTGAGGTCTCCAACTGTTGATAGGTGCATGTCTTTGAAAAGGGTAACCTCCCGTCATTTTTGAGAGAGCATCTTTCAGTGTCCTCATCGCTCGCTCCACGGGTCCGTTTGAGCCAGGGTGGTAGGCCGATATTGTCACCTTTTTGACTCCTTTGTCTTTGAGAAATGCTAGCGTCTTGGCACGGTTCTCCGGACCATCATCCATAACAATCTCTCGCGGGTAACCATGCCGGCAAATGATATCTTCGAAGATAAATGACTGAACGCTCTCTGAATCTGCACTAGCCAGGGTCCTGGCTTCCACCCATCCACTGACTGCCTCTCTTCCCTGAATGACGATTTTGACGCCATCTTCTGCCGGCATATGAGTTGTATCCACGTACCATCTATCAAACATGCGAAGAAGAGTAGTGACATTCGCGGGCTCACTAAGTCTGACAGGGTCCCGTGCCTGGCACTCAACACACGTACGAACATACGAAGCCGCTTCTTCATACATACGTGGCCAGTAGTACCGATGCTTGAGCAGTGCGTAAGTGGCTTCGCGTCCTTTGTGGGCAAGTTCAGTATGCGTCCCTTCTAGGGCTCGTTGCTGGTCTTCTTTGTTGTCAAGGACTCTTCGGAGAATCTCTGTTCTTCCTTTGTAGCGATAGAACAAATGACTGTCTTGGACCACGAACTTTGTGCATTTCCTTCGGAAGTAGTAAAACTGAGACCTTGACATCTTAGGAGGCCGTTGTAGCGTTATAAGGAAACGCGCAATTTGCTGTGATTCGGCTGAATAACCATCTCCTAAAGGTCTTAGCAACGTTGCTTCTTGCTCAGGTAAATCGTCTTCTTCTCCGTCGTCAGCGTTGTCATCGGATATCATAGCTGCTCGGGCTGGTAGACAGCTCGCCCTAAGGTAAGAGATCTCCGCGTCAATAAAGTCATCAACGTCAACCTCGCGCCGCTGGGCGCTTAGCTCGCTAGCCGTGGGACTCCTTCTCGATAAACCGTCTGCTGCGCTATTTCTCCGTCCAGGTACGTGCTTCACATCAAAGTCAAACAGGCGTATCCAAGCCATCCACCTCGTAACCAATGCACCAGGCAAATCAGTAGCCGGTCTATTCAATTGGGCCACAAGTGTATTCGCGTCGGTTTCTAGTATGAAGTGGATGCCGTATAGCCAGTGGCGAAACTTCTTCAGTGCCATGAGGACTGCGCGGCATTCCAGTTTTCCCGAATCGTAGGAAAGCTGTGATTCAGACCACGTTCCTGACTCATATCTCGCCGGCTTTCGGACACCGTTTCTTTCCTGCATCAGCACAGCACCCCACCCCTTTCCAGAAGCATCAACGGCGACAATGACTGTAAGAGGATCGCTGGTATAATCGATTGGCAGGATAGTTGGAGTCGTGGATAGCTCAGTTTTCACTCTATCGAACGCTTGTTGCTGGTCATCCTTCCATGCGAATGTGACGTTCTTCCTGAGGCATCTGTAGAGCGGTTCCATGATGATCTGAAATTCTTCGATAAGAATACGGAAGTAGACCGCTAGTCCGACGAATGATCGTAGTGCATCCTTGTCAATAGGGGTTGGCCAGTCTAGTAGCTTGGCAACTTTGCTTTCTTCAGCGTGTCTGCCAGAGAAGTCGCAGACCCACCCAACGACCTCAATGCCTGACATAGCAAATTGTGACTTTTCGGCTGAAATAGCAGCTCCGGCAAGCTCTAGGAGATATAGCGTTTTGTCCAAATTTTGAAGGTGCTCCAGGACGTACTTGCGGATTCCTGGCCTGGCAAATTCACCGTCGTACTTTGTTCGTGGGCCATTGATAGCAACATCATCAAGAAATGGTTTAGCAACTATGCCAAAGATAGATTGAAGGATCCATGATATCACACGTTGAAACTGCGCAACAGAATTTGCGCCTCCTTGTAGAATTGTAGTTTGCCGCAAGAGGCCAATCGGGGTTTGAATGGCAGTGAGATCTCTATCTTCCTCAGCTAGCGTGATTTGGTCATACCCTGAGTATAGGTCAACAAGTGAAGAGAGCGCCATGCCGGCAAATTCCTCGGCAAATTCATCAACGTCCGGAGGCATGTTTGCATCTCTTCTGGTGACCTTGTTGATGAGCATTGCTGCATTGATCAGTCGGTATTTGCCGATACCTTTCTTCTTGACCAAGAACCAGGGGTTTCTGTATGGTCCGTCGCAGTGTTCGAGGACTCCCTTCTTTAGCCTCTCGCGTAACATCTCAATGATAACAGGGCCTAGGGCGCGGGGAATCTTGAACCCAGGATGTTGCCATGCTTCATGGGGAACGGTCTTGATACGCTGAGCAGGCATGACCTCTGGTCGAATCCGGCTCATATGGTCCCAGCTCCAAGCCAGCACTCCCTCCCTCTTAAACAGTAGTTCGCGTAGCAGCAGCTTCTCTCGCGGCAATAATCCGTTTCCCACAAGCATGGTTGCTTCTCTCTCAGGGGTCAGTCGGGCACCTCTCGCAATCGTAGCAATTCGCGGATGCAGTAGGTCATCGAACTCGGATTGGATGTCAGTTGCGCGGTACCGGGTGTGGTATTTCTCCAGGCAAATCCTCTGCCAGTCAGGGTTCCCGGCAGGAATAGAGCCATCGGACTCTGACGAGCTCACAGGTTGAACCTTATCTGCCTTTCGTTTGTATAGCGTGTTCACAGGTGCAGCGTGTAGCGCGCGTAGATCTGGTCTGAAGGTTGCCCAGCGCGATCCTTGTCGCGGCAGTAATCTTCTTCGCCACTTATTTGGCAGTCCATGGCGCGTCTCAGTCCTTGCAAATGACGTCCTATATTCAATGTCGGGGTAGGTAGGTGAGGCATGGCCGGCGTAATGTTTATGGTTCGGGGTAGGAACCCAGTTAGGTGCCTCAGGTTTTTGGGGAGACGGTTTTTCGGCCGAAATACCACCCCTCTCTAAACTAACGTCGCTCTCAGCTCGTCCGCTCTGGACAACTTCTTCTTGACAACCACCAGCGACGTCTCTCTTCTTCTTATCCACCGTCCTGAGCAGCTTCTCGCCTGCTGCTACTGACAGTGCAGAAAATGAGCTCTGTCTGGCATCCGGGTCTTTGGCAGATGCTGCGATGCCACTTAGACATCTGCCTGAGCATTTAAAGCATCACTCTTCGCTTCACCCGGCCATAGCTGATCCTCATAAAAGGAGCCTCCCCCTCGTGGATGGTACGCCAGGAAAGAATAGCTTGTCCGTCGGTCTGGACTAGAGATAGTACAGATGACGCTGCCGTCTCCTTTCTCGGACGTCTGCAGTAGAGAGTCCTTCGCCCAAATCCTCCCTAGCAGCAAATCATTCGTGCATCCATCACCAACCATGGTATGCGTCCTTGTCGTGATTCCTCCGATGCTGATTGGCAGGTTCTCCACACATGCGCCTACCGCATACTCTCCTCCATCAACAGGCACTAGCTTCAATCTTGGCCTCAGGCGCATCTTTGCCTGCACGGACTGCGCGATCTCTCGTCGAACAATGTTAACAGATGACCCGGTATCGATACATGCTCGCACCTCTCTTTTGCCGATCACTACCGTGGCGAATAACAAGTCTCTGGAGTATTCTCGGGACACGGGCCCGGCTGCCGAGTCCGATAGCTGCACTTCCTGGAAGTTAACGTGAGAAGCCAGGGTGCTGGATTGCAGTGGGCTCCCAGTGACTGCGTGATAGTCTGCTACATCGCTAGCAAGCTGATTGATCTGTTTCTCGACTTTTGCCGGCATAGATGCCCCTGTAAAGTTGGACTGCGTGTGCGCTTGCGAGAGAACGTCTGTGATCCGCTGATTGATAACATCCATGCTAACTCCTTTCCCCATGCCAATCCTGATCTTAGGGGCAGAGCCAGCAAGTTCTCCAATGGTGAGGGTGACTTCCGTGTTCCATATCTTTTGCATGACGATGTCGGATAATTGTGACTTTCTTCTTGCAACTTCAGGGTCCACGGGCCCCCTTCTTCTAACAACTTGTTCCTGAGATATATCTTCCTGTCTCTGGGTTTGGGAATCCTCAGGCTGAGCATCTTGCATAACATCATCTTCAACTTGTGGCTGATACCTTCCAGCGTGAATACTGCGAGTCCTTGCGATATCAGGTTCACGTCTCCGCTTCGCGGCGCGTCCTTCAATCGCGTTCACACTTCCTATTGGTCCAGCTAGATCCTCATCGTCCTCGTCGAGAATTTCCCACACAGGCGCCGAACCTAAGAGGGTAGCCGCAACAGATTGAACCGGCGCTGAATATGACATAGGGATAGCACTATTCGAAGCTATAGCAGTGACCCTGCTAGAAGGTGCCGTTGCCGTGGTATACCCCTTCCACTGGTCATACTGTTCTTGGAAATACTCACGATTCAACCTTCCAGGCGTAACACGTAGGCGCGGCCCTGGTTGGTCCGCAGTCCCTAGTATCATTTGATTCATCTGGTCATAATGCATGATGCCACGTCCTTGCATATCACGGAGTGCCTCGCATTTATCTGGTCTCGAAAGATGAGCTCCTCCGCACGTCCAACAGCTTATTGGCGGGTTCACTCCAAGGTTGTTTGTCGGCGTACGTCTATCAGGCTCATACCGGTAATCATTTCGTAGGTCTTGGCTAGCCTGCAGTTTCAGAGTGAGAGCTTCCATTTGCGACCGTATATCGCGGATTTCTTTGCTCTGATCATGGTGAATTCGACCCTGTGTACTCTCAGCTGTGACACGATGCTGGTGTCCATCTAACCGTTCTTTGCCTTCTCGACCACCTCCTTGGCCTAGGTATCTCTGGAGATCTTCTTCCTCACGGACACAGAGCCTGATCGAACCCCAGGCTTCGGAATACTTGATCAGCGTTCCTCTCGGTAGTAGTCGCCGTGAGTGGCGTCGTACTACCTTCTCTTTCAGTACCTGGGGCAGTCCCTGGATCAACAAGTTCGCTCGTTCGCTGTCGCTAATCTCTCCATTCTGGAGAACGCGGTCCGAGACTTCGTCAAACTCTCTCAAGTACGACTGAATGTCGTCCTTCATTGTCCGAGTTTGTTGGGCCAGAGATTGGAGATACGTCTTCGTGTATCGAAGGCGTTCATCATCGGTCTCATAGAATCGCTCTAAGAACTCTTCTCTAAATCCTTCCCAATCCTTTGCGACCCACAGACTTTGTCTCTTAACCCATAGCTTTGTGATGCGGTCACAGTACTGTGGCAAGATCTCTAGCATCTCAGTCTCTGAGCGCAGCCCACAGCGACGACATGTCTCCTGTAACTTCTCCAGGAACAGGGTAGCGTCAGACCCGTCAAAGTACGGCGCTCCCAGAGTTCCTGGAGTAGGCAGAGGGGAGAAATATGGCATCTGCTGTTGCTGGATAGACGCGAGTTGCGCAACTGGCGCAACGGCTATACCTGACTGAACTGGCGCTGTCGGCTCAGGGTGCAGAGCGCTACGCCTGCCTGTCGTTCTAACTGACTCCGATCTCTCCCTAGCAGGCTCCCTATACTCAGAGAACGATGCTAGTCCTTCATTTTGGCTCCTTCCGCGGTCACGCTCCTCGGCGAAGTCCATTGTTGGTGAAAGCGGAGACTGTTTTTCGGCTGAAATCAATGCTAGCGGGGGTTGTCGATAGAGCTGGTCAAGGGCTTCCTTTTCACTTCCTCTTCTTGAGCATTCTTCCTTCCTTTCTTTTAACTTATAACTCAGGATAGCGTGAGTCAGCATTTGCTGCATGGTCATACGCCATAGCCAGCTAATGCCTGGAAATCTCTTCTCTGCCATCGTACGCAGCGCTGCCGGTCTCGCCTGTAGCAACATCAGCAGCGAATCCGCACTGCCAATGCACGAGCTGGATAACAGATCGCGATATAACTGGGTGAGTTCCCGTGTTTCCTGCATGTTAGCAAGCCCAACTCAGGCTACCTTTGCCAACAACTCAGCTGATAACACAAGGAACAGATGTGACCTGTCTCTCTTCCACGCTTGCTTCTCAGGGTCAAATGCTATCGCCACTTTCCTGCTGCTGTAGGCTCTGCCAGTTGTCAGACACCTTACGATCGTGAGCCTTCCCGGGGACGCCAATTTGAAATGGGAGATGCTCGATGGCAGTCTGGTCAAAACAGACGGGTCGACAAATGGTGGCAAGAAAACCGAACAACAAGTCAGGTCTGTGAGCTCTAGACAGATGATGCCTATCAGGGATAATCAGATGCTATATCAAGGAGCATAATGATCATAAATCTTGAATCAGGAAATGAGTGGCATTGTTGTAACTGTCTATCCTTCTCTACAGTCGTAGGTTGCCCATAACCCGTCCTCGAGGATATCACTGCCTGAGGCAGTAATCATACAAGTGTCGTGATTTCCCCACTACAATACCCAATTAGCATCGAGTATTATCGTGAGCACGTCGACATCGCGGGCGCACACGTTTGCCTACGCACCAATTTTTCCGCTAAATTCCTAGTAAGTCTCTTCCTGGTATACTCGATCGTCCTACACTTGGTACCTGGTCCTCTACTCGACATGTCTGATTCCGAAGTATCAAGGAGCCAATATGACGCATCTCAGTTCGCCAACCCATTCATCGATTCAGACTTTCCACAAACAGATGAATCCTCAGACGTGCTGAGTAGTCAGAGCATAGCACATTCGACTCCTGTCTCAGACACTCCCCCTTCCCCTCGATATCCTCGTGCCCCCGACTTACTACAGCGCGTCGGCAAACTCTTTCAACCATCTTATATTCTCTACAACTGCGACAAAACCGATCCCATGATGGAGATGTCTCAGATACAGTTTGTGAAATGGTGGCTAATGACTGAGTTTGGCAGCAAGAAAGAACTGCAGAAATCTATTAGATGGGATACTATACTGAAAAAGTCTGATGTTTGGAGCTCATTTGATCAGGTTGCAAATGCGCGGACTGGCGAGCCCAAGGTTATGTGCAACCGCTGTCAAAGTGTGGTTGTTCACCCAAGGTTTAATCGTTCTGGTCCCTCTCCCATGAAGAACCATCTTAATAGTGCGTACTGCACTCAGCCGCGGAAGACTACATAGCAAAGCATAGACCAGCTTCTCCGAGAGATGGCAAGTCTATCCTAGATTTAATTCACAATGCACACTAATCTTCCTTATCTCTACCTAGCCGCGTCAATCAGCAAGCACAGAATTCAGCCAGACATCCCTTCAGAAGAAGATCCTCAAGTTTATCACGACCACCCGTCTCCCATTCCGCACTGTTGAGCACCCGGAGTTCAAAGAGCTTCTGCAATGCACCAGGCTCGCCACATCAGAGCTCAATATCCCGTCCGCCCGCAGTTTGAAACGTCTTTTAGATAATGAAGTCCAGGCACAGCAACAGAGCGTGCTCAGTAAGCTTCCACCTGGAAGCTCTCTCTCTATTGCACTTGATTGCTGGACCTCTCCGTTTGGCCAGGCATTTATGGCCATCACTGGATACTTCCTCGACCAGGACTGGAATTACTGTGAGGTTCTTCTTGGATTTGAGCATATCCAAGGATCCCATACTGGGACTCAGCTAAGTGAGACTGTTATCCGAATCTTGCAAGAGCATGGTATTACCGACCGAGTATTATCAATAACAACTGATAATGCATCAAATAACAACACAATGATTCACGGTGTTCAAGAGATGGTTCAGTCCCAGGCTCTTCACAATACCTCTGTTTTCCGAGTACCATGCATTGTGCACGTTATACAACTTAGCCTGAAAGACCTCCTTGGAAAGATCAAAGCGAACCCAAAGAATGCAGAGGCCGAGTCAGAGTGGTCAGAAGAACGTACGAAGTCGCTACAGTCCGCTCCAGGTTACGCTTCAGGGAATATCGTGGCTACTTTGAAGAAGGTAAATGTATCATGTTGTATCCCGAGAATATAATTGCTAAAAAAGCCTAGATTCGAGAGCTCGCTGTATTCATTACCGCTAGTCCTCAGCGCCGAGAGGCTTTCCGGGCGCTTCAAACAATAGAGCCCAAGCTTCTACCGATTCAGGATGTCCGTACACGCTGGAATTCTACTTTCTTAATGCTCGAACGTGCCAAGAAACTACAGCGAGTCTTCAACCAGTACTGTTCAACCCACCAATACGTTCAATTTCAGCTCGGCCAAGAGGAATGGCGCCAAGTGGAGTATCTCCTTTTGGTCACAAAGCCTTTCTTTCATTACACCAAGATCTTGTCCAAGACTCAAGATGTTACTGTTCATTCGGTCTTCAGCATCTATAAGGAGCTCTTTAACCATCTTGATGATGTTGCGGAGTTACTAGAACGCAAGACTGTCCCTTGGAAAAAGAGAATGCTTCAGGCACTACAGGCAGCGAAACAGAAACTCTCAAAGTACCACAGAGCGACCGGCAGTGAATCGTTTGGCACAGTTTATGCAATTGCAACTATTCTGTGTCCATCGAAGAAGCTTCGGTTTTTTGAAGGCGATGACTGGAAAGAGAAAAACGAGAAGGGAGAAGATATCAATTGGATGGAGATCTATCGGGATAAACTACAGAAGGAATTTGACCAATATCAACAACGCATAACCCGCCGCAAGGAGCCCTCTCAAGCCCAAGTCTCTCAAGAAGTGGACGAAGAGGAGCTTGATCTGATGATGGATTTGCACGCTTCACACAGTGAAATTGACCGACCGGAGGATGAGATCACACGATATCTTGCACAGGGTCTGTATACTTCCCTGCTTTATTATACGGCTTTCCAGCTAAGTTATATTATAGGTCTTACCAAAGGAAAGCCAAGGGTGTTCTGGAAGGAGCATGAGCATGAATATCCAGTGCTTGCAGCGATGGCGCGGGATAATCTGGCAACACCTGCTAGTGGCGCTGGTGTTGAGCGGCTCTTCAATTGTGCTCGTGATGTCTGTCACTATCGCCGGGGGCAGCTTAAACCAGAAACCATCAGGTCTCTAATGCTTCATCTGTTCGCATCAAAGTTCGAGCTTCAACAAACCGAGCTCGAGATGATCAAGGAGTATCTCTCTAGCGGAGAGGTTGCCATACTCGATCAGACATGGAAACCAACTCCGTCGCTTCACGATATCGAGCCGATCAGTGAAAACGAAGAAGATAGTAACCAAGCGGAGGATAGATCGGATGACTCAGAAAATGATTTGGGATATAGTTATACAATTAAGTAGGCGACTCCTACACCGGTTCCAATCCGGGGCAAGCAACCACGGCGCAAGCGGCTTCATAGTGCCGTTGAGCCTTAGGATAATGGTGATAAGGATCTCCCGCTTCCTAAAATGCCAACTGAGAAGCCCACGCAGGGGAGATCGGGGAGGATTCGGAAGAAGCCAAAGCAGCTAGATAGATTTGAGTTTGATAACCTATGATATGATCTTGAATAATTAAATGCTGTTGCAATAAAGCTAGACAAAGTAGATTAATTTGGAGAAAAGATCGTAGGCCAGTTATTCCCGTAACAAATATACAATCAATTACATATTGAATACCCAAAAAACATAGGGGAGAATGCATAATTTATGCAAACTCGCTCAGGTCACGAGTCTTAGCATATTTGCAATATTTGTTATCGTACGATAATCTGCGGATATCCGCAAATGAAAATATAATTATCGTATCGTATCGTTGCGGATAATTCGATAATGAATTTATATCGTTATCCGCGATTTACGGATACGATAATCGATTATCTGCCGATAATTTGGATAGTGCTACAGCCTAGGTGGGATATATATATACATGGTTGGCTCTCGCAAAGGTATATCCTGAGCTAGGTTGGCAAAGAATAGCGCCAATTTATGATACTAACCTTCCTCTCTCGATACATTCCACCTCATCTCACATTCCGATGTGGAAGACCAATGATGGCGTTGGAGGACAGGATAGAAAAAACCGAAGGAATTGCTTTATCGTGTGACAGTGACATCAAAAAAAGTAGGGATACATGCCGGCCAAGTCGTTGACCCTCGGACCCAAATCAACTCAAATTTTACAATTCTCATCCTTTTTGATTATACCACGTACCATTTTGACGCTGACGTCGAACCGATCTATGGGCTATCTTCTACTGTTGCTAGTTCTTTCGAGGTCCTCAGCTAGCGCTTGATCGAATCGGTTCCTAAAAATCCACAGAAGGGCAATATGCGTTTGAAAAGGGAAATAGATTCATAGAGCAAGATAATAAAGATGATGTACATTTGCATTGTTTTCTACTCTACGCCAGTTATTCTCCTTTTAGTAGAATAAAGTTGAACAGTTGAAACTTAGTGCCACGTATATCTCGAGCGCCAGAATCACTCATATCCAGCATAGTCAAGTGGCCCCCCTTCAGGGCTTAGCTAGCCACGGAAATCCGGGTCATACATGGTTCCTGTCTTATCTAGAGTAGCCACATACCGATTGCGGCCCCCACGTTTGCCGTGTGTTTGATAGTGGGCATTAAGGCTGTCGCGTCGCGAAAACCTGCGTTGGCACCCAGGGACCCAGCAGACATAAGGCTTCGCTCCGGAATAATTTGTCAAGTGACGGTTCAAGCCTTTTTGGCGTTTGAATTGGCGCTTGCATCCCGAAATTGCGCAATTGAAATGCCGCCGTTGGGTGCTGTGTTATAAACCTCCCTAATCAAAGTTGGAGGGAACTTGTGTGGAGATTGGATTGAGTGCCTGTGAAATAACTTGGCCCGCCTCTACAGCCTGCGTATTTTGGAAAATGTGCTGCCCTCCAGGCTGCTCTAGCCAAGGATCATTGGTATTTTGTGAGACTGGCAAGGTTCCGAACACATTCCGTACAATGTCAGAGTAGCCAGGAGCAGACTCCGAAATAGGTAGGTATCGAAACCAGCAGAGAACAGGCCGCCATCCGCAATAGCTAGAGCCTAGGTCCATTGGGCAACCCCCGTGTCGACAAAAAAGACCATGATTAAGGCTTTGGCTAGTATGTAATTGGTATGTCCAGCCCTAAGGACTAACTTCACAGGTTTAAGTCCGGGGGAACTCCAAGTTAGGCTGTTCAATGGGTACGTGTTTGGTTGGGTATTTTTGCTCGCTTTTGTCGCCGTAGAGCAGTGGTATATCGCTTAGGGAAAACATATCCGTCCGGCATATTTGTTTTTGCGAAAATATTGCCATAGCTTTTATCATTTATGATATTGCGCTCAGACCAAGCATAAATCCGAATTCTCGTATCAAAAGCGAGGCGAGAGAAGGAGGGGGTAGAATATCCTAAGGACGATGACTAATTGCGAGTCGATCAGTATATTATATGAGATCTAAAGTGTATCAAAGAAATAGCCTCTTGAAACAACATAGACAAGACAAACAGCAGAAAGTGTCAACAAAGCCGTAGAGCTAGATAACTGCAAAGTTATTGTTCGCCCTTAACAGTGGCTGAACTGACCTCAACAAATTCTGTCGAAAAAAATTCTACCATCTATATCCGAATGTTTTTCAACATGGCCTCTAATTTATGGTTAGCAAAACACATGAATGATAAAGACGACTAGTTGAGGCGAGATAGTCGTCGATTAAACGGTGATCAGACACCGCCTTTATAGCTGGCTTACAGTGGAATTTTGCTGCCGACAACTAGAAACAAGCAGTTACGAGTACAGACTGATTGGAAATATATAATTGTTCACCGGCTGGTCAAGCTTCTAGAATTGCCCGTTGAATGTTTGAAGCTGTCGAAGCCGCAGGACATATTTAATGCTGCTAGAACAAGCCAATACATTTAGCACATCCATCAGCAAGGGTACAGGCTTGCTCAACCAACACCAGCATTTAAATAAATGAGTTCGTTGATACCCGTATCTCTGTCGTAACCCCAACGAGGCCGTTATGTGTCTCCAAGCAGACTATAAGAGAGGCTTTCATCCCCTGAACAAAAATTAAATCAAAACTGATTCTTCCCCTGTCATAAAATGGATACTCCAAGGAACGTACAGGACCAAAACAGTGAAGGAGATCATGAGCCGAGTGGGCTTCCAATCCAGGTTGATGAAAGCCACCCAAAGGATGCTTCTGATCCCAAACCACGACAGGTAAGCCAGATGCATCCTATGCGGTATTATATCTCGTGGCTGACCACTAGAAATTTCTACCCGCAGCTGGAAACCAGCCAGAAAGAAACTCTGATGATCGAGCAATTTCAACCCATCTTGGCAACGCTAGCAAACGTTGAACGCGAGGATGCGAAACTGGGCTTTCAAGCGGCTCGAACTGTGGGGCTTCATCGACGTGTATGGGCATCATGTGTGCCTAAACACCTCCGTGGCGAGGATGTTGATCAAAATCTGCAACTTTCAAAGGAGGCCATCATCGACCCGAGCAAAGAGGGGGTTGTACCTCAGCTTCCTGCTGATGAGCAGCGACAACGACTGGTGTCTTTTGAGCAGGCTTGGGAATCAACTCGGGAGCGACTGACGGTCGTGCTTTACGGTTGGAATCAATGCTCGAAAAGTAGACTGGGCATGTTAGTTGATGCCAAAAGAACTGAGTAGGGGCTCTAGTGGGAATCATGCTACTGAACTGTATGTATTTCTTGAGTGTGATGTAACGTCAATCTTTTGACACAGTCGTGTTTATTTCGAGAACGTCGTACAAAGCCCATGGCAAGAACGTGACTACTGGCAGACATTGGACGAGTTTTATCACAAGAGTACCGCAATCATTTATAGTTTTCTTGGATATTATGTACAAAGAACGAAGGGTCCAGGGATGGCATCGTGGGTAATGTCGCCTGTGGAGAAATGGTAGAGTGACTGGAATACGGTAGCGCTTCTGTGCGCGGCCATAGAGATAAAGTAAAGGTGGGAGAAAATGTTTCATCAGTGGCTAGGGATATGATGTCCAGAATCTGTCCTCGCACCCGACGTAGATTACCCATGGCTGTTTCAACACGGGGCAAGAAGAACAAATACTCCCCCACTGTTTCACCAGAAAATTGATGAATCTTTGCAAGACTCAACTCCAACCAGTAAAGCTCTTCAAAAATAAAGAATGCTGACATGTGAAGGAAGAGGTCCTCAGGTTGAGTGGAGAACGACAGAAGATCTGGGCCTGTCCACTTGAAGCCCGGCTGGTTATCGTTGTTGGGGTGAAAGAGATATTCGACCTGGGGGGATCCTTGTCCCTTGTATGATATAGAATTCAACTCATTCTGAAAGTCTAGTTCTGGATTTTCGTGATCCGCGCAAAGACATGGCGGTGGCGCCGGGATGCAAGAAGACTCTCGCCAGATAGCGTGAAGGTCGAGATCGAAGTCGTCATCTAGTCTATTGTCAGCACAAGTACGCCGTAGAATCAATTCTCACAAACCATTTTGATTAAGTTTATTCATCTGAATCAAAAGGACCCGGGTACTGTCGTTGCGAGGAAGTGAAAGGAGCTTCTGAACTGACAGTGCAGAGTTGCTGGAGGTTTACAGTAATATAAAAAGCCGTACCCAATGATTATTTAATAAGACAGAGTCAAAAAGCCAAAAGTCAATCATTCAGAAAAAAGAATGGGCTAATGTACGTGGATTTCGTGAATCGTTGATCGTTCATCGGGATCAACGAGACATCACCGTCGGCCGTCTCATCGGGGATCCCCGAATCTAATTTATCACCTCACGAAAGCATCCCTTCATCATTATAGTATTGCAAAAAGAATTTCACTCCACTCAGAATTGGTTTTACTGCCCGTGAATGTGTCGTTGAGCTAGTTTCCTGTGTTCAGAGTAAACAATAATGAATCATGATTGGGCGAGAGGCCCGAGTATCGTCACAATCTCAGGATCATGTACTTTTGGACGGCACCAGCTCAATCAGAACGTGATCAACCGGGTATAAATGGATCGGCTCAAGCTACTTAGCCTCGTTCGCTTGCTATCTGAAAGAATCCGTTAATGTCTACTGTTATTGTAGAAATCAGTAATTGCCAAGGCTTAGCTCAGATAGGGGCTGGTAGATGCTGAAATCAGAGCGGACGCCCGTCAAATGACAGCGGACCACGGAACTCTGGATCGTAGTCGGGACTCATCTTGTCGAGGGAAGCAACATAGCGGTTGCGACCACCGGGTCTCGCATGTGTCTTCGTACAATGGGCTTTGAGATTGTCGCGGCGTGAAAAGCTACGGTGACATCCAGGTACCCAGCAGACAAACGGCTTTTCCTTCGAATGACTCCTTGAATGGCGCTCGAGGTGATCCTGACGCTTGAAGCCCAATGTGCAGCCAATAATTTTGCACTTGAATTTTCTCGTGTGCGTATTAAGCTCCTGTTCTTTTGCATTCGATAGATGCCTAGGCTGCTTGATATAGACGTTGAGGTCTTGCTGCAAAGGGTCTTTCATACCCACGTTGGTCTCATGGTTTTTCTGCCATTGCTCTGGTGATTGGTCAAAGGAGATACTGGTAAGGGAGGGAATGGTATTGGCTTCATCATTTGCGTCAGGGTTTCCTGTAAGACCCAAGAAGTCGGAACTACTTGTCGGAAGATTCGGAAATATCAGTGCAGGGTTGATAGTCTGCGTTGGCGAGTAATCAGCCCCCGGCTGCCGTTCAGCTAAATCGAAAGGTGAGATCGATGGAACTTGGTATGGCTGACAAATTCTTGGTGGCAAGCAAAGTATGGAGGCCAACTCAAGGCAATGGTTTGCTTCCTGGCCAGGACAGAAGTCCGAATTGCCATGGTCTCGGGCCGGGATAAGTGTGGGATGATGAGAAGTTGAGGGGCAGTAGTAGACCTGGATGACTCCATGCTCTGCCCGACTGCCATGTTGCAGCGAAGCAACATTAATGCGACTAGCGCTTCGTATACTATCATCCAAGTTGGACCAGGTTGGCAGTACCTGCGAGTCCAGATAGTAGACAAGATTTGTCCCTGCAGTCGGCAGCTTGACTGGTGAGAACTTTGTGTCATCATGCTGAACACGAAGCTCTGCGAAAGTCGGAGCCGGCAAGAGCGGGGGAAGGGGGTTTTGATGTGTCCGAGACATGTTGCCAGCTGATCTGGGCATTTTCAGTATTTTGAAGCAGCATCAAGAGAATTGGAGCGGCTGGCAAATTATTTGGAGTAATAAAAGCTTATACTGTAGCTCAATCTAGGAGGAAAAGGACATAATGACGCACGCGTCGGTATTGGGCAAAGTCGTGACCAAGATGCGAGCAAGTAAGATGCAGAAAATTGCGTTAATTGTACATTGACTGCCTCAGCGCACACGATTTCAACAGCATCTCAAACATATGTCTATAGCAAAAGCTGGTACTAATATCTAATTGTCACGGATAGATTTGTACTCTTTGGTCATGATACTGCGTGGCAGTCAATGTATTTCTGCTACTTTAGTTGACTCTGGTGAATAACCGTTGAACCTTCAAAATAGTCCACCTTTTAGGAGCAGAATACTTTGTGAGCTTAGTCCGTCATGTTCTGGTATGAGTTTCGGGACCCGGAACAACGCCGCACGATCTTGACACATCCACTTGCTAATATTGACGGAAGTGTCTCCTGTCTGTAGCAGATCGCACAGCAACACACTTCAAGTTTAAACTTGATACTGTAGTCTAAACTATCAGATGGTAATCTTCGGCACTGTAAGCTTGCAACGCTCTTTTATCGACAATACCGTAAATTGCACACGTATTCCCACCTTATGGATCGGTCTTATTGTGCATTGTGCCTCTAATATTATTTCTGCCGTCTTTTAACTTGATTCGCTTTCAACTCATTCGTCTATCTGGCTGATGGGATTTAAAGAAGCACTTATACGTGGCGTCACTATTCTGAGCCAGACCCTAATTTAATCACACCAGCCTTCTTTCACAATGATTTTAATTAACGCCTAGTCTTGGTTCTGTGATTTGCTGTATACTTTTATATATGAAATGTCTCCCCGGCTTCCAAGATTCTCGATCTTTAAAATACGTGGGATTTGATTGGTCAAACAGTGCCTCAATCAAGCGAAGACCAAGCTAGACTGGCACCGTTATGATGCTCACTAGATATGTTCTACTGTTGGAGATGATCGTCTTATGCGTGGTCAGCGGACATCTCATCATGACTTCGCCAGAGCCATACAGTCAAGACACCCTTAACAACTCTCCTCTCGCTGAACATGGCAGCGATTTCCCCTGCAAACTTCGCACAAATGCATTCTTGGCTCCTTCGACGGAGACAATCTATCAGATCGGCACTATGAATTCTATCAAGTTCAAAGGAAGCGCGACACACGGTGGGGGCTCATGCCAACTGAGCCTGACCGAAGACCGTGAGCCCACCAAAGATTCTAAATGGAAGGTTATCAAGTCCTATGAAGGAGGTTGTCCTACAAAGGCAGAGAGACTCGCCGGAGGCGCCACTGCAGACAATGGCCTTCACCTCGATTTTGCAATCCCCGAAGGTGTTCAGCCCGGGAAATACACCCTAGCTTGGACATGGTTCAACCGCATTGGACTTCGTGAGATGTATATGAACTGTGCTCCCATCACCGTGGCCAGTGGCTCGTTGCAACAGCCCAAAGACATACAAAAGCAAACGCCTACTTTGCCACCCATGTTCGTCGCTAATATCAATGGCTGTATCACGAAAGAGAACTTGGACATTCGCTTTCCTGAGCCAGGAAGCATTGTGGAGCATAATGGCCAAATGGACCACCTTCTTCGCGAAGGTGAGCCACCATGCACCGGAACACCTACGTTCGGTGCCTCGGCAGCCGTCCAGTCATCCATTCCCGACCCGACCAAGGGTGTGGTTGAAGAAACAGACTTATCTCCTAATTTATCAGCTCTTGCCCGCATTCCGTCTTCAATTTGCTCTTGTCATGTCCTTCGCCGTAATTGTGGCCATAGATAGATATCGAGGAACTGAGTAAACGCTGACGTACAATGAAAGGAGGAAGGAAAGAACCCAATCAAATCCAGTGAAAATTCAGTGCTATTTTGAAAAATTTAGTTTCAGGTGTAAATTCATGACTCGCTCTGTTGTACAGTACTCGGATCGACTGGATGAGAACGAAAGGGGGTATCATATATAAGATCGCTAATTCAAAAAGTGAAAAGAACGCTTCCTTGCTACAAAACAGGAGGTTACGAAACACAAAGACGTTTTACATCTCCTGCCTTTGTTTGACATGGTCGTCGTCGTTTGGCTGCCCCCGACCGCTGTAAACTCGGTCGACATATTATAGTAGAGCGATGAAAGTCGATAATCAAAGCACGGCCAAGCTCTTCACTCCAGAGCACATTATCTCGCCGCAAGTCTTCATGGATGATACCGAGAGCTCTTATTTCCTTGTTCGATTTGTGAGTCTCCCGGCGAAGCCATTGCGTCTGCTCCATCGTCGCTGTACATGCGCCTCCCCAGCCCATTACGAGCATGTGGCGGATTTCTCCAGCGCCATGAAGAAAATAGATTTTTGCCAAGTCAATCGTACCCAAGAATACAGGCACAGCAGATCCTTGGGCCTTGCGCAGCACTCGGTAAACCTGCGCTTCGCGAGAAACTTCTCTCCACAACCCCGACGTGGTGCCTTTGCCTATAACTGTGTAGCCATATTCCATGCAGGTAAGTTTGAATGGGGCACCGTATGAGCCGCAACCGCCCAAGGGGATGCAGCGATCTATATTCTCGTCTAACTCATTTTTCAATGAAAGAATCATGTCCCTAGCTGAGATTGAGTGCTGAACCAAGTGGTTCTTGCCCCGGCGATGATGATCCACATTTGGACACGACTCATCCAGCACATCCCCGTTCTGCAAACCGAGCAAACATCGCTGCGTGCAGAATGGCGCGGCACGGCGTCCATGATGGTCGTTTTGGTTAGGCCCAGTCGTTTGCTGGCGACCTGGTCGTCGAGCGGACGGTGAAGGCGTGACTTGGCTGATCCTCCGCTTATGGCCAGCTGCTTGATTGGTGTCCGAGCCGGACGAGCCAGGTGACCGCGAGCGCGGTCGAATCTCTGCGGGTGCACAGGTGGTTTGGGATCGTGTAAGTACTTGACGGCCCTCTGAGGGAGACGGTAGCGGAGACGACGATGGTAGTCCGTAGGATGAACCAGACTCTGGACTGGGAAACTCAGGGTTGGTACTATCGGAGTGGTGAATCTGCTGCAGCTCCTTCCCGGGAACCTGCGAGCGTGCGTGGTCAAAGCTTGTCTGCCATTTGTAGAGACTTGGGTGCACACGATTTCTCCATTCTTGCTCACGGTTAGGCGAACCGAATGCCATCAAACAAAGGCATAATACCCTCGCAACGGTGGACTTCCATAGCTGGGAGGTAACATCGTTTGCAGGGTTCACTTCGCGGTGAGGATCACAAAAAAAGTAGTAAAGCGTGCTAGGCTGGTCACGCGGAACACGGAGGAGAACGCGAGAAAGCCCATTTGTGAGATAGGAATATTCGAGTCCCTCCTGAATCATCACATGGTATTCTTGCACGACGGCGGAGCAGACGAGTCGCTCCGCATTGTATTTCATCTTCGCTTCCTGGTCCGTGGGTAGTTTATTGGATCTGACCATATCTTTCCAGAGGTCCATCGGTCTAAGGCCCATGCGAAGAGCTGCAAGAGATAGCTTGTGAGGCGGCTTGTACTCGACAGTCGTCAGCACGGTGGTCGAGTGACCGTCGACACGATTGATGCAAAATTGGTCCGGTCGTGGGTGACTTGTGCTCGGCAGTTGGCTCGCATCAACCTCGATGGGGTCGTTTCGGTTCAAGGAATTCGTATGATTACTGAACTCGATTCCGTCTCCGAGCCCGAACTCCTCACGAGCAGCTGGAACACTGCAAAGCTCGTTAATTATATCATGCACATGTTCTTCAACGCCAAACCGCTCGTAGGCTTCAAGTTCTTGCTCGCTACTGACTGGTTTGCGAGCAAACCGACGGCCGAGCCCTTCTAATTGAGCCACAGATGAAAATAGACGAGGTGCCTCGCCCGTTTCGGGCTGAAGATAGTGGCAGACGGACTTGTAGACCTCTTCAAGCTGTTTTGGGCAGTCGGTCCAATGTTCCAATCGAGTTGGGCAGTATTTTCCGGTTGGAAGGGGGATTTTCCCAGTGGTGGAGCGAGATGGGGAATCGACTCTCAGCGATCGGGAGAGAAGGACATGGCAGTGCTGAATGAGCTCCGTGAAAGTGGTCGGTCGGTTACGTTCTTCTGCCAGCCGCCTCCCTTCTGCTTCCTGCTTTTCGCGCTCTTCTGCCTGCCGCCTCCCTTCTGCTTCCTGCTTCTCGCGCTCTTCTGCCTGCCGCCTCCCTTCTGCTTCCTGCTTCTCGCGCTCTTCTGCCTGCCGCCTCCCTTCTGCTTCCTGCTTCTCGCGCTCTTCTGCCTGCCGCCTCCCTTCTGCTTCCTGCTTCTCGCGCTCTTCTGCCTGCCTCCTTTTCTCTTCCGCCTGGAGATAGAGATTTTTGTAATCTGGAGAGCTGGGATCAGCCATTGATATGTAGGGACCAGACGAGGAATCGATCCACAGGCACCGATCGGCTATCTCCACTTGGCTGATATCACCTGATTCCGGCTCCCGGCAAAGGTATTTCCCCGGGGGAAAACATGACTGGATGCCGGGGAACAAGTGTAGCCGATAAAGCTTCCTGCAGGATACGAATGCTGTATCAAATCACTATCACGCTGACCTGAATCATTAGGCGATAGCATTCTTCAGGATTCAGAACGTGAATTGTGTCAAACTCTATGTTTTGACGTGCTAGGATCTCATCTCTTGGCCCTAGGAGTTATTTCTTCCTGGAAGCCTTACAAACATTTATGGGGACAAAGCAGCAGCCTCTAGGCTAGGAGCCGCTCGCCCTGTACACGAGCCAAACCGTGTGGTGGGACCGTCAGAGCACTCTACACGTCGCACCGTTGATCAACCCTGTTTATGAGTCGTGGTACCCCAATATTTCTTTCACAAATGGCCAGTCTGAAGAGATATTCTCTCTATCGCAAGGTCTTGCATTGATAGATCATGGAGGGCCCGAATAAGTAGACTATGAGGAACGCGCTGAGAAGTCTAGGGCATTGCCATTCCTTGGCGACTGAGATTCTGGTTCAAACCCGAGATTGACTCCCTAACTCTGTTCTACCAACATTCACATAATAAAGGTCCAGGTAACCAGGACTCCCTCCCAGGAGCCTGACCTGCACTCCGACGATTTCCTATCGCACAATAAGGCATCTCACATTCTCAATTCACACGTGTCGCCATATGATATATCTTCTGGTGCATATAAGCTAGTCCAGGGCTCTTGTTCTCTCAGCTTTCTATCAAGTCACGCCATGCCAATCCCACACAAACAAGCCGTAACTAGCACCTCTGAAATCCAAGCTCCCGAAGTGAGTATGGCCGCTTCCACTGTTTACCACACCTTCTAGTAACTTTCAATACTAACGTACCGAAGAGGTCTCTCCTCGGTCTTCCTGATGAAATCCTTCTTTGCATAGCATACAGCCTGGATCAAGCCAGAGATTTGCTTGCACTGGCTTGCCTAAATCAAGCAATGAACAAAATTTTCCTCGACTGTCTGTACAGGTTCAACGTCCGACACCAACGCAGCTCCGCATTGTCCTGGGGAGTTCGTCAAAGCAAACCGGAGTTTGTCAAAATGATGTTGGGTTACTACCGAGCGAACGCCAACACCACCGATAGTAAATCTCGCACACCCATCTTTTACGCCATTCGAACCAAGAACGAGCAAATCATTCGCATACTTCTTGAAAACGAGAAAGCGGATATCAATTGGCCAGATTGGCGCAGACAAACTCCATTGGTATACGCCATTGAAAGGAATCTTCTGTCAACTGCATCACTTCTACTCGAATTTAATCCATGTCTGAATAAAGTGGATATCAAAAACGGTCGGCTATCTGGTACGCTATCGATCTCTGCGATGAGAGCCGGGTGCAGTCCCTTTTAAAAAGGGGTAGCGACATACGAACGCCAGATTACAAAGATGTCTCGCCCTTCTGCCTGGCAGTGACGAAGACACCCCCGAAAATCGCCCGGCTGATACTCCTCAATTCAGATCCCGATTCAAAAAAGATCTTACTAGAGGATGTCGCTCTCAGAAACCGTCTGCTGTGTCGGGCTGTACAAGCAAGCCTCCGAGATGTCATCGCGCTACTGGTTGCCCATGGCGCAGATCCAAACTCTAGAAATAGAGATGGCCAGAGCTTGTTGCATCAAGCCACGAAAAATGGTGACAGGGAGGTGGTCCAACAACTGCTCACGTATGAAGACATATCTATCAATGCAACGGACAGACGTTCCTGCACTGCACTTCACATCGCAGCAGAGTATGGATGCACGTCGGTAGCCAAGTGCCTGCTGGCCAAATGCGGTATAGAATCCAACGCAAGAGACACCTACGGTCGCACTGCCTTTCACATCGCAGCAGAGTATGGCAACAAGTTGATCACAAGGCTTCTCTTAGCCTATGGTGCTGTGGATATCAATGCCCGAGATGCTAATGGGGCAACAGCACTCTGCTTGGCTGTAAAGGAAAAGCACACAGCTGCAGCCCTGCAAATTCTCGCAGAAGACCATGTAGACCTCAATGTGGCTGGTCAAAATGGCTGGACAGCTCTTCACCATGCGGTCTCAGTGGGAAGCATACCGCTAGCTTGTGTGCTTCTCGACAACGATCAGCTAGATCCGAACCTTCGTGATGATGAAGGATGGCCTCCTCTCACCCATGCTGCTTCCAATGGCGATTTACGCATGGTGGAGCTCTTTCTCGCGAGGGCAGACATACAAGTGAACGTGCATCAGGCCCCACCCCTCTTCCATGCCGCCAAAAAGGGTCATGTGGAAGTTGTACGCCGATTGCTTTCCGTTGGTACGATCAACATCAATCAGCAATTTGGGAACAGCTCGCCTCTGTGCGTTGCCTCCGAGATGGGCTACCCGGAAGTTACAAGCTACTCCTTGGGCACACAACACCCCCCGACACTAATCTCAAAACTTACTTGGGCGACACTGCACTTTCTTTGGCCGCTTACCATGGTCATTTGGAGATTATAAATCTTTTACTAAAAGTAGATGGATTGGATGTTGCTGCTGCTGATAATTTTGGGGACACGGCGCTATGCAAAGCAGCTCGGAATGGACACGAACAGGTTGTCAAGCGTCTCTATAGGGATGCTCGGGCAAAATGTGCGAGTGATGTCAAAAGGGCCATTGAAGCAGCTCTCACCTCTAGAATCACACTGTACCTTGGAGGCCACTTGGATGAGCAAGTCCACTTTTGCACTAGGTCTTGAATTACAGATAGCCCATGATTGCTTTGTTAGATAATTGTTAATCTCGTCCGGTACAATGCAACCCCTTTCAAATGAGCTCCTCTTATACCATTTTCAGGCATAATTTGCGATGAACCGTATTATCTCATACTTAACCCGCCGCACATCCCATATCGTGTCTTTGATGGTGAAGAAGTCCAGGGCTACCCAAAGATTGAACAGTCAACACATATTTCACGTGAACATAGTGGCTAACGTGCTCGGCGGAATTTACATATTTTAGCCTCTCGAGATACGCCGTTAATATGGTGAACATGTGGTTAACTCACGATAAAATACGTAGCACGAGGAGTAAAGAGAAGGGCGTCCTCGCCTTCCGGGCAATCCAGATGCACAAAGTGCGTCATGCAGATCATGTCTTCATATATGCCTAACAGAAAGTCACAGGTGATCCTAGGAGCTACCATATACCCCAGAGGCCGAGAGCCTTTTGCGACGCTGCTCGCCAAGATGAGTAGAAATCTTATGAAAAGCGTAATTCGTGAATGGATCTATGTAGATTGCCACTTAGGCAGCGGGCAATGCAATGAGCATTTGGTGCAGCTCCGGGTGTGCCATGTCATTGATCCTATAGGCAATCTTAGTCTACAAGGCACACAGAAGATTGACTGGAAAGTATAAATAGTCTGCGTTCGGAGTTACTGACCACTCTTCTTTTGTTTCCACTCTCAGATTATTGAAAACTTGTCTCAACGAGACCCAACTAGACTTATCAAAATCAAAACTACCATTTCTGGAACAATGCCCTCATTTTTCACCAGAAGCACGATGCGGATGCGACTGGTCGTCTCTTTTCTTACAATAGTCTGGCTGGGACTTGCGACTCTCGCCTCAGCGTCTGCACGACTCGCAGACGTCCTGCAAAATCGCGCAAAGTCTGACTTTGTCCACGCCGACAATTTGATGCTGGACATCACATTTCAGAAGCTCATGAGCAATATTCTCGTTAGCATGGTTATCACAGCCCTCATCTCAGCGGTGCTTTTTATTTTCGGAATACTTCTTTCGGTCCACTCAAGGTGGCTACAAGAAGATTGCAATGCTCGAATCTACTATGGCTGCTTGACTTTTCTCATGAGCATATGTGTTATCTCCATAGGAGGTTATGCCGCCGGCTGTATTCATGGGTTTCAATCCTCATTTGAGCTGTTTAGTGGAGAGAGTTCGTTTCCATACTACGCCGTCATATACTATGGCGCGGTTGGCCAGGCCACCTTTGCGTCTGCACTATTCATCTTGATTTTGGTACATGTTGTTGCAGCTGCATAATTTGATATTTGAGAGACACGAGATGACGGAACCTTGGAGATGATACCGAGGCATCCTGCTTGAATCCAGTATGGTGTGGAGGAAAGAACAGGGGGTATTACGAAGGAGAGAAGATCCGAACTGGCTGTTATGGCATATCCGAAGATATAGCAAGCTAGAAACCCTTGAGTGTCAGAAATAAATCTGCGGATGGAGTCCAATTAGGAAACAAATGGGTTCTATGATAAAACTCATTCACAAGTTACAACAATATTGAGGAAGCTCCAGATACAGCAACGGTAGACAACAGAGCACTGTCATGGATGCTCTCGGAAGTGACCGGCACTCCATTTACATTATTACTGTATCATTATGACTCAGAAGCATATCATCATATTCTGATACAGCTTGCGAAGTAATATTCTATGTATAAAGATGCCTGCAAACCAGACCAGGGGGTTCTTTTTAAGAACTTGATACAGTAGCATGATGTTCGTATTTCTAAGGAAGCTCTGGAATTTTCTAGACACTAGTCTGCTCGAGACCTACCTGATTGGAAGGCTGGGCCAAAAGCAGTGTGATCAAGTAATGCAGCTGATCGGCAAAGCAAGTTTGATCTGGCTAGTGTGCAGACATTTTTAACTCAGCATACAGCAATATCGTGTGCTCATCCGCCTAAGGCATGGAAACGGATATTACCAAGGCCGTGGACTATTGGACGGGAGCATTATTGGACGGGAGCGTTAATCATAGGCCAACCCCATGTTATCTCGACAAATGAGATTCGATGAGCCATGGAAACGCTCGCTCGGGGAGATTGCAGTATAAAGCCTGGACTTCGTGGAAGGCTTATTCACCTTACGAGAAGCTGAATTGACCCACTTACTTGTCCTGAAATCTGGACTCGAGTTCCTATTCTGGCTTGACAACGAGGACAAGAAATTTTGATTTTGCGTCAAGGAAAGGAAAAACACCCTGGACTTCTTAGCGTGTTCGAATGTGTGCCTACGAGCATCAGAAGTTCTCGAGTCCTACAGTAGTTGAAACAATAGTCGGCTGTGTGCAACACAGAAACCTCTCCTTTCGAGTAGCACGGGACTAGGAGATGCACATAATAAATTTCAATGGGATCAATCGGACTCACTTGGCGAAGAAGCCCACCACGGGTACAATCAAGCGTGACTATCTGCCACAATTTTCAGAACAATTTTCAGCGGGGGAGAAAGATTTCAGACTATGAATGACTCATAGCCGGACTAGGTGCCACCCTGTTGGGCGATTTGATTTCAAATTCAACGATATGTAAGAATCATATTCTTGCGGTTTAGCTCTCTTCTCAACAGTTGATGAACGTTGTTCACCACACCCAACGCCGAATTTTGAGAGAAATAATTCCAGAACGACACTAGATATTGTAGGCCGCAGAGTCCCGAAACACCGTTTTAACGTCGTTCACATGGCGTCAACGCCTATGAAATACGCAATTCTCGCTACCATCTGCGCATGTAGTTCCTTGGAAGAGACGCAGCCGAAAAGGTATAAAAGAGGCCCAATTCCCTGCCCAAAAAAATCAGGACTTCAGTCCTCACGCTCCGATGTGTCACGGTGTCCCTCTTGCCTACGGGCTTGAGGGTCTCCATGACCACGGCTTTCGCTGCCACGAGCCCAGCGATGTAAGACTTGTGCTCCCTCACAGCCAATGAGCCCTGTGACTGTAAAAATGTGCTCCCTCACAGCCAATGAGCCCTGTGATTGTAAAAATGTGCTCCCTCACAGCCAATGAGCCCTGTGACTGTAAAAATGTGCTCCCTCACAGCCAATGAGCCCTGTGACTGTAAAAATGTGCTCCCTCACAGCCAATGAGCCCTGTGATTGTAAAAATGTGCTCCCTCACAGCCAATGAGCCCTGTGACTGTAAAAATGTGCTCCCTCACAGCCAATGAGCCCTGTGATTGTAAAAATGTGCTCCCTCACAGCCAATGAGCCCTGTGACTGTAAAAATGTGCTCCCTCGCTGCCCTGAGCCCCGCGAGTGTAAAAATGTGCTTCGCAGGATAGGTCTGCGTCAACAACAATCCTCGCAGAGGGGCGCTGCGTTACCAAGTGAACTCCGCAGGAGACCGCTGCGTTAACAAGTTCTCTGCAGGAGACCGCTGCATTACCAAGTTCTCCGCAGGGACATCTGCGATACCAAGAGTCTCCGTAGGGACATCTACGACACCAAGAGTCTCCGCAGGGACATCTGCGACACCAAGAGTCTCCGCAGGGACATCTGCGACACCAAGAGTCTCCGTAGGGACATCTACGACACCAAGCTCTCCCTCACAGCCTTGAGCCCTGTGACTGTATAATCTTGAGCTTCCATGCAGCCTTGAGCCCTGCGTTATCAAATTTGTGCTTGTTTAGGCGGCCCGTGGCGCCGCGGTGCCAGTCCTGATCCTCTGACCATGTGCAGGCACCTCTTCGTGGTGTCAGAGACTAGTATTCGAATTTGCAACAGCATTCGATGAAGCCAAGACCTGCTCAGTATCTTCATACTGTATCGTGCTGCAGAGCACCATAGCATAGACAATCAATCACCAACTCAATCCAAGCTAGGATTCATGTTTAGCAACCCGTATTCCCGCTCTGTATGCCTTCTCGCAGTCGATGATCCTTTTGCTGTAACGTAAAATCGCATGATTTGGGTGTAGCACACATAGCGATGTTGTGTTGTGATGCTGTTTCGGTAGGATGTTTGTTATGCCAGTGTGAAGTGAAAGTAGAGATTTAGAGCTTGTGTGTTGACGTGTTGACGTGTTGACGTGTTGACGTGTTGACGTGTTGACGTGTTGACGTTGATGCTGGTGTGTTGAATTGTGCAGTAATCGGGCGGTGAAGGACTGGTGATCAACACACATGCAGGTTCAACATCCTTGGCTTGTTCGAGAAAGCCACACTGGTGCGCAGGGTAAGTTCGCAAGACAGAAACCGCGGGCGACGAACCTATCTGTGTTATGATTGTACAATCGTATTGGAGGACTCCTTGTAGAGACACTGCGTCGTGTGCGAAGGCGGTGGGGTGGAGACGCGATGGAGCGCGTCGGCCCACAGTTTTATCTGACTTGGTGGGCATAACTTTTCTCGCGACAACAGCTTCCGCGGTTAGTGATAGGCTGCTACAATTGCATTATAATGTCAGTCTTTCATGTTTATGGCACAAACTTAGCACAACGCATCGGAGTTAACGCGGCAAGCGGCGCAATATTCCACTCACCTCATCGTGGACGACGAACGTCTAGAATTTATGCATCATGTTCGTCGCCCGCGACCTTGGTTGGCGGTATCTCATGTAAGACTCACTGCGTGGTTTTGGGTGTGAGAGCCAGGAATGGCGCCTAAGTCATGACCCTTCGCGGAGCACTGACGGAGTGCTACTTCGGACTCAGGTTGGAGTGTTATCAGGGTTTCCTGCCCATCATTAGCTTTTTGATCGGCGGGACACTGTATGACTCACATGGTCTATATAAGACTCGGGAAGGGGCTCTGTGACTGGTGTTCTTTGGACGAATGCACGCAGTATTATTTTGCATTATCTATGGGGTCAGCTGGATTTCGACAGTATCATGCTGGGACTTACCCGTCTAACCGCTCTTTTACATCGATGTATTCAGCGGACAATGGTCGGCTGCCATGGTAGATGTTTCTGTAGAAACTCTGATCAGCTGACCAAAATCTGCTACTTGATCGGCTGGCACGGGTACTGTAGCAAAGTAGACCTGATGGGAATCACATTCTCATTCGCAATTCCTTGGCGGTCCACAACGTAACCATAGATGTCAGTGCATTGAAATTGTAGTATGGTCAGACGGAAGAACTTATCCGGTGCCTCAAAAGGAAGGCCTGCTCGACTCTGAAAGCCAAGGGAAAGTATTGCAGAACAAATTGCTGGGGGAAGGAGGACGTATTTATAGGCTCCTCAGCTCCAATCGCCCAAGTGCTCTGCTCGATTGTAGACGTTGAGGGGCACAATGCCTATCCAAATTGAGGACTGTTATTATACCGCAATTTTCTGCAACGACATTGTTAGGGCTATTTGAGATGGCCGCCGAGAAAAATTGCTGGTCATGTTGAAAAACAGTGACGTTAAGTTGGTTAAGAAACGTTGGCTCACTGTTCATCGTTCGATCTTCTATATTGAGGCAATGAGAACTATTCATATTTGAATTTTACCCATAGCCCCGAAATTTTCATCACTACCCATCATGGATTATGTGTTTTCCAGATCTCGCTTGTATCTTAATTGTCTGAGTCGTGTGTAGTGTTCCGTCCGTCAGGACTCTGGATTGCGGAAGCGTCAGGCGACGGTCGTACGAGCGGGTCCTCGAACCGTCGTTGACCGGACTCAACTTTCGAACTTATAACCGGTGTTGAGATACGTTGTTCGCTGATTTTCCTCATTATAGATAAATTTTATCCTTTCTAAAGTGGCAGCTCATGAACCGTTCAACGAATTTAAAAAAATGTTGTGCTCAATATATATCTTTTGGCACGTTCATCCCAGCAAGACTTAAACCATGAGGTATATTCACCACACAAACACCACAAGACACAAAATTCACAGCAGCATCACCATGACCGGACTTTTGACAGAGCGCTAAGAGTCCTCGGATTCTAGGCAAAGTTCGACTGTGTTGAAAGACTTTTACGTTGATAGCTAGACTGAATACTCTATCAAACCCCCTTTGTCTGTCTAATCCCACGATTGGGGCCAGAATTCTTAGGAAGCTGATCTGGTTCTTGGTGAACCATGTATCTCGTGCTTTTAGCTTGAGTCTGGAAGTCAAAAATTGGCTCTGGGGACCGCAAAGGGTTTCTAGGAGCTTTTCACCCCCTAGGAAATGCTTTCTAGCTTCTAGGGCTATTATAGGCTCCAGGAAGACGGGATCTGCTCCTGGGATCTTTACTCTATGCTCCTGCCGGAATATTTAAATGGGTCTGGGAATATACCATCCAGATCCAGGAGCTGCAGAGCCCCTGGGAGCATACTGTGGGATCCCAGAGGGACCATAGTACCTTTCGAATCCGCGGAAAGCCCTCAACAAACACCTTCACCAATCCTGCGCATAAATCTGCGCATAAATCTGCGCAATTGAGTCATTTCTAGAAGCCTGGGCCATGAAACCATGAGCGTCACTTATGCCTCTAGGAATCAACAAGTCGTTAAGAGGAACGTGGCTTTGATTCCTCGAGTTGACGGTGTTAGACCCCAGGAGCCATGACAGGTTTCCTAGGGCTAAGAGACTCCTGGAGGCTGCTATTTTGCTCCTAGAAAGCTCTGAAAAGCTCTTAGGAGCAAGATCATCCCTATGATCAAGATTTCTTTCTAGCATTGATAGAGCTATTAGCAGGATAGTGACTAATGATAGTGAAGATAACAGTCCTATAGGCTAATGTAAGATTGACTTTCTAAGACTCGTATGTTATATGGGCTATGCATATTTCCATCAAATATTCTAACAAGAGGACAATAGTAATGGATAATTTCAGAATGGTCAGCCACTACTATTCTTCTTGAAACTAAGCTGCTCCGTGCACTCTTCCTTGACTGGCCACGATGGGAAGGCTAGTGAGATCAAGAGATGAACGCGTATCCATATATATATTAAATTAAGTCAATTCGTTCATATGAATTTTAACCTCGTCATCCTCATTTTTCAATGCTACCTCTCCTTTGTTCATCTATTGAGAAATAATCTTAGAGCGATTCTATTTTGTGGCTGTGTTCCAAATTATCCCTATCTTGTTCTTTAAACCCTTGAATTTGAAGCACCTTAGCCGTCACTGGAACTACCTTGTCGGCTTATGCCTCGCGCATCAAGTTTTCCCCCATTGACTTAAGATTCCTTTGATTTCGATATCTCGTTACAGTAATTTGAAGCAGAACTTGATTCTTTATTTCGATCTTAGTTCTAATCAAGATCGCTATAGCCAAGGAGAATATAAGTCATCAAAGAGTCCTCACATGTAGTGCCTTGTAGTGATCAAATCCAATGCTACTGTGTCTATCTGATATACCCCACTATCAACTTGATTTTGCTGCACCTGGAGGGAATACTGGCACCAAGATCGCGATTCAAAGAGAAAAGCTGAAGCATATTATAAAACTAGTCACAAACTGTCAAATGTTAGAAATAGATCGCCTTCTGGAGAACAGCAATAATACAAGAGTCTTACCGAGCCTTCAACTAAGCTACTTGCTTCTGTCCACTGTAAGCTATTGCGCTTGACTGAGCATCCATTGCTTCATTGGCCTACATTAATCGAGATTGAATCCGAAGCCAGAAAATGTTTGTGAGTACGTTTTCAAATAGGTATGTGACGTTCTAGGGGCGAGTACGGATAAGTATATTTGGTGTCGCCGGTGTTTCCTTTGTAATTGGCGGCACGGTGACAAGCTGGTATTCTTCGACAAAGGAGATAGCCTCGCGAGTCAGGTCTCGTACTAGATCTGTTTCTTTCCCCGGTTCCACGAAGTCGTGCTTGACTTCTTCAAGGGCCGCTTTCCAGTTGTCCTCATATCCCATTTCGCGCGATGCCATTTTAAGCTCACAGAAACACCAAGGTAATTCATTATGGAAACTGAACGGAGCTTTTGTACCAATTTGAGAAACAGAGCTAGTAGTACTGAGATCTTTGGTCAGAGCTGCATCATAAGTGCCTGCGCCCGTGTGGTATGCGTAAACGTAGGAGGTTGTTATGCTCTTGGATGATGGCGCCTCTGAACTTGAGGTGGAAATGTTTGGAGAAAGGAATAGCGATAGGTGCGGCGATAGCAGAGGCAGGCAACAGAATCATGCATGTGAGGGGTCTCATTCAGGAGGTTTCAGGGAGTAAGTTGTGATCCCTAAGTTGGAGTTGGGAAAGGAGTAGGCAACAGCGCCGTGAAGGGGAATTTCACAAATGTCAAGGTTTGGTGTACTGTAAGGCAGGGAGCAAACTACATTTATATTTAGAGAACAATTTGAGGACTTGTTTAGCCACAATGAGTCAAGTGACCGTTGAGAACAAATTTAGTGCGACAACTGCAATCAAGTATTCATCACCACATTCATTCACCGCACTTATCCTCGTTCAGTGCAGTTGATCAACAATACTACCCATGGAAACGCTCCAAACTCTAGGTGGCTGACCTATGGGTTTACAAACCAGATTATGAACATTTCATCTCATTTCGGGCCAATCTTCACGCTTCTCGTTTCCGTTTTACAATCTCAACCTTTTCACCATCTTAGAATATAGGGTTCAAAAGATTCATATAATGTTTCAGTTCATTCTGTTTCAAACATGGAAAACTCGAACATTGGTGGGATCTGCAACAGTTAGAACTACTTCGGCACATCTATTTGTACCATGACTTACAAGACTGTTTTGATTTGTATGTTTCTTCAAATGACTTGACATGAAACATCTCAATGACAATGACTCTATCCGCTTTGGACCTCAGGATCTCACGCACTGATTTGAAAGCATCATCCAGGCGCTGTGACGTAAGTGATGTGAAAGTGTCTGCAAGACGCAAGGCTAGGTTGGCTATATCCATATCAGATGCCGAATGAGTCTAGAACATTTTAACAAAATCCATTTGTGCTGGCACGGCCGAAACTGGCCCCTTCTGACGCTGAAAATGGCCCCCTCGGCACCACCAATATTCGCACGCACCCGCCCGGTCGCAACCACGCGCCATCCCCCCCTGCCCCTGGTAACGGACGGTATAATGATGCCCGGACACCGGTCCACTGCGGCGCTTGGGTTCGCACCATCCATTTCCCCTGCCCCCTTGTTGCCCTCGTTGCCTGGGTGTACTTTGTCTTTTTCCATGACCTTCCACTCAGTCACTCCCAAATCGCTAACCTTTCTTTCACGGCGCCAGAAATGGCGACCTTTTGTCCAGCTGTCATTGGTTACGCTGGCTGGCCCACTGGTCGCCAGCCATAAAAGAACCCATTACCCTCGTCCTGCTCTCCCTCGTTCGCCTTCATTTTTCCCTCCCGGGTTCCCTCGTTCTTCCCCACGCTTCCGCTTCGCGCTGTTCTTTCTACGCTCAAAGCGATTTCCCTTGCAATTTGAACGATAATCTTCCGTACCTCCTGTGTATCCGGCTGTGTTGTTCCTCTCGACAAGCCGAAAAAGGCATGTCCTCGAAAAACGCTGACGCCAATTGTCGGAACAGACTTCGGAGGGTGATAGTGACTCATCCTGTGTGTCTTTTCGGCCGGACTGCAGCGATAGTGATGAATCAGACGCCGATCAAGCACCAGATTCGACAATCCAGACTTCACCTAAGTCTTCACGGTCTTCCGAACAATGCGATGGAGTCTCCGGCAGCTCCAAACCCTCCGTGCGCGTCCCGGTCCGCTCTGGGGGCTTGCCAGATTTTAGTGATGATCCAGATGATGACACTGATAAGGACATTGCAAACATTCCTCTCGACTATGGGCGTTCAGAGAAAACTAAGGTTCGCGGGGTTCGAATTGAGCAACGCTGGCACAAGTAGGCCAATCATGTCAAACTTGCGTGTGGATGTGCGCTGACATGATCAGGTATTGTCGAGTGAAGGTCAAAACCCCTAATGCGCTTTTGAAATGGAACGATCCGACAGAGGCTCTTCGACAGATGACTCCTAATGATGTACATCGGTTTCTCAACTACTGCCTGAAACTCAAGTATGGCGAAGGTGGTAGACATTTGAAGGGAACAACGAAAGCTAGCGCTCTCAAAGCTGATTGGAAGACTTTCCGAGGCTATTTTCGAAGAGTAACCCGTACTAGGATCAGTCCTGAAGATAGTGAAGAGATAAATGCGGTGGGCTGCCCATCCTCCTTTTCGCGACATCCGGAGCTGATAAAAACCAGGGGATTCGGAAACTGATCGACAAGTTCAACCTCAACCAACAAGAGCGAGGCAAAGAACCGGTCTATGTACAAGACTTGACCGAATTGAATGAGACCATTCTTCGAACCCAGGAAAGGCGGTTTCATTTTGGATACGAGCGTATTCAAATGTGTCTCTTCAGCATGCTTGGCATTTACACCGTGAATCGACTGAGTGCCCTGCTTTCGTTACAATTGAAGCATCTACAGTTCTCTATACAGAAAGATCCTCAGGGTGGCCCTCCTGTGCTTCTGGCGGAGATCAGGTCAGAGCACACGAAGCAGTTCCTCGGGTCTGAAGCAATGTACGTATACTTTGTTCCCCACTCCAGAAGGCTCGGCGATTGATTTTCCTAGCAATACTTTTCCATTCCCTGAAATCATTGACGGGCAATGCCGACTCGATCCGATTTAAATGGGCAAAGCAAACCCCTGATCATCGTTCAAATGTCTTAATCAAGCGCCATTCTTCAAATAGGATTCACAAGTGTCACTAGTCCTTGGCTTGGCAATTTATTATTGGTTGCCTACTAATCAGGGCCAGACCGCTAATGCAGACGGCTCGCCATTCGAGGGCTGTGCCGATGCTAGGCCCCACACTTTTCTTGAATATTAAATAAGGTTTTCATCTAGCCAAATAATCTTTCGATAGAAACGCCGAGGAGTCCTCCTACCAAATCTGAGACTTTCCCGATCTGGAGATGTCCCGATCTGAGAAAGATCGAATGGTGCGGAATCCAGGTCCAGACTTCGTTTCTCATCGAGACCCACCACAGTCTTTGGAAAGGTTGTGGACGCCACCCCCTGAATGGTCAATCACTTTCTTCTCTCCTAGTAGCAGGGACACTTATGTGTACTGGCTGGCTCGTTTTCGGGAGGGCGTTTATTCAATTTCGAACCCCTCGCCTTCATATATTTTTAATTTTCCCCGGGCCCTGGGAGATACGATATACTAGACTGGCCCATGAGCTGGAAGTTTAGCCTGACGCAAAGTTGTGAACAGAGCCGCACCGTCAGAGTTAGTCCCCGAAGTGTCTATACGAACAACCAAGTCCAGTCAGGTTGGTGCTTGTGATGTGCATATACCCTTCATACCCTTCTGTGCCTCTTCGGGATAATAAGAAATATATGTTCATTTCTCTCAGCTGTACCAGCATGGGGCATGGCAGATCTTCAGAGTATCATTCGCAGAAAATTGACACATTTTTACAACCCGCGCAAGCAAACTCATTTCCTGGAAGATTAGCGTAGACTGGTCACAGTATCACCCATCTCTTGCCATCTGATCTGCCAGGATCTCTGGTAAATGTGCGGACGACGATGCACCTATCATCGCACAGGTCCCTCCTTGAACGAACCATGGTTGCCCATTGAAAGGTTCCATAGTGTCCTATAGAATCATCAATTAAAGCTTCGGCCAATCGTTTGGGAATGTTTTTCTGCTATGCCCCACTTCGGAACCTCAACTACCCTCGCCATTCTTTTACTTCTAATATTTTAGCATTGGCCTCCAAATTTTCCTCTGGTTTTTTTTTACTTCGCCCCTGCTTTAAGAGTTGCAATTGACAATATATGAGAGGTGAGTCAGGGCAGAGCTTATACAATCAGATCAATCAAATCGAATCCTGATCGTTGGACTGCTCACACGTCAATTAAGCAGGTCTCTAGGTTCAGGTAATGTCAAGGAATCAGGACTTGACTATAGTATTCCTTACGATCTTGAACATTCAACTCAAGATCCTCTTCATTGATCGCATGATGAATCTCGAGCTCGAGTCAGAACTCCATGTAAGCAGGTCGTTCTTTCATCTGATATTATAAAAGTAAGGTCCGGGGATATTAACCGGGATTTCAGGGTTGCGACCAGCCTCAAAAAATTGTTTCATCGCGGATACTCGAGGTGCCCTCGATCTTATCCATTTCTCACACTCGCACCGTGACACTGCATTCATGGAAGCCCCACCCCAACCGTGCTATTCTTACTTCATGCGATACTGCTCTAGATCACGCGGAAAAGCAAAGCCTGGCTTATGACTTGAAGGAATCCTATAATAAGGTATGGACCTAATGATTCCTTTGATTTTTGAGGAAGCAAAAAGGACATTTGAACTTGATTGAAACTGAGATTTCTTTTTTCATTGGGGCAGATTATGCTGGCAAGCACCGAAATCCTGTTAATTGCACAACATTTCCAGCATAAATTGTGCATGGCAAATGCTCCATCAGAGTTCAATTTATTACTCGAAGAGATTGACATCATGCTCTGTATGCTTAGTCGGAATGAAGCGGCTCTTGCCTGGATACGAGAGAAGGTGAACAAACAGGGTGAAGATTGAGATGATCATCCCGATGACGAATCGTACGATGGGTTCAAGAGTTTTGAGATCGCTGGTTCTTTCGTAAAGACGTAGCCGAAAAAAATACAAAAGGAGCCGGATTCCCAGCCCAAAAAAAAGCAGGACTTCGGTCCTCGCACTTTGATGTATCATAGTGTCCCTCTTTTTCCTGCGGGCTTGAGAACTTCCGTGACCACGGCTGTCGCTGCCACGAGCCCAGCGATTTAACACGTACTCCCTCGCTGCTATGGGCCCCGCGACTGTAAGACGGTGCTTCGCAGGATGGGTCTGCGTCAACAATAATCCTCGCAGGGTGGGGGTACTGCGAAACCAAGGACATCAGAGCTTCCGTGGCCACGGCTGTAGCTGCCACGAGCCCAGAGATGTAGGACTTGCGCTCCCTCACAGCCAATGAGCCCTGTGACTGTAAAAGTGTGCGTCGCAGGACGAGCTCTGCATCAACAAATGTGCATCGTAGGGGATTGCTGCGTTAACAAGGCCCCTAGCGACGTGCAGGCACCTCTTCGCGGTGCTAGGGACCAGTATTCGAGTATTTAAGAGCACTCGAAGTAGCAAAGATCTGCGCAAAATCTTGACGACGTATTTCGTCTTTCGAAGGATCATCATTGGAGAAATAAACTGTGCCCTAGATAGATGCAAACCAATCATCAGAATCGTAAATTCAAGATTCAACCTTCGCTATCGAGTGCCATGTTCCCAACCCTCCTGTCTTCACGGTCTGCGGTCGGCTAGTCTTCCCGTCGCAATAGAATGCATCTGCCATCAGGGCGTAGAGCGAAATCGGGCTCTCACACCTGGGGGGCACCGTTCCCGCTGGTGTTGGCCAGCACAATGCCCACATCGAGGCGTTTCCTTACATGACCATGCGAGGTGTCCAAATCGTTGGCACCGGAAGCATCTCTTTCTTTTTAGTTCGCAGCGTTCCACACTGTCGATGAGTCTTTGGCCAACCAGGAAGCCCTTGCTTAGAATGTAGTCGACCCCTTCCGCGGTGTCGAACCAGATGCAATACTTTAGAGGGCCTAGGCACGCTATTAGTTGTTGTCAGGGTTATACATGAAGTATACAGGATGAATGGAGACATGATTTACGGGACCCATATATGTATGAATAAGCCCGTATACGCATTGATGGGAAGCTCTCGTGACTGTGAGCTTCAGTAAAGTTACAGGATAGATGGATGGATGATATTATTTACCCTGACCTCTCGCAATTAAGCGATACACAGGCTACCACTATTGTGTAAATACATGATTGTGTGTTCCAATGAGATTGTTCCAAAACTTCCTAAACGGTGAAATTTGAGCCTCACCTGGTAAGGCCTGTCGTGGCCCTGTTGCCGTTGGCGGTATTAGGCTGCCCTCATGGCGCGGCTGTGAGAAATATACGAATGAGACGGACAGCAAGCGTCCGTTTTTGGCTCCATCTCTGTTAGGGAACCGCGAGAACGCGGGCAAAGCAGATGCTAAGAATCTGGATAGTGATTGTGTAACAGATGCGGTTTTGTTCCGAGTTCGTTTGATTGAGCGTTGGCTTGTCTTATTCTCGAGCTGGAACGGTGACGGTTTATTGTGAAATCGGAGATGAAGATCTTCAATTGTGAGTATGGGGTTGGCGGGAAGAAAAGGTTCTTGCACTGGAGGAGTCGGTTGCGGTATGGATGTGACAGGTCGCTGAAGGACAGAAGCATAGGTTGTTTGTTGGTTTTGGGGCGAGGAGGTGATGGACGGTATCGTTTGATGAAGCTGGGGAGAGTGGGCTGTTGGAGGTTGTTGAGGCTCTGGGTCTATTATGGCGGGTAGCGGATTGGAACGGCAGTCCAGGTTGGTGTTCAACCGTTCCTTCGCTGAAGTAAATGTAATCGGCGTAGATTGAGTTTGGGACTCTGTACTGAAGTCGTCTGTAGTTTGTGTAATGGAATCGGCGGTAGGAGTTGACCGTTTAGGGGAGGAGAATGCGGTGGTTAAGGCGGGGGGTTTGCTGAGAGTTCCGAGATGGTGTTTCAAATCGCACGAGATTATCTGCCATATGCAGTCTTCGTGTAGATGTTGTACTTCCTCGAACGGGGTGCATTGGAAGGTGGATAAGTGCTTGGTCGATTGGCAGGCAAAACAGCATGCCACATTGCTGACTCGTGAAGGTCGGTAATAGAAGCCATTCTGGGCCAGTTGGAGCGGAGTGACCAAGCACTATTCCTTGGAACGAACGAGCTCGGGCTGTGATGGTAGAGTAGTCGTAGGTGATTGAGACGAGATAGTAATCCTCATTGTGAGAATCATCCTCATCGTGAGAATCATCCTCATCGTGAGAATCATCCTCATCATGAGAATCATCCGCCGAGGTACAGGCTGGATGGATGGATGGATTTCATTTACCCTGATTCCTCGCAAAAAGGCGATATGCAGGCTACAACTACTGCGTAAATACATGCATTTGTGTTCCACGGAGATTGTTCCAAACTTCCTGAGCGGTGAACTTTGAGCCTCACCTGATAAGGCCTGTCGTGGCCAGCTTGCCGTTCATGGTGTTAGGCTGCCTTCATGGCGCGGCTATAATGAGTTCCTTGATAAGGCCGCCAACAATCGTCTGCGGCTGGCTGCATCTCGGCTAGGAGCCTTGAGAATGCTGGTAAAGCTGAGATTAAAAACCTAGCGAGAGACTGTGAAGCAGATGCTTTTTTGTTGCGGGCCGTTTCGGCCGACGCCTGATTCTTGAAACGGATCACATATGCGGTCTTAGTAGTACCAATCCCCGCAACCTGTGCGTCCTGAGTGGACGGCGTCTTCAACAGTGCCGTCCTGATGTGGGTGTTCGCTGCCGGGGTGGGGAGGTAGCGGCCGAACGCGTCTCCGTTGTTCTCTGTGCCTGGCGTTTCAGTGACAGATCGCTGAGTGCTGATTCGGACGCAGTTCTTGTCTTTGTGGTGTCCCGCGGTTGTGGATTGTCTGTGCCGGCTGCGACAGCCGCCCACGATCGTGTCGGAGTTGCTTTGTTTAGCCCGTCTACCTGCGACCGTAGCGCTTGGATCTCTTCCTGTAGCTTCTCATTATGAGTTTGGAGCTCGTTCTGTTTGTCTTTCACTTCTCTCAGTTCGGTCCGGGTGGCGTGAATGAGCATGGTTTGCTCTTCAATGGTGCGTTGCAGGTTTACGATAATCTGCCAAATCTCTCTGGTTGTCACTCGTCCGGTGCTGGTTCCGGTATTGGTCAGCTCCACGGGGTCCGGGGCCGCGTGGGTCTGCTCGCTTTCTACTCGTGCATGTCTCCTGGTCCGGACCGTGGTCGTTGGTGCAAGGTTTTCCGATGCGTCGATCCCTGTGCCTCTTCGCGTGGTTGTGGTGGCAAGGGGCTCGGGAGCCCCCGTGGGTGGGTCCGCCATCCGTCTGGCGTTAGTTCCCGCTCGGCACACAACACAAAATGTTATATCGCAATAGTATCAACCACCCGTTGGTACGGTCGTCCAGCTGTTCGGATCAATACAGTAGTATTCGAATTCAGTTATACCCCTGCACTCTTGCCATTATCTTACAGTAGAATTCGAAAACACTTTACCCCTCAGACACACACGATTTGTTTCTCGGCCCGTACCCGAAACTGCAATATGCTATATTAGGCTTAGCCGTAAATAACAATTTCTCTGATAACAGGACTGTTTTACCTCACAATACAGAAATATGGTGTGTTCAAGTTAATGCCCCACCATGCCCAGCGATCTTGTTCCACGATCTATCGCTAGATGATTGCTCATCGTGCTAAAAGCATTTCCATTCGTGTTCCACAATATCAAGCACAGCTGTCGTGTTTAAATCATTAAATGACCGGGGACAAGCATCATTCCTCGACACAGACAATTTGACCAGTCGATTTGCACAACTCATCCTGCAGATTGAGAACGATTATTCCTCGCAAGAATACTGTTCACCTCGTACTGTATTTTGCTGATTGATGATCCCGACCGCACAATATTGATGATGTGATGGACATCATCATTATCAGAATGCCGTATCAGCTCAAAAAATTCGTCCAAAAACCTCTGATAGTGACTCAGTTCTTCTTCCATATTACTTAAGTGAATATTGCGTCGCTTGTCGGAACTTTCATCGAATATGCAAACCGAGCCACTCTTTGTGCACTCCAAGCATGGGTTTCCAGAACTGCACTATTGTTGAAGATATCAAAAAATCAGCAGCCAGGCTATGCGGAATATTCAAGACTCTATACCTTTGTCCGCCGACGCTGACATTCTTTGCAGGCGTTTGGCAATCGTCGATTAGACACGTCTCCTTCTAATTCGTCAACCACCGAAGCTTTGGTAGTTGGCGTATGAAGTCGAATAGGTCTGAGACGGGAAGCAGACATTTCTTATCAATGGTCTGGTATGAAGGCTGGTGTGGAGTCGATGATGAGGATGAGCGGGGCAGGGAGTGGGGGAGCGAGGCAAATACAGGAGCCGTGTTGGAACATTTTTTATGCTATGAGTCAGCCGTTTTACTTAGTTAATTCTAGCTCTTTTAGTAATACGGTTCTAATACAGCTCTATTCTGTGTAGCCAAGTAACGGATGTAATATATTGACTACATATGGGGTTAGCGTGGGTTCGGATACGTGCCGAGAAACAAAGTGTGTGTCTGAGGGGTAAGCTGTTTTTGAATTCTACTGTAACAGAAAACAACTGATTTCGATCCATCCTGTACAGCAGGGTGAAAGACAAACTATCGACTGTACAGACGCGGAGGGTCAAGCGGATCACTGTATAGCACCAGATCGACCGGTGGCCCAACGGTACTGTACCGACTGCCCAGTGATAGCCTTTTGTGCCACGTGGCAAAAATACCGACCTCCCGTATCGACTGAGTAATGACGGGACGGGCCGCGATGCGAACCCCTGATCCGCCCGACCGCGATGAACGCGAGAATTCGCCACCGCGACTGTCCAGACCGAAGCGCACCACCAAACCACCGAAAAACTATGCTCGAGAGCAAGAGATTGACAACGAGCAGAGGAAGACGCGACCGCTACCAAAGAAGAGAATCGAACCCGAAGACCAGCCTGACGTGGCAACCTCGGACGACTCCGCGACCGAGGGCGACGACCTCGATGTCAGCAATCTGGTGCAAGAGATCGCCAAACTCAGGAGGGAGATCAGACTCCGCGATGAGATACATAAGGAAGAACTACTAAAAGCCCAAGCAGAGTTTGGTGCCGCCCTCGCTGAGGTCCGACACGAGCTACAGAACCTGACTGATAGACCCTTGACACCGCAATGTCACTCCGAGGCATGCTCTCAGAACATCCATGATGCGATTCTCTGCGAGATTCAATCCTTGCGCGAGGAAATCAGCGTCCCCGCTCCCACGAGTTCCCCATCCTATGCAGATGTCGCGCGCACTCCTCCAACCAGTTACCCAAGCAACATACGGACACTGTCAACGCTGGGCACGACACCGACCACCTTTACCGAAACTTTGTACTGTACGATAGACACCTCGAAGATGACCGAAAATGAAAATGAAAAGATATCCGCGGGCTCAATCAGGGCCGCAATCGAGAAAGAGATCCGGACGATGGAGGATCACACCCACTGGCGCTGCCGCGCGGTCACCGTGAGTCCAAGAGACCCCAAGCGGATCAGGATTGCGTGTCGTGATGAAGCCGAGCACCAGCTGGTCAAGAAAGTGGCGGAAGAAAAGATCGGAACAGGATCCCGGGTGCTCCGGGACGAGCTCTACCCGATCAAGGTCGACGGCGTCAAGAGGGCTGCGGTACTGGATGACAACCATGCCATTCTGGCTGGAGCAGCCGTAGTACTGAGTGAAGAAAACGAAAGTACGGTCGCCAAGATGACGTGGCTTAGCAGCAAGGAAGCCGCGAAGCCATATGGCTCGATGGTCGTGTACCTCACTAAAGGCTCCGACGCGCGGAGGCTCCTAGCCGACGGATACTTCCACGTTGGAGGGGAATCCGAGACAACCAGCGTCTTTGAATATCGGCCACGACCGATGCAATATTATAACTGCCAGGAGATTGGTCACAAGGCATTCCGATGCCGGAAGACCCAGAAGTGCGCAAAGTGCGCCGCGGAGGGTCATCACCACAGTCGCTGCGATCAAGAGGTTCCAAAGTGTGTTCCATGCGGTGGGCCACATGAATCGTTTAGCAAGAATTGCCGGAAGCTCTACCCACCACATCATGAATAAAACACTTCGAATAATCCAATTGAATGTGAGAAAGCAGGGTGCCGTGCATGAAAGCTTGATGAACGACGAACAAACTAAGGACGCAGTGGCGTTAGCGATTCAGGAACCCCAGGCGAAGAGGATTCAGGGACGACTCTTGACCACCCCGATGGGACATCACAAATGGACGAAGATGGTACCCTCCACCTGGAGGGAAGGCAGATGGGCGATCCGGAGCATGCTTTGGGTCAACAAAGATGTAGAAGCGGAGCAAGTGGCCATTGAGTCTCCGGATCTGACGGCGGCGGTCATCCGACTACCCGAACGGCTGATCTTTATAGCATCGGTCTACGTCGAAGGGGGAGATTCCTTGGCTCTGGATGACGCGTGTGGTCACCTGAGAAAGGCAATTGCGATGGTGCGGCGAGACACGGGCGCGGTGGTGAACATCATGATTATGGGAGACTTCAACCGCCATGATCAACTCTGGGGCGGAGACGAGGTGTCCTTGGGAAGACAGGGCGAAGCGGATCCAATCATTGACCTCATGAGTGAATTTGCTCTCAGTAGCTTGCTCAAACGAGGCACGAAGACATGGCAGGGTGAAGGACAGTATGGGGACTGCGAATCCACAATTGACCTCGTTCTGGCCTCCGACAATTTGGCAGACCTGATGACCAAATGTGTAATACACGGGACTGAGCACGGCTCAGATCACCGGACGATTGAGACTGTGTTTGATGCGCCGTGGTCAGCCCCGAAGCATCAGGAACGACTTCTTCTGAAGAACGCACCATGGAAAGAGATCAATGCTAGAATCGCGAGCACCCTGGCCGCCACTCCGTCGGAAGGCACAGTGCAGCAGAAAACCGACCGATTGATGTCCGCAGTCTCAGACGCAGTGCATACGTTAACTCCAAGAGCGAAACCGTCGCCACACGCGAAGCGGTGGTGGACAACCGACCTGAACCGAACTCCGTTATATGTACACGTACTGGCGCAATCGCGCTCGCTCGGAGCGACGGGCAGGGCGAAAAATACCTCAGCTCGAAAAGTTGGCCCAGGATGCGGCAAAACAAGATCATGATGCCATCCGCAAGCAAAAGAAGAAGCACTGGAACGAGTTTCTCGCAGACAACGACAATATCTGGAAAGCCGCCAAGTACCTGAAATCTGGGGATGATGCGGCGTTTGGGAAACTACCGCAGCTCGCCAGAGCAGATGGGACTACTACTGCTGACCATAAGGAGCAAGCAGAAGAGCTGCTGTCCAAGTTCTTCCCACCTCTGCCAGATGTGATTGAAGATGAGGGGATGAGACCACAGAGAGAACCGGTGAGTATGCCTACGGTTGGCATAGAAGAGATCGAAAGGCAGCTTTTTGCTGCAAAATCATGGAAGGCACCGGGTGAAGACGGTCTACCGGCGATAGTCTGGAAGATGACGTGGCCGACTGTCAAGCACAGGGTTCTCGATTTATTCCAGGCGTCACTGAGAGAAGGCGCGTTACCGACAGAATGGAGACACGCGAAGATCATACCGCTCAAGAAGCCGAATAAAGAAAATTACACCATTGCAAAGGCATGGAGGCCAATCTCGCTCCTCGCGACGCTGGGTAAGATACTGGAATCGGTGGTTGCGGAAAAGATCTCGCACGCTGTGGAGACACACGGCTTGCTCCCGACCAGCCATTTCGGAGCCCGAAAGCAACGGTTCGCGGAGCAGGCGCTTGTGCTATTACAAGAGCAGATCTACACCGCGTGGCGTGGCCGACGGGTGTTGAGTTTGATCAGCTTCGACGTCAAAGGCGCCTACAACGGTGTGTGCAAAGAACGACTACTCCAGAGGATGAAAGCGCGAGGCATACCAGATGACTTGCTCCGGTGGGTCGAGGCATTCTGCTCAGAGCGAACGGCCACCATCCAGATCAACGGGCAGCTTTCTGAGGCCCGAAGATTGCCCCAAGCTGGCCTGCCTCAGGGCTCACCCCTATCTCCGATCCTATTCCTTTTCTTCAACGCAGACCTCGTGCAACGACAGATCGACAGCCAGGGAGGTGCGGTCGCTTTTGTGGATGATTTCACCGCATGGGTGACCGGGCCAACCGCGCAGAGTAACCGGCAAGGAATAGAAGCAATCGTCAATGAGGCACTCGACTGGGAAAGGAGAAGTGGAGCGACTTTTGAAGCGGACAAGACAGCTATCACACACTTTGCTCCCAAGATGCGTAAATCGGACCATGAGTCGTTTATTATCAAGGGACAGACGGTTGTGCCCAAAGACCACGTCAAGATCCTGGGTTTCTTGATGGACACGAGACTGAAATACAAGGAACATATGGCGAGGGCCGCGTCCAAGGGCCTGGAGGCAGCGATGGAGCTTCGGCGACTTCGCGGCCTTTCCCCAGCAACGGCGCGGCAGTTATTTACATCAACGGTGGCGCCAGTTGTGGACTACACCTCCAATGTCTGGATGCACGCGTGTAAGGACAAGGCCATGGGGCCGATCAATCGAGTTCAAAGAGTTGGAGCACAAGCCATTGTGGGGACATTCCTCACGGTCGCGACCAGCGTAGCGGAGGCGGAGGCCCACATTGCCACCGCGCGGAACCGATTCTGGAGACGGGCCGTGAAGATGTGGACGGACATGCATACCCTTCCTGAAACAAACCCGCTCCGCAGAGGTACAAACCGGATCAGAAAGTTCAGACGATATCATCGCTCGCCGCTGTACCAAGTGGCAGATGCGCTTAGGCACATCGACATGGAGAGACTGGAAACAATTGACCCGTTCACGTTGGCCCCATGGGACGAACGCGTACAGGCCAATATTGACGGACAACATGAACCTCAGACTGAAGCGGGCGGGTTGATGCAGATCGCGGTCAGCAGCTCGGCACGGAACGAGCTGGTGGGATTTGGAGTCGCAATCGAGAAACAGCCACCTCGAAATCGAAAATTGAAGCTTAAAACGTTTTCCATCACATTGGGCGCGAGGGCAGAGCAGAACCCGTTCTCTGCGGAGCTGGCAGCCATGGCACATGTGTTGAAAATGATAGTGGGAATCAAGGACTACAGGACTACGTTGCTCACAAGCAACAAGGCGGCGGCGCTCACGCTAAGTAACCCGCGACGACAGTCTGGCCAGGAGCTTGTTTGTCAGATATACAAGTTGATGAGAAGGTTGCGGAGGAATGGAAACCGCATTGAATTCCACTGGATCCCTACTACCGAAGACAACAAGCTGTTAGGTCTGGCTAAAGAACAGGCCAGAACTGCAACACAAGAAGATGCTCTCCCACAAGAACACGTCTCGAGGATGAAGTCGACAACATCGAACATCGCACGTTCCCAAGCAGTCCCCAGCAGTGAGCTACCAGAGAGCATAGGAAGACACGCAAAACGAGTAGATGCCGCACTGCCAGGCAAACACACCCGGCAGTTGTATGATCGCCTAACGTGGAAAGAAGCGAGCGTACTGGCCCAACTCCGAACCGGCATGGCTAGACTCAATGGGTATCTCAATCAGATTAATGTAGCAGAGACGGATGAATGCGATTGCGGACAAGCCAGAGAGACCGTGGAGCACTTCCTCTTCCGATGTCGGAAGTGGACTGTACACCGGACGGAACTGTTACAATGCACGCAGACTCACCGAGGAAACATATCCTTCTTCCTGGGCGGAAAACAGCCTTCTGATGATCAGAAGTGGACGCCAAACTTAGAGGCAGTACGGGCCTCCATACGTTTCGCCATTGCGACGGGCCGACTTGAGGCCACTTGAACATATCGACCAACATAACCCCCACCCCCTTCTTCCTACCCTACTTACCCACCACCTCGTGCTACACATGGTAGACGCGCTTCAACTGCCGAAGATAGGATGTTGAACACTTGGAGAAGCGCCTTCAAGCCAGCCTACTAACCCACTTACTAACCCACGAGAAACTCGCTGCGACACTGCTTTCTGGAAATGACACACGTTATAAGATTTTATGTATGGGCTTTCAGGAGATACAGCATATACAGATGGACATGTACAGTAGATCAGTGATAGTTGCCCTTTCGGCTCAGCCGCCGGGCGTTAATGAATTGTTTGTTTGTTTGATTGTTTGTTTGTAGTTCGTGATCGACTGTAAATCAAACACCCAAGGGAGAGAAGGCACATCCACGGCAGATCTACTGTATACGGAGGACGACTGTAGTTTCTGGAAAGGGAATTCTACTTCGAACTCTAACTGCGATATAAAATTTGCAGTGTTGTGTACCGAGCGGGAACTAACCCCGGACCGATGGCGGACCCACCTTTGGGGGCCTCCGAGCCCCCTCCCACAAACACCCAAGAAACCAACACCAGCTTCTCAGTTGAGGACTTCCAGCCTCGTGTCCCGACCGAGCCGCTTCCTCAATCCCGTAAGAGAACACGGAGCGGTGATGCTTTCGCACCATCGGATGGCACGGGCCGCGTTACCACCAGGGAAGTGTGGAAACTCATCGACAGCCTGAAATTAATCATACACCACCAAACCGCACTCATCGAATCCACTAAAACCGAGATCGAGGAGGTCAGACACGACCAGAATGTCCTTCGTGATCAGAATGATAAGCTCCACGAGGAAATCAGAGCTCTGCGAGCACAAATCGAAACCCACCCACCAGCACCTCCGTCCAGATCATGGGCCGCAGTTGCGGCAAGCGGCAGCGGTGCTTCCCCCCACCGACCCACCAACGCCCCAACAAGGACCAGAACTGCGTCCGTATCAGCACCCAGCGATCGTTCGTAGACCCAGAGGACAACAATAACAGCGATGGAAACATCTTCGGCCGATACCTCCCCACAGATTCCGCTAATACCCACATCCGCTCCGCGCTAATGAACGCCCCATCAACCCAGGATGCGCAGGTCGCTGGAATTGGCACCACCAAGACGGGCTATGTGATTCGATTCAAGGACCCCGAGTCGGCCGAAGTGGCCCGCAACAACACTGAATGGTTGAATGAACTAGGAAATAGTACGAAACTGGTGAAACCGCGGTTCGGCGTCGTCGTGCACCGCACCCCAACAGAGGACTTTGATTTGGAGAATGCAAACGCCCGAGCTATTGAGAAAATCACGGAAGAAAACGACCTATCGGGACAGGGCTTCCGGATCGAAGAGGTGGCATGGCTCAAGAGGAAGGACAAGCCATTAGGAAAGTTTGCATCACTTGGGATATGGTTCGATTCTACGGAAGGAGCCGAACGCATCCTTAACAATGGCCTCTTAGTCGGCCAGAGATACATTGGTAGTGTAGAACGCCGCGAGATCAAGAAAAAGAGATGTTTTCGATGCCAGCGGTTCGGACACTTGGCGTGGTCGTGCAAGGAGACACCACGGTGCGGCCATTGTGCGGGCCAACACGAACGGCAACGATGCCCCCCAGGGGTCAGAGCCCGATGCCTCGACTGCAGCGGCGAACACCCAACTAGTGATCGACAGTGCCCTACCCCCGCAACTTCCAACCCCCGTCAATGTTAGAGACGAACCTACAAGTGCTACAGTTGAACATCATGAAATCGGGACCAAGGATGGAAGCGCTTATCAACGACCACCAAAGCCAAAACCTGGACGTACTCTTAATCCAGGAACCATCCATCACCGCCTACCAAACACACGTCAACCATAGCGCCTGGCGACTATATCGACCAACTGCCGAGACCGAGGGAGCTCGGTTTCGGAGTCTAGTCTATGTTAACCAGAGGGTCTCAACATCCTCACACCGACAGATCCCTTGTGACCATCCAGATGTTGCTGCCATCAAGATCTGGACGGCCGACTCTCAACTTCTTCTCTTTTCTGTTTACATCCCATGCGTCCCACTATATACGCCTGACAACGCGTCGGCGGAGCCAGCACTCACAGCAATCCAAGACACGATCACAGCTACTTTACGGGACGACCGACGGTCTACAAGCGTCGTCCTCGCGGGAGACTTCAACCGTCACCACCCAACATGGGGCGGTAACAGTATCCAACCGCGATTCATTGAAGACGCAAGCGAGTTGATCAACTTCTTTCAAGCGCACGGCCTACATAGCTGCCTCCCCGGGGGACGGCGACCTATTGGTCTCTGAACGACCCGGGGAGACACTCTACTATTGACCAGACGGTAACGAATCGACCGGATCTGCTTATCAAATGCCATCTCTACCACGAAAATTACGGATCGGACCACCGTGCAACGTTCTCCGAATGGAACCTCAGAGCTCAGCGCCAACCCGTCGCTAAGGCAAAGAAAGCCTACGACCGTGCGAACTGGAGCAAGATAGCCGAAGACGTGCTTCAACAAATGGGCCCATGGAAGGAAGTGAAAACGAGACCGGCGCTAGATGAAGTAGTTAGAAGGCTCACAGAGGCAACCGCAACAGCGGTGGATAGGCACACTCCCGACCTGCGACCAACACCATACTCCAAACGCTGGTTTACCCCAGCCCTCAAAATACAGCAAACCGAAGTCAATCAACTACGTCGGATATGGCAAGAGAGCTGTGCGGAACTTGGGCGACACGACGCCCGCTCCATAACGCATTTTCAAGAGATGCAGCGCAAACGACGGTTATGGACCCGGACTATCGAGAAGGTGAAGGCGTCACATTGGAAACAGTTCCTTGACGAAGCTGGGGAAGGGAAACTCTGGAAAGCTGCCACCTACATGAAACCACGAGAAGCCTGGGGATGTGTGCCGGCATTGCACATCGGCACCAACGAGCTCATAGAAAACAAGGACAAAGCGCAGGCCTTCTTAGATTCTTTCTTCCCGCAAATGGACGAACCTCACGAGGACTTGCCCGCCCAAGCACCTCTAGCACTTCCATGGCAACCTATCACTGAGCTTGAGATTCAACGTTCTCTCAAAGCCGCAAAAGGATCTACCGCACCCGGGGAAGACGGCCTGCCGACGCTAGTATGGAAACAGCTGTGGAGACACCTCAAGGTCTACATCACAGGGATCTTCACCGCGTCAGTCAATCTAGGATACCACCCGAAGCGATGGCGAAGCGCGAAGATTGTGGTGCTGCGAAAACCTAAGAAATCTGACTATTCAGTACCTGGGGCCTATCGCCCGATCTCGCTGCTTAACACTCTCGGCAAACTCCTTGAAGCGGTGATGGCACGACGACTGTCGTACCTCGCTGAAAAGCACGGCCTGCTACCTGACACCCAGTTTGGAGGACGACCAGGCAGAACGACCGAACAGGCCCTGTTGGTCCTCTCTAATGCCATTGACCGAGCGTGGTATAAACACAAAGTGATCACGCTAGTGGCTTTCGACCTGAAAGGTGCCTTTAACGGAGTCAACAAAGTGAGCTTAGACGCCTGCCTCCGGGCAAGAAGAATCCCAACCGTGGCGAGAAAATGGATTGTGAGCTTTATGAGCGACCGCCACGCCAGCATAGGATTTGACGACTTCCGCACCGAGGCCACACCACTAGCGAACGCGGGACTAGCACAGGGATCGCCTCTCTCCCCCATTCTGTTCACATTCTTCAACTCCGACCTGGTCGACCAACCTGTCGACTCTCACGGCGGTGCATCCGCCTTTATCGATGACTACTTCCGCTGGCGAGTGGGACGCTCAGCCGAAGAGAACCTAGCCAAGATCCAATCGGAAGACATTCCCCGCATTGAAGCATGGGCCCGTCGAACTGGGTCTTGTTTCGCAGCCGAGAAAACCGAACTGATTCACATCACCAGGAAAAGACACGAACAGCTTCAGGGTCGAGTAGTTATGAATGGGAAGACGATCGAACCGTCGCCCACGGCCAAGCTTCTAGGGGTGGTGTTCGACCAGGAGCTTCGCTGGAAAGAACACGTCCAGCAAGCGATTAAACGGGCAATCAAGGTCAGTATTGCTCTGGGCGGGCTGCGGCATCTACGCCCAGAACAGATGAGACAGCTCTACCAAGCCTGCGTATCGCCGGTCATGGACTACGCGTCGATGGTCTGGCACGACCCGTTGCGAGACAAGACTCACCTACGACACTTGAACACAGTCCAGAGAACCGTATTAGTACGGATCCTGTCAGCTTTCAGGACAGTGGCCACCACGACTCTGGAAGTAGAAGCACATATTGTGCCAACGCACCTCCGCCTCCGTCGCCGAGCGCAGAACACCATCGCAAGCCTTCACACTCTGCCGCGCGATCATCCGATCTGGGATACACTACGGCGAGCCCAGAAACGTAGGAACAATGTCGGGTCATACGCTCGCTTCCCACTGGCGGAAGCCCTGAAGACCATGAACCTAGAAAGATTAGATGAGCTAGAGACGATCGACCCACGTCCGCTACCACCATGGCGAACCGAGTCCTTCACGGAGATCGAGATCGGGTCAGACCGAGAGACGGCAAGAGAGCGGGCGGAGTCCGTGCGGACCACATCCGCTATCGTGGTCTACTCTGATGCCTCGGGACGCGAAGGCCACCTAGGCGCCGCTGCCGTAGCACTCGACAATGACCTACAAGTTGTCGAATCGAAACAGGCCCAAGTGGGACCGATGGACCGGTGGTCGGTTCACGTAGCAGAGCTGATAGGCATTTTCTACGCTGTCAGTATAGTGTTCAAGATCAGCCATCAGCGGCCAAGAACGGAACATAATGGAACAACAACGGCAACGATCCTCTGCGACAGCAAGTCGGCGTTGCAGGCGATCGAGAACCCAGGAAACAAGTCAGGACAACGCATCATCCACGCGATCCTCCAGGCGGCTGCAGAGGTCCAAGCAAAGGGAATTGCGCTTTGTCTCCAATGGATACCCGGACACTGCGACGATCCAGGGAACGACGCAGCAGATCGGTTGGCCAAAGACGCGGCAAGCCCGGGCAAAACACACCCCTTCCGCCCTTTGCTAACAAGGAAGAGAGCGCTTATCCGAGACATGATCCGCGCTCAATGGGAGCGGGAATGGAAAGCATCAACTAAAGGCGGTCACCTGCGTAGAATTGATAGCACCCTACCGGCGGCCTACACCAGGAAGTTGTATGGGAACCTGCCAAGGGGGCGGGCGTACCTGCTGACGCAGCTACGCACGGGCCACAATTGGTTATCCACCTATGCCAAGACCTTCGGCTTCCGCGACAACAATCAGTGCGTGTGCGGCGCGCAAGAAACAGTTACCCACGTGCTGGTGGACTGCCCAAATCTGAGGGAAATCCGACGGAAGCTAAGGATTGAAGTTGGGGACGCGTTTAATAGCGTATCGAGTCTGCTGGGAGGCTCAACTGAAGGTGAGAGAGGTAAACCAGACACCGTCTCGCGGGCTAGGACGGTCAAGGCCGTACTAGACTTCGCTGAGGCGTCACAAAAATTCCAAAGTCGCGCGCCATGAGGGCAGCCTAATTACTTGAACGGCACCTGGGCCACGATAGGCCTTGACGAGGCTCCAAGTTCGTTTTCAGGAAGTGGGACATTACACTTGAACATACCAAGATATATATAGTTGCTGTATCCTGTATATCGCCAAAAGCGAGAGGTCAGGGTAAATGATATCATCCATCCATCCAGACTGTAGTTCGTCTTGGCCTACGAAGTCGGATTTCTCAGCCTGTACGAGGCGTGGGCTACGAACCTGGAGTCTTTGTTACTCCAGAGCCAATGAGAGACGCAATGACGACCAGAGGAAACGAGTCCGCAATGTTGCGGCCTCCCGCCACCGCAATTCTAGCGACCTCGAGGCCCCTTTGGCACACAGGAACGATTTAAAAACCATCCGACGATAACGGTTACAACCTCTCATGCCGTCACCCCAAGGGGAGTTCACAGAGCCTCTCAGAGGCGCGGATCGAAGTCGAGCAGGACACCTGTGGGGTAGAATTGGATTTGTGGGATTAGGGCTAAGGTGTATCGCCATCGGCTGCTGGCTCCCTACCCCGAATCGGAGGATACTTTGGTTAGTGGATGGAAAGATTATACGCTGCAGGCCTGGGTGTATAAAGAGACCATCTGCAAGACATGGTCGGCCTAGAGAACGAGAGGATACTAGGTATCAGGAAGCAAGAAATCACGCCAACTTGTGGACTGAGGTGTACTATGGCAACGATGGCTAGGAAGAAGGTTGGCGCGTCACCATCGGCTGCCGACTAGAGATCCTTACAACACTGTCAGTATAGCCCGAGAGGACGGATGCGCATGTCGGTTCACAAGAAGCAGGAAGGTTGTTATGCCGTGACCCCAAGGGGACTTAACAGAGCTGCAACTTGGCCTAAAGGGTGGGCTTAAGGAGCAAACGGGTATATGAGTGTGGGGGAAGGTTTTTGGTCCTGCTGGAACCCCAAAGGCTAAGATGTTGAAGGCAAGAGGATCTACGGACATCTAGGAATAAGAGTACTAGTGAGCTGGATAAGGAGCTGGGAAAGCATGGGGGGAAATTGCCCATCTCTCCGTTGTATTGGCTTAAAAGAACAGACTAGATCTTAGTATACCAATGCAATATTATATCTGAGAGAGCGAGGACCCGAACGCGTCGGAACTGTTAAAAGAACTTGTCAAACTTAGGAAGGAGATCAGAAAGCGAGACCAATCACACAAGGAAGAGCTTCAAAAAGTCAAAGAAGAATTTATCGCCCTCAAAGAAGAGTTTAGCGCCGCCCTTGCAGAAGTTCGACACGAGCTACAGACCCTGGCCGATAGACCGGCGACACCGCAACCCCACCCCGAGTCGTACTCTCCGAACAACCATGATGCAATTCTCCGCGAGATCCAATCCCTACGTGAGGAAATCAGCGTCCCCGCCCCCACGAGTTCCACGTCCTATGCAGATGTCGCCCGTACTCCTCCGACCAGTTCCCCGAGTAACATACGGACTCTTTCAACGCTGAACACAACACCAACTACTTTCACTGACACGCTATACTGCACGATAGACACTTCAAATATGACCGAAAGTGAGGGTGAGAGGGTATCCGCAGGCTCAATCAGAGCCACAATCGAGAGAGAGATCCAGACGATGGATGATCGCACTCACTGGCGCTGCCGCGCGGTCACTGTGAGCCCAAGAAATACCAACCGGATCAGAATCGCGTGTCGCGATGAAGCCGAACACCAGCTAGTGAAGAAAGTGGTGGAAGCAAAGATCGATGCGGGAGCCCGAGTGCTCCGGGATGAGCTCTACCCGATCAAGGTCGACAGCGTTAAGAGGACTGCAGTACTGGATGAGAACCATGAAATCCTAACAGGAGCTGCGGGAGCCGTGGGTGAGGAGAACGCGGCTACTGTAGCTAAATTGACATGGCTGAGCAGCAAGGAAGCCGCAAAACCTTATGGATCGATGGTCGTGTACCTAACCAAAGGGAGCGACGCGCGGAGGCTCCTGGCCGATGGATACTTCCATGTCGGAGGAGAATCCGGGACCACTAGCGTCTTTGAGTATCGGCCACGACCGGTGCAATGTTATAACTGCCAGGGGATTGGCCATAAGGGATTCCAGTGCAAGAACGCCCAGAAGTGCGCGAAATGCGCCACGGAAGGCCATCGTCACAGTGACTGCGATCGCACGGTTCCAAAGTGCGTACCATGCGGAGGCCCTCACGAATCCTACAGCAAGAACTGCCGGAAGCTCTATCCATCACGTTATGAATAATTCTCTTCGAATAATTCAGCTGAATGTGAGGAAACAGGGTGCAGTGCACGAGAGTTTAATGAACGATGAAGACACTCGGAACGCAGTGGCGCTAGCGATTCAGGAACCCCAAGCGAGGAGGATTCAAGGCCAGCTGTTGACCACCCCGATGGGGCATCACAAGTGGACAAAGATGGTGCCCTGCATGTGGAGGGAAGGGAGATGGGCAATCCGGAGCATGTTATGGGTCAACAAAGAAGTCGAAGCGGAGCAAGTCCCAGTGGAGTCCCCGGACCTCACAGCAGCGCTGATCAGGCTCCCCGAGCGACTGATTTTCATGGCATCAGTCTACGTAGAAGGAGGCAATGTCTCAGCCCTGGAAGATGCGTGCAATCGCTTACGCGACGCGATCACAAAGGTACGACGAGAGGCGGGCGCTGTGGCGGAGGTTCTGATTGTGGGGGACTTCAACCGACACGATCAACTTTGGGGTGGAGACGAGGTGTCGCTGGGAAGACAAGGAGAAGCGGATCCGATCATCGACCTCATGAATGAATTTGCACTCAGTAGCTTGCTCAAACGCGGCACCAAGACATGGCACGGCGGCGGACAAAGTGGAGACTGCGAGTCCACCATTGACCTCGTCCTAGCTTCGGAAAATTTGACGGAATCCATGGCGAAATGTGCTTTACTCGACACAGACCACGGCTCGGACCACTGCGCAATTGAGTCCGTGTTCGACACGCAGTGGTCGGGCCCAAGGCATCAAGAACGGCTTTTGCTGAAGAATGCACCGTGGAAGGAGATTAATGCTAGAATCACGAGTGCTCTAGCCATCCTTCCGTCAGAGGGTACAGTGCAGCAGAAAACCGACCGACTCATGTCAGCAGTGTCCGAAGCGGTGCACGCTTTAACGCCGAGGGCGAAACCTTCACCACATGCGAAGCGATGGTGGACAGATGACCTCACTCAGCTCCGTCATATATACACGTACTGGAGAAACTGTGCTCGCTCCGAGCGACGGGCGGGTCGGAAAGTGCCTCGGCTTGAAAAAACGGCTCAAGATGCGGCCAAACAGTACCACGATGCCATCCGCAAACAAAAGAAGAAGCACTGGAATGAGTTTCTCGCAGACAATGACAACATCTGGAAGGCCGCCAAGTACCTCAAGTCGGGAGACGATGCAGCGTTCGGGAAGATCCCGCAGCTCTTAAGAGCGGATGGAACTACTACCAACGATCACAAGGAGCAAGCGGAGGAATTGCTATCCAAATTCTTCCCACCTTTACCAGGGGACATCGATGAGGAGGGAATGAGACCACAAAGAGCGGCCGTGGACATGCCAGCCATCACTATGGAAGAGATAGAACGACAGTTATTTGCAGCGAAATCGTGGAAGGCTTCGGGAGAAGACGGCCTACCGGCGATCGTTTGGAAGATGACCTGGCCCACAGCCAAGCACAGGGTCCTCGATCTTTTTCAAGCCTCGCTGCAGGAGGGCACACTGCCAAGACAGTGGAGACACGCGAAGATTATACCGCTCAAGAAACCGAACAAAGATGACTACACCATGGCAAAGGCATGGAGGCCTATCTCACTCCTTGCGACACTCGGAAAGATACTCGAGTCGGTGGTCGCAGAGAGGATCTCGCACGCGGTGGAGACTCACGGACTGCTCCCGACGAGCCATTTTGGAGCGCGAAAGCAGCGGTCCGCAGAGCAAGCACTGGTGTTCCTGCAGGAGCAAATCTATGCGGCATGGCGCGGCCGGCGGGTGCTGAGCCTGATCAGCTTCGATGTTAAAGGAGCCTACAACGGAGTATGCAAAGAACGACTGATCCAGAGGATGAAAGCCCGAGGCATACCGGAGGTCTTGCTTCGTTGGGTAGAGGCCTTCTGCTCGGAACGAACGGCGAACATCCTGATTAACGGGCAACTATCTGAGACTCAAAGCTTGCCACAAGCTGGACTGCCACAGGGCTCGCCCTTGTCTCCGATTCTATTTCTCTTCTTCAACGCAGACCTTGTGCAAAGGCAGATCGACAGCCAGGGAGGAGCAGTCGCCTTTGTGGATGATTTTACCGCATGGGTGACTGGACCGACTGCGCAGAGCAACCGGGAGGGAATTGAAAACATTGTCAACGAGGCGCTCAATTGGGGAAAGAGAAGCGGAGCGACATTCGAGGCCGACAAGACGGCCATCATACACTTTGCTCCCAAGATGCGCAAATCGGACCATTCACCATTCACCATCAAGGGGCAGACAGTGGTACCAAAAGACCACGTCAAGATCCTGGGTGTCGTGATGGACACAAGACTCAAGTATAAAAAACATATTGCGAGGGCAGCGTCTAAGGGTCTTGAAGCAGCGATGGAGCTTCGGCGACTCCGTGGTCTATCCACGGCAACTGCGCGGCAGCTATTCACGTCGACAGTGGCACCAGTTGTGGACTATGCCTCCAACGTGTGGATGCACTCGTGCAAGGATAAAGCCATGGGGCCGATCAACCGAGTCCAAAGAGTAGGAGCGCAAGCCATTGTGGGGACGTTTCTCACGGTTGCGACTAGTGTCGCAGAGGCGGAGGCTTACATAGCTACTGCGCAGCGTCGATTTTGGAAACGAGCCGTGAAGATGTGGACAGACATCCACACTTTGCCGGATACCAATCCTCTCCGCCGGTGCACCGATCAGATCAGAAAGTTCAGAAGATACCACCGCTCACCGTTATATCACGTAGCCGATGCGCTTAAGCAGATCGACATGGAGACTTTGGAAACGATTAACCCCTTCACGCTAGCCCCGTGGGCGGAACGCGTTCAGACTGACATTGATGGACAGCACGAGTCCCCGGCCGAAGCAGGCGGGTACGTGCAGGCCGCGGTTAGCAGCTCGGCACGGAACGAACTGGTGGGGTTTGGAGTGGCCATCGAGAAGCGGCCACCTCGAATTCGAAAGCTCAAGCATAAAGCGCTGTCCATCACCTTGGCTGCAAGAGCGGAGCAGAATCCATTCTCTGCAGAACTGGCAGCCATGGCACACGTATTGGGCACGCTGGCGGGACTGAAAGACCACACGATCACACTGCTCACAAGCAACAAAGCGGCGGTTCTCACGCTGAGGAATCCCCGACAACAATCCGGCCAGGAGTTCGTGTGTCGGATATACAAGTCGATTAAGAAGTTGCAAAGAAACGGGAATCGTGTCAAATTCCGCTGGATTTCCACCAGTGAAGACAACAAGCTGCTAGGTCTGGCTAAAGCACAGGCGCGAGCCGCAACGCAACAAGATGCCCCCTTACAAAAACGCGCCCCGAGAATGAAATCAACCACACTTAATCTCGCACGGTCTCAGGCAGTCCCTGGACATAGCCTGCCAATGAACGTTGGGAAACACGCCAAACGAATAGATGCAGCACTTCCAGGAAAACACACACGACTGCTGTATGATCGCTTATCGTGGAAAGAAGCGACTGTGCTAGCCCAACTCCGGACTGGCATGGCTAGACTCAATGGGTATCTCAATCAAATCAATGTAGCAGAAACGGACCAATGCGATTGCGGACAAGCGAGAGAGACCGTGGAGCACTTCCTCTTCCGATGTCGGAAGTGGACTGCCCACCGGACGGAAATGTTACAATGCACCCAGATTCACCGCGGAAATATTTCCTTCTTCCTAGGAGGGAGACAGCCTTCTGATGATCAGAAGTGGACGCCAAACCTAGAGGCAGTACGGGCCTCTATACGTTTCGCCATTGCGACAGGCCGACTCGAGGCCACTTAAACATGTCGACCAACACAACTCCCACACCCCCTCTTTCGACCCTACTCACCCATCACCTCGTGCTACAAACGGTAGACGCGCTTCAACTGCCGAAGATAGGATGTTGAACACTTGGAGAAGCGCCTTCAAGTCAGCCTACTAACAAACTACTAACCCACGAGAATCCGCTGCGATACGAGCATCTGAGACGACATACTCTGAATGCAATCATGTATGGGCTCTGATGAGACACAGTACTGTATATATTATTACATGTATAGTAGATCAGCGATAGTTGCCCTTTCGGCTTAGCCGCCGGGCGTTAATGAATTGTTTGTTTGTTTGTTTGTAATTGAAGTGGTGGAATCTGGCTCAACTGTGAGGCCTGATGCTGCGAGGGAAAATCATCATCCGGGCGACGTTCGGGGCTCGTGGAACTCATCACAGAGGGGGTTTGAAAAAAGCCATATCCTGGAGTCGGTGCAAAGAGCGGAGATTGATCGGATTGATCATAGGAGTCAAATAGCCGGTCATCGTGAGTATCAAATGGGCTACAGCTCATATTTGAGGAGCTGTTCATTTAAGATTTATCAATATCAATCATCATGAGCAAGACACTGCAGCGGATCCTTCATTTCGATTAAAACCTTACCTGGACAGAGCGACCGCGAAGAGCAGAAGGGAACAGCACGTACTATAAGATGTATAGGACTGAAGAATGGCGGTGCTAGGTCATACGGTATTCACTTAACCACAGCCTTGTGAATTTCATGGCCGCTACGTAGAGCAAAACATGAGCTTTCCGAACGGGACGAGCAGTTATTTGCTCTACCTCTCGAGCTTGAGGGTCGGATATATCGATATTCATGCGTCGACGGAGCGTGACTGAACCCGCATTTAGTCTCCATGCTCGTATGCCTTGAATTCTCAGCGGGCCCATCAAGGTTGAGGTGATCACCGTATGCCTCGCTGGATGTGCAAGTATTTGTCCAGCATAATCTCCTTAAGGTCTTGGTATCGTCTCGTCTCCATCAAGCAGTTCAGTCGGAGTATGGAGACAGTATCTACTGCAGTAGATATCCATGCCATCAGGCGGAATAAATACCCGCCCAACAAGGCTTTCGGCTATCCCCTGCAGGTTCTCAAATTCTGAGAGACAGACTGCTATGCACTCCTTCGGGCCTAGATCAGATAGGCATACCAAGTGATCTGATGGATCAATCGACTCAAAGGTCGAGTTGGCGACTCGTTGGTGCCAACAATAGTCTTGTAGAAGACACAGGCCATGTAATGGTAACGGCAAGGCCGAAAAGAAAGGCAATTTCCTCGCTTTGAACTCGAGTCATGGGAATCCGAGGGTTGTCTGTAGTCAGATCGGAGTCAGCCAGAGTTGATTCAGTTGGACGAGACAATGTACTTTACGTTATTGATTGACTTACCCGGTGATCGATGGTATGCTTCAGACAGTCGGTCAATCAGGATCGTCGTCATACCAGCGTACCAGCGAGACCACCATGTCTTTTCTGCAACGCTGTCATCAATATGCCATCTTGCATCCAGGTTCGTCACCCTCCGATTGTTCTAGAAAGCCACACTGGTGCGCACAGCAGGTTTGCAAGGCAGAAAAACCTGGCGACGAACCTATCTGCGTAATAGTTGTACAGTCGTATTGGAGCACTCCTTGTAGAGACACTGCGTCGTGTGCGAAGGCGGTGAGGTGGACGCGATGGAGCGCGTCGGCCCGCAGTTTTATCTGACTTGGCGGGAATAGCTTTTCTCGTGACAAGAGTTTCCGCGGTTGGTTATGGGCTGCTACAATGGCATGCTACTGTCAGTGATTTTCGTGTCTGTGGCACAAACTTGGCACAAGGCATCGGACTTGACGCGGCCAGCGGCGCGATATTCAACTCACCTTATCGTGGACGACGAACGTCTAGAATTTATGCATCATGTTCTTGTCCCGTGACCTTGGTTGGCGGTGTCTCATGCAGGACACACTGCATGGTTCTGAGTGTAACAGCCAGGAATGGCGCGTAAGTCATGACCTTACGCGGAGCGCTGACGGAATGCTACTTCGGACTCAAGTTGGAGTATTATCACGGTTTCCTGTCCGTCATTAGCTTTTGATCGGTGGGATACTGCACAACTCACTTGGTCTCCATCAAGAGACGGAAAGGGTCTCCGTGGCTGGTGTACTTTGGACGAATGCACATAGTATTATTTCATATCGTCTATGGGGGTCAGCTGAATTTGGACAGTATCGTGCTGGGACTTACCGGTCTAACCGCTCTTTTACATCGATGTATTCACCGGACAGTGGTCGGCTGCCATGGGTACAGTAGCAAAGTGAAGTTGGTGGGAATCACATTCTCATTCGCACTTCCTTGGAGGACCACAATGTAACTATAGATGTCAGTATAGTGAATTTCTAGTAAGGTCAGAGAAAGAAACTTATCTGGTGCCTCAAAGCGAAAGGCCGCTCGACTCTGGAAGCCAAGGAAAAGTATTGCAGAACCAGTTGCTGGGGGGAGGAGGACGTATTTATAGGCTTCTCAGCTCCAGTCGCGTGTGCTCTGCTGAGAAGCAAATGTTGAAGGACACCATGCCTATCCTAAGTGAGGCAGACTCTAATACCGCAACTATCTGCAGCGACATCGTCAGAGCTGTTTGAGATGCCCGCCGAGCGAAAATGCTGGTCATGTTGAAAAACAGTGAAGTTGAGTCGGTTAAGAATCGTTGGCTCACTGTTCAAATTACAGTCCGCGGTCGCGCGAGCGCACCCCTTGAAACCTATCCTTCTTCTTTAGCTTGAATCAACTTCTGAACTGGTGACTACTGTTGAGATATTTTGTCCTTTTAGGGCTTTTGTTCAATGTGTTGGATTCTATCTGTCTGCCTTCAAGATATCTGAGTCCTCCAAGAATGTGAAAATAATTATATGATTGAATATTTATGTCTCGGACAGTTCATCCTTGGTGATCAACTATATCTTTTAGCACGTTCATCCCGGCGAGAACTAAAACATGAGATACATTGACCGCACATAAACACCACAAGATACAAATTTCACACCAGCATCACCATGACCGGACTTTTAACAGAAAGCTAAGAGTCCTCGGATTTTAGGCAAAGTTCGACCGCGTTGAATCACTTTCATGGTGACAGTGAGACTGAACACTGTACCTAATCCCCCATGTCTGATGCCACAACGAGACCCTAAATTCTTAGAAAAATTGATCTAATTCTTGATGAGCCGTGTAGGTTGGTTGGGCTTCTTAGCTTGAGTCTGGAAATCATAACATTGGCTCTGGGGACCGCAAAGTAGTTCTAGAAGCTTTTCATCCCCTAGGGAATGCTTTTGAGCTTCCAGGGCTATTCTAGGCTCCAGGAATACCAGATCTGCTCCTGGGACCTTAACTCTATGCTCCCGACTGAATGAAAAATAGCTCTGGGAATATAACACCTAGATCTAGGAGCTGTAAAGCCCCTGGGAGCATACTTTGGGTTCGAATCCGTGGAAAGCCCTCAAGACCTTCACCTATCCTGCGCCTAAATCTGCGCAGTTGAGTCATCTCCAAAGGTTTGAGCTAACTTATAGCCCCAGGAGCGCCACTTACGCCTCTACGACATCCAATAGCACGCTTTTCGGATATTAGTTGTTCCGTAGCCGGAATAAGGTCGGGCACTCTACCACTCATCCCACTTCCTTTTACCCCGCCGCTGTGGGCTCTTCTTATACTCTCACTCTGAGTAAAGTATCGCCTCCATGGTCATTATTTGGAGGATATCAACTTGATTGCAGGTAAATCCTCTACGGTTATTTTCTAGGTTCCTGGGATGATTTAGGCTAACAGCTTGTTCTGCTCTCCAGTGTGCTCTCTTTTGCTCAGCCACACCCGGCTCAGTCATGCCGACCAATATCAACGCCGATGCCTTGCCGGAACTTGAGAGCCTAGCAGCATGGGTTTCGCAGATTGAGATGAAGGAGGAGAAAGGAAAAAAGAACCTTTTGGAATGTATGGACGAAGCTCGTGAAGCGAAAGCGCGGCCGTTATTGGAGAAGCTGGGATACGCTACAATACAGGTAAAAGAACAATTTGCTCTTAAAGATTCAACGCGGAAACGCTTATAATTGGATAAGGGCCATTACGCTTTACTGTTGCGCATATGCGGGAAAGCTTCGATTGAGAAATCCGAGGAAGATAAACGAACGTTGTTATTCTTCCCTCTGTCCGGAGACGTGCAGGTTGCCGGCGAAGTCCATAAACCGGGGACCTATATTCGGCTCACGAAGACTTTGGACCTTGACGCACATTTAGATTGTCTAATTATCGTTCTACCATAATCTGCATCGCAGGAATATTGTGGCGTTTCACCTTCTTTGTTCGAATTTCTGAATTGTCTAGCTTCTGCATTTTTATCACCAGAGTGAGTTATCACCAGAGTGAAACGCATAGAACGCAAGGTTCATTTAACTCTGGGATCTTAGCAAAGCGTATACTAACGTGTCTGTCCATATATTTGTACGAACTTTGTTCGAAGCCAATGAAATGATCTCTATGTTTTGGACACCACATCCTGTTGGTATCACGTAAAGCTCCTAGGATTCTGAAGGCTAAAAAACTTCACTCGTTGCACAATCGATTTCGGTCGAATTGAGACCAAATTGTGTCGTGGTGCTGCGGAACTGGGAATTAAAAAATGGACCGAACAACGCATTGCCCGCCAGCAGGTTGGAACGTGTCCTCTCTTGGTCTGTCTCTACCGCGACGCTGTGTAGCTGGCTGTCGTCAAGCTGGACGTTGTCGAGCTGGGGGTCCGGGAAAAGGCTGAATAGCGCATTGCTTGCCAGTGGGTTGAACCGCGTTCTCTCTTGGTCTGTCTCTACCGCGACGCTGTGTAGCTGGCTGTCGTCAAGCTGGACGTTGTCGAGCTGGGGGTCCGGGAAAAGGCTGAATAGCGCATTGCTTGCCAGTGGGTTGAACCGCGTTCTCTCTTGGTCGGTCTCTACCGCGACGCTGTGTAGCTGGCTGTCGTCAAGCTGGACGTTATCGAGCTGGGGGTCCGGGAAAAGGCTGAATAGCGCATTGCTTGCCAGTGGGTTGAACCGCGTTCTCTCTTGGTCGGTCTCTACCGCGACGCTGTGTAGCTGGCTGTCGTCAAGCTGGACGTTATCGAGCTGGGGGTCCGGGAAAAGGCTGAATAGCGCATTGCTTGCCAGTGGGTTGAACCGCGTTCTCTCTTGGTCGGTCTCTACCGCGACGCTGTGTAGCTGGCTGTCGTCAAGCTGGACGTTGTCGAGCTGGGGGTCCGGGAAAAGGCTGAATAGCGCATTGCTTGCCAGTGGGTTGAACCGCGTTCTCTCTTGGTCGGTCTCTACCGCGACGCTGTGTAGCTGGCTGTCGTCAAGCTGGACGTTGTCGAGCTGGGGGTCCGGGAAAAGGCTGAATAGCGCATTGCTTGCCAGTGGGTTGAGCCGCGTTCTCTCTTGGTCGATCCCTATCGCGACGCTGTGGAGCTGGCTGTCGTCGTGCATGGAGTCACAGCTATGAAGATAAGTGCCCATGACATTCTGGGGGCCGCTTAAGCCTGTTGGAGTGGTAACAGACGGCACTGGGCCCCATCCCGCCGAATTTGTTTGGTGGAATTCAGCTTGCAACTGATCGGTTTTGCTGGGATAACTCCCAACATGCCGGATGATATCTGTATCCATTGCAATTCGTCTCCTTTTGTGACATTGTTCCCCGGTCTCTTTTGTTGAATCAGAGCAACGAGCAGTCCCGGATGATCTGGAAGTGGCTGAACTAGCAGCGTATATCCCCGCGGCGGCATTTGCACATAGTGAACTACCTCTATTTGCCAGCGGCTTATTCGGAGCTGGAGTCGTAATTTCTAAGCAGAAAGACTCGACTAGGTCAGCAAAACCCCCCAAAAAAAGCCCAAAAGAATGTTCTGCTCAATTTGCCAGACTAAGTTCAAGCAAGCCCAAGGTTATATAGACAGACGTACCGGGGCATGAGTAGATATTACCAAAAGTCGCCAACATAGGTTGAGCAAATTCTGCATTTGATTCAGAGCTATAACATATTGAGGTGCGACCTTCGTTCTGAGTGCTCGGCAAAGACTCGGTTGAATCGTCACCGGCAGCAATTTGCGCGGTCAACGAATCACTTGACGAAGACCCCGCACCGGCAATAAATGATTGATGGCTAGACGGCGATAAAATAGAATAACCTCTGTCAGGTCTCGAAGGGTTTGACGGAATGATAACAATGTCTCCACCACGACGATCGCATGATGTTGCTGCTGATGTATGTAATTGGGTTTTGTTCGAAATGTCCTCAGAATCCGTGATGCTAGGGCTCATGCTATGGGGAGACATTGATATTATTGACTCCCGGAAGGTATGATCAGGTGTTTCCGAGCTTAGGAAACTTATATTTGTCGTGTCCGCATTGGACCCGGGGCAGGAAATTGAGAACGCATTCGTTGTTCCAGGAGGGTGGGCTTCCGTACTTGTGATGGTGATCACTGTAAATGGTTGACGAGCTGTATCCTCTGATAAAGCAAAATGATTTTCTGGCCCCACGGGGGCTGATGACAGAGGAGAATCAGTAGTCGGGGGGTTGTTACTTTGAGAAGACTGGCACGGGTATTGGCAATGAGACATCAATTCGGAATTATCGTCGTCTTGAGCTGAAAAAATTAGCTCATGAAAAACCACAAAAAATCTAGATAGCTGGCCAAGCATACCTTCTGGTAGTATAGAGCCTTCAGTTGTAATATCGGCCCTGCGAGAAGATTGACATTGAGCCCGTTGGCCTTGGTGATCTGCACAGGTTAGCTTCCAACCATTTCTCGACCTAGCCAAAGCTTCACTTAGTGGCGATGAAGATTCATCCGGACAGTGTCTTTTCGACGGCTTGCATGTCGTTAATGCCAACCTTTTCCTGGCATGACCATCATCCAATGCGTTTTTGAAAAAGGGCTGATAAGACCTGACAGAGGATAATTCGTATCCCAGGCATTCGCAAATCACCTTTAGGCTGGAAAAAGTCAGTCATGGAATTTTGAAGCAGAAGTGATTTACCCACGACGTGCGGTTCCTGAAAACCCTCTTTACGATCAAAGGGATTGCGAATGGTGCTGGTGAGTCTGTAGATTCGGGCAAAAAAAAACTTTCATGCACATTTGTTTCCAATCTCTCCAAAACTTCCTTTGGATCCACAGAACAGTCATTTAGCCGGGCGTAAAAGCTAACGGGACGCTGGGCTCGACAGAGTTAGCTTGTCAAGACAACATAAACTTGGTCATCATACCGACACATAGGATATCCCAGCTTCTGGATGCCCATTTTGTCTTAGACAAGAGCGATACGAGACTGTTCGCCCATTTGGCGCCACGAACAAGTTTGACAAGCTGTTTGGAAGAAACATCGGATCCGAGAACTTTCCGCATAACTGCATGGACGCCATCTTTGTCCTCGATGTTTTCCAATGCAACCGCACAAAGAGAAACAAATACCAAATTTTGAAAGCATGCGAGTTGTTGATTCAGCATACCAAAAGAGACCATAGAGCTGGCGTATTGAGACAAAATAGAAATATCTGTCGGCTTGGATGACACCTCTGCCAACTCCTTCGCTGTTCTCAGTGACGCAAACCTCGGTGTACCCGAGCCACAATTTTGTACCAGTGCCTCGAGGTATTCTTTGCGCTGAATTTCATCAAGAGCGGAAACCCAATTTTTCCAAATTTCTGAATCGGGTAAATTGTTAATGAAGCTGATAAACCTTGATAGGGTCTTGAGCTGATGCTTTTTGCTCTGGTCACGTGCACAATTGCTAGTCCTATTTGATTCAAGTTGGACAGTTGGACTGTATTCGATAATGTTGAACGCGTCAGGATTACCGCCATCTTTGTGTATACGTCCTGGTTCATCGGAATCTTCTGGGGCGGGTTCTGTGCCACCATCGGGGCTTTGGGTTTCCGGTGCGATCTGAATTTGACGTGTGTGGCAATGAGGTTTTTCACAGGCCTCGACCTGATTACGGACTCCGTTGAAGTCCGCTGGGCTCGATGACGTTCCAAGGTAGGTAGATTGTCGGAATGGTTGTCCAAGAGAGTCTTCAAGCTGAAAAATTCGCGCTTCAAGGAACAGGATATAAGCAGCGTCGTCACCCTCAAATGGAATCCGGCGTGTCATATTTGCTGTCAATAGACCAGAGGAAATAAAATCGCAGAGAAGTGAGACTTCGTTTTCGTCCTGGCCCCCTTCCCCAAGGTGATCTAACAGGGGGTGCCGTCAAGTGAATCAAGTGGTCGGTTGGGCCAGATCACGGGTCCGTGCTGAGCGCTTCTGTAAGTCCTATCACAGGAGGTGTAAGAACCATCACACCGCTGTCCAATTTGTTTGTAAGAATATCTAGTAAGTTCCTCATATCCCTTGGGAAAGGCAATATTTCTGCCTTTTTTTTTTTTTTTTTTGGCCTTACGAAGTCATGCGCCGCCCCCTGTTGAGGTAACTACGGTTCCGGTGTTACCGCGTAAACAAAATCATCAGGCTCTTATCATGGCTTACACTCTCGACTTTCGAAGATAGATCTTGGGGTCCTAACTTTCAATTGGATGGAATCAGCGTACAATCACCCCGGGGGCACGATTGCTTGCTTTGGTGAGATGGTTTATCTCATCACCGATCTTACAGGTGCCAACAGCCCTAACCAACCTACAGGCACCCAGCTGATTGCCCCTAATGCAGTTAGTCACCAAAGTCTGACAATAACAAACGAACTGTAGTTGGCCGCCCCAAATATTAGGGTCCGCAGTAACTAAAGAGTCTAGCGTCCCTTGACGGCTGCAACAAGTTATCCCTTTTTAATGCGATAAATGTTTGGATGCTTATATTATGAGATGAACTACCTATTGGTCGGTCTTCCTAGGATTAAGGGCTTAGTTGGGAAGTCCGCCCAAGACTGCTCGTCTCTAGCGCAACGGAATTTGGAATGCAATTTTTATCTTGACTGAATTGGGCTAATGATCTGGCAACCCGAGCATCCTGATAGCCATATCACGTGTCGGTTGAAAATTGTTTCGTTTCTGAGACTAATCAAGATGACTTGTTCTATACGAG